TCCTAAAATCGCTTTGTGTAGCTAATTCACTAATGTCGTTTAAACGAACCTTTGTTCTAATATTTATGTATCTAAAGCTGGCTGTATGAACTGATCCCTAAATTATCTAAAAACTTGATATATAATCTAACTGACAAACCACTGACAATGACAAATAATTTATTTCTGGGGGCATTGTGTGTAGGTGTTTTTCAGGTATGTTTAATATTTAGTCGATTTACACAAAGAAATAGCCATTCAGCAATTTAAAAATACTTCATAACAAATCTAGACATATATACCTTTCATTTAAAAAAAGAATCATCAAGATTGGTAAAGCAGTTTCGGCGGGATGGATGTAACAAAAAAAAACATATATAAAAGCTCAAAAGCTCTTTGAGCTTTTATATATGTATGGATTTGCAAATCCTAATCTTAATTTGAAAACCGCATTTCGCTAGCTACTGTAATTTTGGAGTTACGATTTTTTTAAATTTTTAACCCCTCCTATACCCTCTTACCAACCCCTCACCCCCACCAAAAACTAATGGCCAGATTCTCGGGTGCCACAGTATTTTTCTGCCAAATTTGGTTAAAATCGGTTCAGCGGTTTTTGAGCTATCGTGTTACAGACGGCAGACAGACAGACAGACAGACACCACGAAAATATTTTGTATTTAGGTCATTGATGACCCAAATAACTCATTTTGAGTGAAATTAAAAAAACTAGCCGACCAAACCAAACCATACCTATTGGTATGGTCGGCTAAAAAATATTAAAAATACAAGAACTGTTCTGAAATCAAAACTATATTAGATATTTACTTTAGATGATCTGTTCTTACTTTGCTATAAATATGGTAATCGTAAATCATACAGGATGTCCAATATTTTACGCCAAACTTTCAAAAATATAAAATAAATTTTCTTCGTTTTTTTTTAAATGGAACACCCTGTATATTATTTTTTATTTGATGGAGAATAAAAAAATGAACATTTTTTGTATTTAAAGTATTTCAAAATGTTTAATAGTTTTCCGGATACACGCAGTATTATTTCATATGGCCCTTTCAATGGTAAAATACGAGAGAAAAATCATTAGGAGGCTTTGATAAAAATTTGCTGTGGAAAATGCCATATGAAATACAAAATCGGGAATATCTGTGAAACCGTTAAAAATTTTGAAATACTCTAAATGCAAAATATGTTCATTTTTTAATTTTTCATCTTTGAAAAAATAATATACAGGGTATTCCATTAAAAAAAAAACAAACGAAAATTATTTTATATTTTAGAAAATTTGGCGTAGAATTTTGAACGTCCTGTATGATTTACAATTTCTATATTTATAGCAAAGTAAGTAGAGACCATCTAAAGTAAATATCTAATATAGTTTTGATTTCAGGACAGTTCTTGTATTATTAATAATTTTTTTTACATAGGCTGAAAAATACATCATTTTTATTTATTTATTAATATCTCTAAAATTATCGAAATATATTTACTCATGTTTTAGGATTATGTAAAGTGATCTGAAAGGAAGCCAAAAATGCAATAATATACAGGGTGTTTCATTTTAAAAAAATCATCCCTATCCACTCACACTTTTTTGAGCCACCCTATAGAAGTTAAAATATTTTTTCTAAAATACATCCTAGTACATTCTTTAGGTTTGCACTTAAACAAAATTCCCAAGTTTTTTATTTTAGGAGCTACGGATGCCCGACGCACTATTGCCGGACCCTGTACTTAAAATATATTTGTTTCACTAAAAATCGGTATATAACGTGCAATATTAAGTTTTACCAATAAAATTAAGCATTTAATAACGCCAAGTAGCTGTACTCATTGACAGAGAAGACATAGTTTTTTGGAAGAGGCAATAAAAAATAAAAATACAGGGTGTCACATTTGAAATAACAAAGTTTTTATGTAAAATAAATATTTAAAATTGATCAGCAATTTTTGGTACCCTTGTATAAATTTTAGGAAGCAATAAAATTTTTCAGTAAAGTTTATTTCTCTACCTTTAAACTCAGCACAAGAATTAATTCTGAAAAGTAATGTACAGGGTGTTGATAATCTATTCTATTGTAGATTGTAGAATGCATATTTTACTATCTCTAAGTATCTCAAAAACAAAAGATTTTAAACATATTTCACCCTTATAATAAATACCTTTTTTGAGCCCAAGAATCCAAAAATGAAATAAAATACAGGGTGTTTCAAAAGAAGAAATATTACTTTGGTATCGATCTTAGTTCTGAAATACCCTGTATATCTACCTTGTTCACATCTACCCATAATATATTTTGTTTCTATAATCTATCCGTTTTTGTATAATCAACCGAGGCGAATGAGGTGCGCCACCCTCGTCCTGAATTTTCCAAGACTTGTATGGAAACCCTAGTCTTTGATAAAATAAATTATTAAAACAAATGATCTCGATATTACGTAAATTGACTATACCAAAGTTTACAGAATAAAATATAAGTTCCGTCACTTGTGCCGGCGGCAGGTATCAAAAGCCGCTTCACGCACGTGTTTCCCAGTGTATTACTGGTGTGTGGACTTTGGACCCAGCATACACGGCGGATCACGTTCAGCGTATTGTGGTATTACTCTGATTTTGGCGTTATTACAGAGTGGTCTCGCATGCATATGGAATTATTTTTCAAGTGATTCTTTAATTTTCATTGCAAAATGTTACTGATCACATTAGCCTTAGTTAATTATTTATTAGTGTATTATAAAAAAAGCATAATTATTTTTATTATTTCTTAAAAATAATATTGAGTTTTTCGCCACTGGAAAAAAATTATTTAAAATATCTAATTAGTAGTGTCCCAAATAAATAAAAAATATCAAAATTGTATTTTTTTAAATGGAACACCCTATATATTATTACATTTTTAGTTTCTACGATTAAAATAAAGGTAAATTTGTTTAAGGTTTATTACACTTAAACCTGACCGTTTTTGAAATATTTTCAATTTTGTGAAATTGAAGTATAAATTTCAAGGCTTCATTTCTCCGAGGGTATCAGTTTTTAATACTAAATATTTACTGAAGTTTATTTATTGCTCAGTTATTGTGTTGCAATAATAAAAACTTTATTTACCTTATACAGAGTGTCTAAAAATTTATTTTAAATAATTAGTAGCTTTAAACGGCAATAACTTGTTTGATTTAAATGGAACACCCTATATATTTTATGAGAATCAGATGCACAATTTAATTGTCTATCAAATTGTATTATACTATTTTTTACCTATCTCTTCAAGTTTCCGTAGAAAATGCATTTTCTTGTAATTTAGAACTCATTTATCAATATACCCATGGAAGATGTACCAAATTTTAAAAAAAACTGTTTAAATATTTGTTAAAGAGGACCAATTAATATGATTCCAGTATTCAAATTACATTAATTGACGGTTTGCGTTGATTAATAATAATTGCTCCAAATACTAAAAAACTGAATTATATATGTGTATTAGACAGTGTGGTAAAAAGTAACACCTTAAAAATGATATTTAATTTTTTGACAAATGCTTATTTATAACAGAGACGTTCATTTTCATAAATTATTGTTATATTGATTTCTGATTCAAATCCACATTTATTTAGAATAATTTATTAACAAACACAATTAAGTATGCAGTTAATTAGTATTTGGGTGGAAATACTGGTGGTATATTTAATTAATGGTATAGATACTCTTTTATAAAGATTTAAATAGTTTTCTTTTTGCATACAAATGGGCTAGTAATATTATCGTTTTACTAAAAACAATAATATTACTAGCCTGTACATTTTGTACATTTGTTGTTTTAAAAACAATCTAAAATGTCAATATTCCATGGGTATATTGATAAATGAGGTCTAAATTATAAGAAAATGCATTTTCTACGAAAACTTGAAAGAATAGGTAAGAAGTATAATACAATTTGATAGACAATTAAATTGTGCATCTGATTCTCATAAAATATACAGGGTGTTATATTTAAAGTAAATAAGTTATTGCCGTTTAGAGCTAGTAATTATTTAAAATAAATTTTTAGGCACTCTGTATAAGGTAGTATACTTTTTATTATTGCAACACAATAACTGATCAATAAGTAAACTTCAGTAAATATAGTAAGTGTAATAAATCTTAATCAAATTTACCTTTATTTTAATCGTAGAAACTAAAAATGCAATAATATACAGGGTGTTCCATTTTAAAAAATACAACTTTGATGTTTTTTATTTATTTAGGACACTCTGTATCTTGTAAAAATATTTTTAAATTGTAGCTCTGTTAGTCCTTCAACGAACCCAAAACTTACAATTTGTAAAAATCTAATCGTTTAGCTACAATACTCCGTGTCGAATGTGGTAAACAACCCTGTATAAATGCTAACTTAAGAACTAATGTCAAATATTATTAAGTATCACAGTTTCGGCAGAATGGCATCGTTAAATGAAACTGGACATATCGAAATTAATTAAATCAAATTGTTTTAAGTGATATGTTCAAAAGTCAATAACTCGGAAATTGTTGGTTTGAGGTACATTGTGTGTATTTCGATTTTTGCTTAGAATTGAAGGAAGAATTGAAATATACAATAATATACAGGGGGTTTTATTTAAAAAAATTAAACTTTTATGTACCACGACTTTATTACGGATCCTGTATACTTAAATTTATTACTCGCTAATAGATATTTAAAAATCTTATAACTTTTGTATTTAACTTTTTGCGGTACCTCCTATATTTTACCTAATAATCGACCGTTCCCATACAGAACAGCGACCCTGTATTTTTTACACTTTTTTAAACAATGATAAGGTTTGAAATAGCTCCCATCTACCATACTTTAATTTATGAATATAAGAATAGTATTTGACTCCTTTTTTAGTTTTTTTACCCAATCTTTAATTTCTTTCTGATTATAATTTTAAGTAGGTGAAATGAGAAACCTTCAATATATTAGTATTATTTTATATTACATAGTTACCACAAATTAATTAATACAATATAAATAATTTACGTAATTTTTATTGTTTATATTTTTGATTCATATAACTGTCGAAACAGGTCCAATCCTTCAACGTTGATTTTATAATATGGCAATTTCTCCAACCTTTCAATGTATGCTTTTATGCGAGGATAATCAGCGTATGGCACCAAATTGTTCCAGGTTGTAACGGTGGTGAGTATGCTAAAGTCAGCGATGGACAGGTTGTCTCCAGCTATATAGTCACTTCCACTTAACTCGAATATTTTTTCCAGAATACTGAAAGCTTCTTTGAGGTTATTCAAAGCATCTTCGGATGGTTTAATGCCGAAATAAAAGAGGGGTTTCTAAAAAATAACAGGATTAAATAGATTAAAGAAATATAAATGTTATTAAAGATGTACTACTATAGTAAGTAAAACCTTTAAACAAATAATACAAATAGGTAAACCTTACTGTACAGGGTGTCCCATTTTGGTTGAAATCATATGGTATCTCCGCTATTATTGCAGATAGAAAGATGCGGTCTGCACAAACCTGTCCCACTTTTTTGTCAAACGAAAGATGCTGTAAACAAAATTTTCATAGCCCTCTTTGTTTCTGAGCTACAGGGTCTTTTTGAAAATTTTGCAATTCGGTACACCCCCCGTATCTCTGTTATTGCACAAGGTATCGAGAAGGTAAAAACTCTTTAGTGTAGAACTTTTTACGGAGTCTGTTATTCTACGAAAATAATATTTTCGAAGATATGAACTAAAGTTATGTTTTCTTAAATGGAATACCCTGTATATTTATAAATTATATGATTTGGCTTGCCATAAGCTTCTGAAAAATATATAACATTCTATATTTATTTTCACTATTTACTGCAATATTTAAAAGTTTTTATTAAAAGATCATATTTATTAGTAGGCCATGATTGATAATAAAAGAAAATAAAGAATTTATACACAGTATACTGCTATCAGTCTCTTGTTTTATTTTAGGGGCTACTAATAATTTTTTTATATATTAGGAAAACTTAACTCTCTACCGCTATTTGTAAATCTTGGAAGTTATCGTACCGAAACTTTTAGATATTGCTTTGGCTAATTTACGTGAAATATACTTTCAGCATGATGGAGCTTTCCCTAACAACTTTGAAAATATTAGAAAGTTGTTAAATTATTATTTCTCAAATCAATGAATTGGAATCAATCAATGGACCCATATGATGGCCTCCCTGATTCCCGGATTTGTCCGTTCCCGATTTCTCATTTTGGAGATTTTTAAAACATGAAATATTTCGTGGCAACTACAACAATGTCGAACACCTGGAAAATACTTTAATAATGCAAGCTTTTAGATATTTGGGAACCCATCCCGTTATAATAAATTCCGTTATAAAGAAAGAAAAATATATTCAGAGATTCAGTGGTAACAGTTCAAAAGTAAAATATATCAATCCCAAATAAAATTTTAATGTGTGTCTGACTATTTTAGTAAATACCATTTTGATTTTTATGTTATTTACAACGGCCTACTAATAAAAAAATGACATATTTTAAATATTGATGTAAATAGTGAAAATAAATATAGCGTGATATATCTTTAGAAGCTCATAGCAAGACGGATCATATGATTTATAAACAGGGCCGTATCTAGACCAACATTTCGGGGGGGGGTTTGGCCTGGAGAGGGGGGGTACAAAAGCTGCTAGGAAAAAAGAATAATAAAAAAATCGATTTGGGCTACACTCAAATCTTAATTGAAAATAAAATTTTAAAAAAGTAACAGGTAAAAATTATTAATCTTTAAGGATAAACTGGTCTTTTCCCTGGAAAAACGATTGACTACCTCTTTGATATCGATATGTATTTCTCTATGTACGCTTAATAGAGGAAGTCCTGTCAATCGCTCCTGACCTGTAGAGTTACGTAGGTCCTTCAATCGTCTTATGCCGCAACCGCACATGCGGCATTTAGCGAACTCCGAACGCTCGTCAACTACCGAACGCTCGTGATCGGACTTCGCCTGTCCATCCACACATACGGGCTCTGATAGCAACAACATAGAGATGAGCGCTCGTTCTCGTCGCCGAACTCCGACTTCTTCATCCACACACATAGGAAATCGGCGAAGCCCCGATCGGAGATCGCCGAATACCGCATGTGCGGTTGCGGCATTAGGGTTGAAAAAAACCTTTCTGGTGTAGCTGTTGACGCTGGTAGAGTTGCTAGGATCATTAATAAAATGTATATATTTGGAAATATACACTGGTTACACTCCGATTATCGTTTCGATGGCGTTTTAGGTCGGTCGACTGCAGGTAGCTGCTTCCATTTTTGCCGCCACAAGTCTAGTTCTGCCGCTAAAGTGTCATAGTCCAAAAAATCTTTGACTAATAGCAGAACAATAACAAACGTTAATCACGTTAATGACCAGCAAAACACACAACATTCAAAATCTTGTCCTTATCAAACTTTTGCTGTTTTAAACACTTGAATGTTGAAAGTCGAAAATTGAAAATGACATTTGCTTTCAAAGTGGAAAAGTGAGGTTAGGATGTATAATGTATATTCATCAATGATTAAAGAATACAAGGACAAATAGCACCCGAAACCAAACTGTGACCATTCTTCCAAACAGTGTCGTGGCACATATTTTACTTAACATTGCCGCTTGAAGGGATATTTATATTTTTGATATTATATGTTTTCACTACGCCTATGGTGTATCGGGTGGTATCATACTAATTAATTACGAAAAAAACGTATTAAAATGTTAACAAAAGGTACATAACTAGTATCGACGTATAGTACATATGAAGTACATATAATATCAGAAAAATAATTATCGAATTCAATAAAAAAAAACGCTAAAAAGGTGTAGGGGACTATTTATTTCCCTATAAAACGTAACTTCTGGCTCTTTCTTATCATTGCGCCTTTTACACTTGACAGCTGAACAAATTACCATTGTAATAAAGTTTATACAAAGTTCATTACACACAACCAACTATTAAAATCGCTAAAATTGTCGCTGATGACCAGCTGATGATTCATTCGTTATGTCTAAAAGTTGGCGTCTAAGGTCACAAATTCTCTGCAGCCCGTATATGGGCGTTACATGTCCTTGTATTCTTTAGTCATAGATATTCATACCATTTTGATTTTTATGTTATTTACCACGGCCTACTAATAAAAAAATGATATATTTTAAATATTGATGTAAATAGTGAAAATAAATATAGAGTGATATATCTTTTTGAGAAGCTCATAGCAAGACGGATCATATGATTTATAAATATACAGGGTGTTCCATTTCAAAAAACATAACTTTAATTCATATTTTCAAAAATATGTTTTCCGTAGAAAAACAAACTACCTACGTCACTGTATTCTACGTAAAAAGTTCTACAAGAATCAGTTTTCACCTTCTCGATATCATTCACAATAACGGAGTTACGTGGGCTGTCCTAAATTGCTCAATTTTCGAAAAGAACCTGTAGCTCAGAAACGAAGAGAGCTATGAACATTTTGTTTAGAGCATCTTTCGTTTGACAAAAAAGTGGGACAGGTTTGTGCAAACCGCATCCTCATATCTTTACTAATAACCGAGATACCGCATGATTTCATTCAAAATTGGACACCCTGTACTAAATGAATAACAAAATACACAAACAAGTGTAAGTGCAATAAACAAAAAAACTGCTTAGGAGCCACTTTCGTATTTATTGAAAAAAAACATGTTTAAATGTTACTCTTTGTTTTGTTAAAAACAATGAAATTAAAATAATATTGCCATAGAAACCCGTTTTGATTTTTAGGACTTTAGGAGTTTTTTTTTTAATTCTCTCTAAAACGGTATGAAAATTTGGAAAACCATAAACAAAATTAGCCATTTTAGAACAAGCAATTTTTTTATGAAGAATGTGTTTTTCTCAAAATGGCAATAATAAAAAAGTGTTTCCTCTTCTAAAGACAATCCGGGGACATACTGTAGGTAGGTTTTCAAAAAAATATCAATGTACAGGAGACTTACAAGTATCGCTAGACCTCTAGCAAATAGGATTCCTGTATCAAAATATAATTTATGATCAATGGTAGCTCGTTGTCTACAATCTTCTTTGGGGTACAGAGAATCATTTTTGGCATATCTTCCAACCAAGTAGGCCATGATTGCATGACTGTCAGAAACAATAAAGCCATCTTCTTCCTCTAAAACGGGTATTGTGTGTTGTGGATTTTTCTGTAAGAAAAAGAAGTGTTTTCACTCTATATTTCACGCAGTTCTGATTGACTTCTGTTCTTGATTCGTTCACTGACATTGAATAATAGAATTAAAACCGTGGCTTTGTGATAATATTTAAGTATCCACTCCCAAAAAATCGATTTGCTATATCAGTAAAGACATTAATTAAGATTGATTGACGTATTCATTTGTTTTTGGTCACTTCCTGTTTCACCGAAAATGACTACAACTTTTGATTTTTAAATGGCACTAATATTGCCACTATTCCATAGAAAATGACACTCTGAATCGAATGACATCATACGTCAAATTTTGACATTTTCGCATATGGTTTGTTTGAAATTGTAACATGCGGTTCATAACGACAATTTGACTTAATTTGAAAAAAATACTTTTTCTAAATATGCTAATGGGCCACCCTTGTTCCATTTGAAAAAATTGAGATATGATTAAAAATACGATTTGGACATCATTTAACCGTAATAAGACACGAAAAACATTAGACGATCAAATATATTTTTCCAAGGCTCCTTGATTAAAATTAATATTTTTAACACAGCCATGGCACTCTCGGTTAAAATTTAAATGCGATTTTTTTTAAGCGAAAATGTCAAAAGTTGACGTATGATAGAGTCATCTATTCAGAATGTCATTTTCTATCGAATAAAGTAGAAATATACCGAGGGTGCCATTTGCATAACATACATAACGTGCCAACAAAAACATACCAAATCTCGTTTATTTATCTGAAATAATAAAAAAGTTATAAGGGTGAGCCACGAGACGCACCCGGTATAGATATAGTTAGACGATTAGTTTTAAGAAAGTCTCTTGAAAAAGGCCTATAAAGGCGCAACATAATATGCCAGATCATTACTCTCATTAAAATTATTGTCAAAAACTTGACTTACCTTTAGAAAATCTTCTTTTAAGTGTTCTTGGTTAGCCAAATCTACTGGAATCAATTCCAAATCCAATCCTAGTTCGTTTGCACATAGTAGAACAGCTCTTACAGGCGGACTAGCCAAAACACCGTACAATTTAGGAGCCATTAGAACAAGAAAACCTTCTTTAATGTCTGGTAAATGTAGAATAATCAACCTAACAGGCTTTAATACTCTATAAACTTATGAACTAACGATATTGTTGATCGATCTTGTAATCACATAAATTTTAATGAAGAACGTTAACCCGGTTCGGTTGCGTCAGGAATGTTGAAACTGTTTAATAAAATAATATTTTTCTTCGATAAATAGTTTAATAATCATCAGATGGAGCGTTAAACAGGCATGCATTAAATAGGTACACAATTGAGCGTTAAATATACACTGGCCGGCACAAAAAACGGACAACTTAAATTGTTCATGTATTTTTAATACATTTTTTCTAATCGGCCGATTATCAGGATTTTTTAATCAGTATGTAGCTTCAAAAATGTGTAGCTAAATGATTTGTTTTTTTAACCTCTTAATAGCCTTTCATACTCCAGCTGGCGTTACCGTCAGCCAACAGCGTCAGCCTGTCCGAGAATTCCGGGATTTAGTTTAGCTTTGCGCCGCTGCGCGCTGATGGTCGTTTACGGCGCAGCGGATAAAGAATACTGTACCGTAGTTCTGCTTTCAGTCGACAGAGTGGTTGCCGGAGACAGTGTTGCCAGAACTACTGATTAATCTGTAGATCTACGGATTTTCGGTACAGTACGATAATAATTCTAACTCTAATTAACCTCTCATTAAACAATTTAATATTATATGATTAAACAACGAACGGCGTCAAAATTGGCTTGGAAATAAAGATCGCTGTTATGTTATATGTAAAATATTATGGTAAATGTTAATAATCCTCATTTTCAAACCAGTTAAATGACTTTTTCGATCATGCGACATATTCAGTACCTATAAAAGAATGTGTATTTTTGTTGTATATTCAATGTTTAACACAAATAAACTTTCAATACATAAACGGGAATTACATACGCATTTACATAACGTGTTACAGATATTACACATTTTAATATGGCAACACTGTCGCTTTCAGATCCACACCAACTTTGATATGCCTTTGCTGGCCGAATTAGAGAAAATAAGTGGTCTTATGCGTTGACCACAGAACGACTGGTATCTCCACCGTACACCACTTGCGACGTAAGGGGAAATCAAATCAGGCTTGTCACGAATTCGCCCATTAGCCCCCCATACATTAACATATAAGTTGGACCGATTTGATCCGTCCGAATTGTGTCGGCGAACTAGGCTCGGCACATGCCAAAACTCTCGTCATTTTTGAGCTCGAATTTGGCTCCCCGACTTTATAGCCCGATTAGATTTGCCTGATTAAATCGTGTTGTTAATGGGACAAAATTCGACGTTTTATAACAGATTTGATCTGGCTCGCGATCTTTTGGAAGTCCTGAAAGATTTAACCAGTGGTCTTAGATTTACTCGGCATATTTGTACTCAGTGAGTTGCAAAAATGAATAACAATCGTAGAAGACGCGCTATAGCTTGTGCCATGTCGTATGTATTTATCGCCAATAAACAAAAAGTAAAAAACTAAGCAAGTGGGTAAAAAAATGGATTTCTCGTAGAGATGAACTAGGTTATATGCTAAGTACTAACCAGTACTAATCCACAGACTTCATCTGTTAGATTAGGTTGGTCTAAAAAACGAACGAAGGATAAAGTTGGCGGACTTGTGACGCTGTTTTTTCTAAGCGACGGTTTTTATTCCGATAAACATTTTTCTATATAAAGACTGCTATAAAACATCGAATTTTGTCCCAAACCAGAGTATTTAATTAGGCAAAGATCTAATCGGCAGACTATGTTAACAGGCCAAGTCCGCAGACCAAAATACGAGAGTTTTGGTACGTGACATGACAAGTCTGTGGACTAAATCCGCAAGCCAAGTCCGCAGGCCAAATCCGCAGGCTAAATCTTCTGGTATATCGAGGCTATTAGTAGTTATTTCTTATACAAGTCGACCGAAAAGATTAATTCACGAGCGGTGATATCGCGAATAATAAATTAATTTCGGGAGACGATAATGCAATTTTATCGTCGTGTATAAAACAATAATTTTTTCCATAGCGAGTTACGTTTTAAAAAATATTCAAAAATTATTATTTCAAGGAATTTATTACGAGTAGAAAAAATATCGTGCTGAGTTGGCGTTGGTTGCTATGTAATTTGACAAATAAATAAAGCTATCAGTTTTGAGTTAATATTTTTTAATTCTCTTTCGTGTCGATTGCTGATTGAATTGGAACCAGAAATGGCTCAAAACGAAATAAGTAAATTACCAACAGATATTCAGGCTGAGGCGACCAAACGCCATATATCCAAACTACTTCCATTTAAATCCCGAATAACTTATGAAAAGAAATACAAAAAATCTTTTTACCTATTACGTTTTTGGTTTGTGATTTTTATTTCAATTTTTTACATAAGATGGGGGCCATTGTAACGCACATTTTCAAAATATTTTTGTCAACATACAGGGTGATTCAAACCGCAATACATATGCTTAATACAGTTCATGAAGATTAGGACATTTAACTAAAATTTGATTATCTGATGAAGCTACCTTTAAAAGTAATGGATTTGTAAATAAACATAATAGGTATTCATTATTATGCGACAGAAATCCCATTCTGTAGCACACAGATTTTATACTTTTAATGATAAATGCCTTCTATTGCGAGACTAAAAGGCAATTGCCTCGTATCAGAGCCATCATAATACAAGAAGAAGACCGAAAGTCAAATCTTGTCTTATGTTTTCAAAAAAAACACAATTTTCTTATTAAATATTGATTTTAGGTATAGGAAGTTATTAATAATACAAGATTAAACAACTATTGCACAGTACTTCACAGGAAGCTATCGATTGCGAACTAACTAAATCGTTACTAATTAGGTACTAATTTTGAAAAGTTCTTTTTAAGATAAAAAAAGGTAAAACTAAAACCTAAACTATCATTTGAGATTAAACGGAAAGTTCTAAATAATGTTGCCTATTCTAAACAAGAAATATTTATTTTCTCGAAAAGGATATTTCTATTTGCTGTAGGTAATTTTTTCAGGGAAAATACGTAAATAAAAATGACTTTTTAAGTCAAAAAAAAATCAAAAGGACAAGTTATTCTAAAAAAGGACTAAAAGTTACTCTAAAAAAGGATTAAATCAAACCACAAACCTAATATAGAACTGTTTCGGAAGCTTGAGTCACCCTGTAAATATTAAAAAAAGTAACTGAAAGTTTATATAGAAGTAACTGAAAGTTTAAATTGAAAATCGACGTTGGAGTGATTTTCGAAAACTACTAACGTTTCAACATAAGTATATGTGGGATATTAATTGTATTATTATATCAGACCTTATAACAAAACTCATCTGACGAAAAAGTGTTAATGTAGTATATTAATATGGAGTAAAAATTTTACTAATTACTTTACTTTTACTTTACTAATTCGTTCCAAAAAACGATACGCCACTGGCCATTAGAACAATCTAAATGTGCCTAGTTGCCGGGGTCGGAAATTTTAAACTTCTCTGTCTCTTCTGTCCTTGTTTGACACATTGTAATGTTTGATACACTACCAACGAGTATTTATGAATGAGATGTTCGGTCTATCTTTATAATGTCTTTGTTTAAAATACATGAAAATTTGGAGGTGTCAATTTTTCATGGCGGTCAGTGTATTTACATTAACACAAAAGTCTATTTATATTCTTTAAATAAATAGATACTTGATAATGTTTGTTAGGTATCTCTTCGAAATGTTATGAGCTGTAAAGTATTTTTATTAGAAAATAATACGATTGATAGAAGTTATCGAAAAATATATTTAATAGTTTCATAAAAGTTAAATTAAAATTTAGAAAAAGCACTATTTTGCAATTAATTATTAATAATTTTATATAAATTGACCATTTGACCTGTTTGCTTTCTACGGTGCGATAGAAACAATTAAAAAAATACCGTATGATCGAAGAAAAAAGACATCAAAGACGGCTGGAAAATGACAATCGATGATAATTTTAGGGAGCTCAATCTGTAGACGTCATTTATTAAAAATTGACACATAAAACTTATGAAAAATTAACAATAATTATTGGAAGATTAAAAAGGGATAGAAATTACTTTTTCCCAAATTTTAAACTACACCATTTAAAAATCCTCGTAAAATCTATCTACTGAGCACTTGTTTGTCTTTTTTATATTTTTCAAAATAAGTAAATGAAGATGACATTATCTAATTATAACATTTTATTTTCTTGTTTTTAAAAATTACATATTTAGAAATGTTTATTAATTTAACATAGAGAAAATATTAATATTAAATAAGATTAAGCTCTTTCTGTCTGCTGGAAATCCATCTTGTTAAGTCCTCCATACCGTCTATGTTTTCCTTTATTCCGTAACAAGGCAACTTCTCCATTCTTTCCATGTAAGCTTTCACTTGCGGATAGTCAGCAAAATGCACAACATTATCCGCAAATCCAACAGATGTCATAATGCTGAAATCAGCAATGGTCAGACTATTTCCTGCGACGAATTTGGTCTTGCTTTTTTCTAGGAAAGTGTTGAGAAGTTCCAGAGCTTCTTTCAGGTCGTCTAGTTTTTCTTTGGACGGTATGACGCCGTATAGGACCATTGGTTTCTAAAACAATGTCATTTTGATTTGATGAGAGTTTGTCAGAAGTAATTTTAAAATACATGCTACGTTGACACAATATTTCTGTTAAATGTATCACTGACCGTCATCATTTGTAAACTAAAATCTTAAAATTACTGAGCTTATACAGAACTATATGTGTATTATAGGCTGTTTATATATTTTAGAACAACTAATACACAGCTCGGGATCTCTACTACCAGAAATCAACAAAAGAATTAAGTTAGCGTGGAGTACTTATTGAAGAAACTCAAACATATTCAAATCTAGAATGCCACTCTATCTAAAGAAGAAAACATTCGACCAATGTGTACTACCTGTCATAACCTATGCATGCAAAACCTGGACACTTAAAACGAACATCATAAGGAAACTGCAGGTCGCACAATGCTCAATGGAACGAAATATGCTGGGAATAACCAAGAGGAACCGTAAAAGAATAGAGTGGATACAACAAAAGACCCAAGTAATAGATGTCATCCTCAGAATCAAATCCCTCAAGTGGCAATGGGCAGGATACCTGGCAAGATCCTATGTTATAGGGCTTGTTTCTCTCTACAATTTTCTGCCTCACAATGTACCGTTTGTGTTCAGGAAGAGTTCATAGTTTCATAGTTGTCGATTTTCGAAAGAAATCAGTACATGCATATTATTTCGTATATTTTTCATTTTATTGATTTTATGGAAAGCACTGTTCATTAAAATGTTGTATCCTATGTTATAGGGCTTGTTTCTCTCTACAATTTTCTGTCTCACAATGTACCGTTTGTGTCCAGGAAGAGTTCATAGTTTCATAGTTCTCGATTTTCGAAAGAAATCAGTACATGCATATTATTTCGTATATTTTTCATTTTATTGATTTTATGGAAAGCGCTGTTCATTAAAATGTTGTATCCTATGTTATAGGGCTTGTTTCTCTCTACAATTTTCTGTCTCACAATGTACCGTTTGTGTCCAGGAAGAGTTCATAGTTTCATAGTTGTCGATTTTCGAAAGAAATCAGTACATGCATATTATTTCGTATATTTTTCATTTTATTGATTTTATGGAAAGCACTGTTCATTAAAATGTTGTATCCTATGTTATAAGGCTTGTTTCTCTCTACAGTTTTCTGTCCCACAATGTACCGTTTGTGTCCAGGAAGAGTTCATAGTTTCATAGTTGTCGATTTTCGAAAGAAATCACTACATGCATATTAGGTATTTCGTATATTTTTCATTTTATTGATTTTATGGAAAGCACTGTTCATTAAAATGTTGTATCCTATGTTATAGGGTTTGTTTCTCTCTACAATTTTCTGTCTCACAATGTACCGTTTGTGTCCAGGAAGAGTTCATAGTTTCATGGTTGTCGATTTTCGAAAGAAATCGGTACATGCATATTATTTCGTATATTTTTCATTTTATTGATTTTATGGAAAGCACTGTTCATTAAAATGTTGTATCCTATGTTATAGGGCTTGTTTCTCTCTACAATTTTTTGTCTCACAATGTACCATTTGTGTCCAGGAAGAGTTCATAGTTTTATAGTTGTCGATTTTCGAAAGAAATCAGTACATGCATATTATTTCGTATATTTTTCATTTTATTGATTTTATGGAAAGCACTGTTCATTAAAATGTTGTATCCTATGTTATAGGGTTTGTTTCTCTCTACAATTTTCTGTCTCACAATGTACCGTTTGTGTCCAGGAAGAGTTCATAGTTTCATGGTTGTCGATTTTCGAAAGAAATCGGTACATGCATATTATTTCGTATATTTTTCATTTTATTGATTTTATGGAAAGCACTGTTCATTAAAATGTTGTATCCTGTGGCAAGAAGAACGGACAACAGATGGACCACAAAAGTTACAGCATGGTACCCACGAGCAAATAAGAGACCTAGAAGAAGACCGATCTTGAGATGAGATCATGATATTAGGAAATTAGCAGGGATAACTTGGACTAACAATAGACAACAATGGGCCCAACTACAAAGAGAGTATCTAAATATGTGACTAATACTTTCTAATGAGGTTCTTTGTAGATAACCCGGGCTTCCGATCACTTTTTGTTATGGTGCTTGGACCAGTCACACATGGTCTACAATACTTACTTTATTGTTTTACTCCTTTGCGTATATTTTTATGCATGTTAATCGTCTCTCTCACAGAGAGAGAGTCAACAGATTGTTATATTTTTATTTAAACAAATACCAATTTGTATTATTTTTTGAGGGATCGCGGACTATACGTACCGTTATACTTTTTACTCTAATGAATAGAGTGCTGCAATCGAAATACAATTTGTGATTGATAATAGCAGTTTGTTTGACATCTTTTCTGGGGTATAGCGAGTCGTCTTTGCCGTATTTTTCTACCAAATAAATCATGATGGCGTGGCTATCAGTTAAAATGAATCCATCATCGTCCTCCAAGACTGGGACTTCGTGCTGAGGACTTCTCTGAAAAGGATAAATAAAAAAATAAATTAGACGCTTTTAAAGGGAACCAAACACCCTTTCTTATAGGAGATAGATGAAAACTAATATCGGTATCTGAGCTCAATTTTTATCAAAAACGTGATGGTGAAAACCACACATCGATATCTGTTAACTTTTCGGAATTACGGGGTGTTTTTCAAAAATTTGCATTTTTAACAAATCGCTGTAACTTTTTTACTATGGAAAATTTTGTATTTTTATGAAAACATTTCCAAAGCACCTTTTTACGTAGAATTTAATTGTATAAAAATTATACTTAATTTTTTTTTAAATTAATAATTTAAGAGTTATCAACAGAAAAATTGATTTTTTATTAGAGATACCCTGTATATTTTTCTTAGACTCTAAAGAACTTAAAATTACCTTTCCAAAAATATAGTACACTTGATATTTTGTTATAGTCCCCTTCAAAACACTTCAGAATTTTTAAAAGTTGGCCACTTTTAACTAGTAGGCTTTGGACCCCTTATTGATGGTCTGTCCCTATTGGAACTCGAAAACATATTTTTTCTGCAAGACGAGACACCGCTTCAGAACGCTGAAGTTATCAGCAAATTTTTGCAGCCAATTTCGAGAATAATTTAATAACTAATCAAAATCCCAATGGTTGGCCGTCGAGTCCACCGAGGCCGCCGGACTTAGCGCCTATGGATTTATATCTTGCGGAAGAATAATGGCTCTTATTTTTAAATTGCCCATGTCCACAGTCCATGCGCCAAAGGCAAATAAAGCGGGAACAGAGTAGCACTAATATATTTTGGTCTTGGGCAATGGTCGTACGTGAATGATTTCGCAGTCGTAGTTAATCGGTTATCGTGTTGATAACTATGACCCTTCTATAACATAAAAATTACGTGCAAAGGAATTGAAAATTACCAGTTTAGTCGGGTACTGTAGCATGTAAAACTTTAAAAACACTGTCCTGAAAATTTTGTCCTTGTGGACTTCCCCCCTTTTTCCCCTGTACTCGTCATATTTTTTGAAAGGTAATTTTAAATTATTTTCAATGAATTAAAAATATACAAGGTGTCCCATATAAAAAATCAAATTTTCTGTTTCTTTTATCGAGATCTACCAGCCCGGAAAATATTTGCATTTATTTAAGACTCATCCTGTATTTCACTTTATTAAGACACTATGTAAATAATAATTCAAAATATTCTTTACCTTTATAAATGGTTCTTGCAAATGCTCTTCTCCGCAGAAATCCACCTTAATATAGTCTAGCTTTAAATTCAGAGTGTGAGCACACATCAACACTGCCCTAGTTGGTGGGCTCAGATCAACACCGTACAGTTTTGGAGCCATGTTAACAATTGAAGAGCTAACTCGTTACTATAACGATGTCCAAAGCAGTCTTCTATTTATACAGTTGATATAAAATTATTATTGTCATATTATTTGCGATAAACAAACAAAACAACAAAATAGGGATGTTTTGAAGAAGTGTTTGTTCTTTATGTACGGGATAACGACATGTTATTTTTAAACTTAAAAATAATGTACTGGGTGTCAAGAATGATAAATATAGCATCTAAAAATTTCTCAAATCTTTTTTCTCAAAAACTATGCGATGTGGCTTTTTTACAAGAGACAAAAAATGTAGTAAATACTAGGATTACCATTTTACGAAAATAAAACATTAGTCGACGTTTGGCAAATGCTTGGCAGGAGGGTAAGAGACCTCGAAGTAGTACCAGCTTTACTAAATGAACTTCGCTTGGTCCTTAAAGAAGAATGGGAAAACATAACTCAATATGATATATATGCAGCCTCAAGGACAAAATGTACGAAAGTATACAGACAGCAGCAGCCAAGAGTGGCAATACAAAGTATTAGGATTAGGGTATTTTTTACAATTTTTTTCTGTTTGTACACTTGAGTATTACAGATGTTTTCTTTAATATCGTTAGTTCTGTCAGGAGCGCATATACGGGAGGGGTAATGGGGGTAATTACCCCTCCCAGGAAGAAATTTAGAAATAAGAAAATCTGGTATAAAATAAAATTGTCACAATATAGTCACGATACGTTTGAGCGAAAATGTAATTTAAATCTATTACTTTATTTAAATATTGGCACTACCCCTCCCAATCTTTGGATGCGCCACTGAGTTCTGTTATCGTTTTGGTTTGGTTATCATTAATTTTATTAAACCGGACTGTATCGTTAGTCTTTAACGTTTTTTTTTTTAATTTAGTATAGAGTATCCAATACAGTGTAATATGACGTTACGACCATCTATATAGATGACGTTACCAAAACCATCTCGTCATATTGATGTTAATGATAATTAAAAAATTGCAAATTGATCGTTATCAGTTCATTTCGCTCTTAAAAATTAACCAAAGCATATATTGACATGAATCAAAAAATAAAATGCCCAGAAGTCATGGTTCTGACGAAGTTTTAGTCTAAGGTTCTGACCGTAAAATTATATTTTAGGAAAATTTACAAACGAAAGTATTGCACAGGTAAAAAACAACCCCTCGATTAACACTGTATAATATACCAAATACTAAAATTTATAAAAGCTGAGTTTATAAATTAGAGTTTATATAATTATATACAGCTTCTTAAAAAAATCATGAAAATAGGGCTAAAAATAACAAAAATATAACACTTTAAATTTGACTAAAATTTTCTCAGTTGTGTTTTTTTGCATTTGAGTGTATTTATAAACACATTTCTAAGAAAATTTCATTTTATTACAAAGTAACACACACATAAAAGCTTCTTTCTTTTAATAAATATAAATAAATTAAACAACAATTCAAATCAAAATAATTGTATTTCATACATAATTTTTTTTTTATTTACTTACTTACTTTGGAAAAAAAAACAAAGGTTTGAAATATAAAATGAATCAAATATTTTAAAAACTCGATAGAATTTTCTAATTGAAATATCACACGATAGAAAAAAACGGCGTCAAAGGCAGCTGGGAAATGACTATCGATGATAATTTTGACGAAGTCAATCTCAATAGTTGGTATTAAAAAACTGTATTTTATTTTTAAATTGAGTAAAAAAGTTTAAAATTAGAGAACTATTTTTGGAAATAGATTTTGTGTGTCTGGAAACGTTACAATTCTTAGTAAATGACGTCTAGAGATTGACCTCGACAAAATTATCATCGTTTGTCATTCCCCAGCCAATCTCTGACGCCGTTTTTTTTTCGATCTTAGGGTGTATTTTATATGTATATTATTTTACTCGTTTAACCTAGCCAAAATTCTTGATTTTTGTTGATTTAGTCCTTCTTCGATGACATGGAAATAGGGCAGTTTTCTAATATTTTCCACGTAGGTTTTCACAGAAGGAAAATCATCGTAAGAGAAAAACACTTCAACAGACGTCACGCTCATGGCGATACTGTAATCGGCTATAGTAACATTGTCTCCGGCTAGATATTTCGTCTTGTTATCTGTCAAAATCCGATTCAAATAACCAACAACTTTTTTTAGAGCGTCCAGTTTTTCTTGGGAAGGCTTGATTCCTTGAGTTACCAAAGGTCTCTATAAAAAATGGTAATTAGTGTTTAAAATTTTATTTAAAGGAACAATTTCTTCAGACCACATCCAAAAATGACAGAGAATACAATATAATTTTGAATTAAATTGACAGACTCATAATAAATTCTTTAAAAAGTGTTTCTAGATATCTACCATGGCTTCAATTTTTAAAGAATGAATATGGGAATAGTATCTGAATACTTCATCATATTTTTTGTTCAAGGTTATGTTATTTTTTCCATAGCAACTGTTAAAATTGCCTTATATCTATCAAAAATAGTAGATAAAATAGCAAGGGTAGATTAAATGATACTTTAACAGCGAGGATAGGTTAAAAACTTTATTTCTTCTCGCACGATTTTTAATTGCTTCCATTTTTGAAAATGTTTGTATTCCTTTTCATAAAGTTATTCGGGATTTAAATGGAAGTAGTTTGGATATGGCGTTTGTCGCCTCCGCCTGAATATCTGTTGGTAATTTACTTATTTCGTTTTGAGCCATTTCTGGCTCCAACTCAATCAGCAATCGACACGAAAGAATTAAAAAATATTGACTCAAAACTGACAACTAAAGAGACAGCTTTATTTATTTGTCAAATTACATAGAACCCAACACCAACCCAGCACAATAATTTTTCTACTCGTAATAAATTCCTTGAAATAATAATTTCTGAATATTTTTTAAAACGTAACTCGCTATGGAAAAAATATTATTTTATACGCGACGATAAAATTGCATTATCGTCTCCCGAAATTAATTCAATTAATCTTTTCGGTCGACGATAAAATACCAATTTATCGTCTTGTATAAAAAAATAACTATTAAGCCAGGTTTCCACATGCATGGATTATTGGCGCCACAAGCACGCCTGTTCCCTGGTGCCATTAACTGCCGGCGCCAGTGGTGGTTTCCACACAATCATTGTTTGCTGGCTTGTCTGACTAAAAAAATGGCGTCTTCTATAGTTCGTGCAAGTATTAATCTTAAGCCAGGTTTCCACATGCATGGATTATTGGCGCCACAAGCATGCCAGTTCCCTGACCCAGTGGTGGTTTCCACACAATCATTGTTTGCTGGCTTGTCTGACTAAAAAAATGGCGCCTTCTATAGTTCGTGCAACTATTAATCTTACAGTGAAAATTTTAGCATATCAAATATTGAAGGTATTCAAGAAAAAAACGGAGAAAAAGAAATTAAAGCACAGGTGGTGGGTCCGTTCATTGATATATCGTGGAAAAATGTTGGGGGAAACTTATAGTTTACTAAAGGAGTTAGCCTCTGAAAACCCAGAATCGTATGTGAACCATTTGAGAATGAATGAAAACCTATTCGAGTTTGCGGCTAGAAAACAACACTAAAAAATAAGAACTGGCGCCAAAAAAAAGTTCAACTACTTTGTACTTCGCTGGAGCATAGATTATTGGCGCCACTTTACTGGCGCCAGTTAATTTTTGGTGCTTCCATATGCAAATAAACTGGCGCCAGTTGACTGGAGCCAATAATCCATGCATGTGGAAACTAGGCCTTATACATATGTTATTTTACCGTTATTGGCTTAACACTGGGCCACAAAATGCTGGAATCAAAATGCAACGATTGATTAATAAGAGCCTTCTTCGCATAATCGTTTTTTGGATACAATGAGTCATCTTTTCCATACTTGTCAACCAGATATCCCATGATGGCATGGCTGTCATACAGAATAAAGTCATTGTCGATTAATACCGGCACTGTATGGGTAGGATTTTTCTGAAAAGTACAATGAAATACACTCAGCGGCACGAAAAACGGGTACCTAAAAATATCGATGTATTTTGGTAAAAGTTTCAAACACCCTGTGAAATATGTTAATCCAGTAAGGAATTTGAAAATCATTTTATCATCTAGGTACATTTCTCGATAGTTTGTTTTTTGATTAATCTCAATAGCTTTATTTTTTTTTGGAGATATTCGCTTTTGAAGAAGACACTAACATGTTTTCGTATTTTTTACAGTAAAACCATGCCTTTGCTTTTGGGTCCACAGGGTGTTTCAAACTCTCACCAAATTATCAACATTTTGTTTTCCCTCGTATACTTGATAGATGGCAACTTTCATTTCTAATTTAGAAAAAGGTAATAAAACGTCAAATCATTTAGCTACAAATTGCTTAAAAATCATGAAAATCGGCCCATTAGAACAAAATATACTAAACTTTAAAATACATCAAAATCTTAAGGTGCTCGTTTTTCGTATATACCGTATGATCGAAAAAAACGGCGTCCAGTTGGCTTAGAAATGAACATCGATTACATTCCCCATATAATTTTGTCAGAACTCAGAAAGATTTAGCTAAAGATAAATACAATAAAGTTATAGACATCACCATATTACACAATAGATTTAAAATTGTAGAAATCATATTAAAATATTGATATTAATTAATTGAGATGATTAGCAATTTTTATATTATAGCGAGGCTGCATTATCACAAGTCTGCTAAAAATTGATCGTAAGAGGACTTTGATTATGGCAATTCCAAACGTAGACGTGTTTAAATCGTTTTAAAGAAAGATTCGTATAAAAAATAATTAATAATAAATCACTATTTATCTTCCTATAGTTACACTGATTTATCTAATAACATACAGTCACATGCTTGAACCTCCGATATCAAAATAAACAAACTATATTAATAAATAATAAGTCTGCAGAGATGATATATTTAAAAAATATGTTTTTAAAAACAATAATGGATAAGAAAATACACCCATTTTACTTATTATTTATGCATGAGTTTTTGGGTAAAGCTTCATTGTATTAAAACACAAATAAAATTAATAGAATATCTTAGCAACAGCTTGCGTTAGTCAGTTGTATCCAGATCCATAGAGAAAGCTTAATATTTAGCTTATAAAACAATCAACTTTTGATTTCTAACCACAATTTCTCTTGACGGAAGATAATCAAAGGCCAAAATGACATTTCTCACAAATTTTGAAGTATAATTAGTGAAAAAGTAATATAACTTTTTCACAAAACATCCCCCTTTAGAACTTTCTCTTTAATGGCCATAAGGTGGGAGTAAAAGACCAACCGCCCGAACAAACACTAGAGGCGCCACCGGTCATCAAATCAATGACTAAAGAATATAAGGACATGTAACGCCCCAAACGGGCTGCAGCGGAATTTGTGACTTTTTTTTTGTTTTAGTGGCAAACAATGAGTCATCATTTGGTCACCAGCGACAATTTTAGCGATTTTTAATAGTTTGTGTGTAGTAAACTTTGTATAAACTTTATTACAATGGTGATTAGTTGTTCAGCTTTCAAGTGTAAAAGCAGCAGCGATAAGAAAGAGCCAGGAGTTACGTTTCATAGGTAAATAAACAGTCCACTCCAACTTTTTAGCGTTTTCTTATTGAATTCGATAATTATTCTTCAATTCCAATTAACATCTATATGTACTTGATATGTGCTATACGTCGATACTAGTTTTGTACCTTTTGTTAACATTTTAATACGTTTTTTTCGTAATTAATTAGGATGATACAGCATAGGCGTAGTCAAAACAATTATCAAAAAATATAAATATTGCTTCAAACAGCTAGGTTAAGAAAAATATCTGCCACGGCACTGTTTGATGGCATCGTCACAATTTGCTCTCGGGTGTTATTTGTCCTTGGATTCTTTAGTCATTGCATCAAATGGTGTAAAAATTGCGAGAATTTAATCATCTAATTTTGACACAAGGGGTCGCGCTTAACTTTTTCAATTTTAATTCGATATTCATTGTTTTCAAACTATATTATTAGACTTTGTTGTATTTTGTAAATGTATAAATGTTTTCTTAGTATAAAGTTGCATTATAGTAATTTAAATTATATTACATACGTATTTAAGATTCGAATATTATGACATATATGTCAGTTTCCGTCTAAAATGTCATCTTGATAACAAAAAGTTAGTTATTGTCAAAAGTAGTTAAAATCATGTTAAAATATTAAAATTTACAAGTTATAATTAGATACTTTATATTATTTCAACAACAAATACATAATAGTACAGCGTAATGTTGATATGCAGGTCCAAAACAAAAAGTGCCGTTATATTTTTCAGTTTTCGTTGTCAGCCGCGGAAGTTTCAGTGATTTTAGTATTGTAAGATAATTTTATTTGTGAAATAGAAATATTGCGTTTGGATTGCAAAACTAAAAGTGGAAGTTTTATTGCAATGTAAGTAAGCGTTTGTCCATTTTATATTTTACTTTTTTCATACCTATGACAAATATACATAATATTGAAATTTTATAATTCGTTTTATTTAAAAAATGTCAGAAATCAAGCTTGTAATCCTGTAATTAACATAATTATTATGTAATATATTCCATTTAATTATAATATATTACTTTACAATTAAAAAAATGTAAATTTAAAAAATATATTAAAAATATATACAGGCATTAATTGAAATTTTTTGAGTGCGAACAAACACGAGAGGCGCTATATTATTTACTTTCATTTCTTAACATGACAGACGAAGTTCTAAAGGGGGATGTTTTGTGAACTTTTTCTACTAACTGAAACTGTCTACCTCTAATTTTGACGTTCTGAATGCTTACATTGAAATTAAAGGAACAAACTTCTACGCTAATTGAAACCACTAATTTATTCCACTAATTTCGAGGTTCTGAATCACTGTTCTGTGTTCTGAATGAAGCTTAAGTCTGTTATGACTGTCAAGCTCCATCTACACATAACGACTTAAACTCTTAAGAAAAATAACTTACCTTCAAGAATTCCTCTTTTAAATGGTCACCTTTGATAAAATCAATTTTCACCAATTCCAAATCCAATTTTAAAGCCTTAGCACACAGAGTAACTGCCCTTACAGGTGGACTGATAAGCAAACCGTACAATTTCAGAGCCATTTTTGTACTATACTAATCACTAATCACAATATTTTTCAATATAACTTTAATTGCTGTTGATTATGAATATATCTAATTTCAGAAAAATAGGTTATATTAGCGGAAAGATGATTATAAATATTATTATGATTTTGAGTAAATACAGGCTGATTGCCAATGAAAAAATAATATCTATTATGATCTAAGTATCTAATTATTTGTTCTTTAAGTTTGTTAATAATCTACGAGTATTTTAACGATATTCGAACTTTATATTTTTAATGAATTTTTGTTTAATATCACAGGTTTAATACTGGGTTAAATAACACTGAATCGATTCAAGGACGCTAACGTTATAAATTCTATTAATAGTTCAACAAATAAAAGCAGTTCTTTCGATATTTGGATTTTTTTTACCGTCACCATTTTGTCAAGAATTTTTTTTCTTCATTTTTTGGTATCGTTTTGGTGTTAAAAATATAAATGAGTCTCTATTTGTGTCAAAAGCAAATACAGTGGGGCAAATAAAGTAAGGCAAACAACATAGGGAAAAAAACTTATACCGGGTGCCCCTGAAAAGTCTTTTCACACCCCTATAACTTTTTTATTTTTTCAGAAAAAAAAACGAGATTTGGTATGTTAGTATATGACATAAATTAGGATTGATTGACGCATTCAATTGTTTTTGGTCACTTCCTATTTCACCGGAAATGACTACAACTTTTGATTTTTAAATGACACCCTCGGTATTTTTTTACTTTATTCGAATGAGACTCTGAAGAGAATGACATACCACACTGAACCAAAAGTCGACATAAATATAATGAAAAAGTTTATTAATATAACGAATTAAATCATTAATTTTGAGCCGATGAACGATTTCATTGGTACAATGGAAAGTAATTCATTGACTCTATGAACTTTAAGTTCATTAAATCAACGAACAGTGTTCATTAATTTGAAGAACACATTCATTGCTTCAATGAACAGATTTCATTAATATAATGTACCTAAATCCTTATATTAATGAACCTTATCATTAATACAATGAAATAATTTCATTGTGTTAATGGACCGTATCATTAATACAATGAAATAATTACATAACCTATTTAGTTATACATTTAAAAGTCGACACTATTAGCACAGAATATCTAGCTACGTAGCTAGATATTCTGTGCTATTAGTAACTCTTGTTACACCGTATAATCGATGATGAAGATCGCTGTCATTGATATGAAATGTCGTTGATAGTCATTTCCCAGCCAACTACCTGAAATAATTCTACCATAAATAGATTTCCATTTGAACAAGCCCTTAGCTACAAAGGTAACAAAATTACTAATAGTGCCGACTTACTTACGAGCACAGTAAATTTTTCCATTAGGAATTATTAATAAAAAACAAGTGCATTAAACTAATAATAATTTATTAAACTCGATATAGCATATACAAATTAAAAATTAAAAAAATCGAATCGACGAAGGGAATAGTAATGTTATTATTAATTTTAGGGAAATTATATTAAGAAAATTAATTTACCAGTCGATATCCTGAGGGATTTCTATAAAAAGACCATTTCTTCATTATATTAGCTGTATCCTTAGATTTGATAATGTCTAGACGAATTTGCAACAGGCTTTCCAAGTCGCATCAAGTGGGTCCGATGTTAAATTGTCGAATTTGAGGGCTTGAAGGCAGGTCTCAACATCTTCTTCCGGTTCTAAAAAGACGTATATCAAAAATAATTAAAGGCCAAATATTAAAAAGAACATTCGAATTTACCATAATCAGTTCCATGCCTCGACTTGTTACTATGTTTTTTCTTTCTTTTGTTTTTATCTTCTGAAACATATTCTCACATATCTCACACAGCGGAATTTGATTTGACAACACAACAAATTAACTACAATACGATAGGACTTTTATTTAAAATATTTAAAATATTGAAGAGAACACTTACCGCTCTAATGAAACTAAAGCCTCACTGAATAACTCAACCACACAGGCGTTATTAAAGTGCCAAGGTAACCGATCAACATGGCGGACATTTAAGCCCTAATATTTTATTCGTGATATTAATAATCGCGTACATTAATATAATGTAGCGTGTTCGTTGTATTAATAACATTGTTCATTGTCACAACGTACAACTCATTAATCAATGATTTAGTACATTAATATAATGAATATGTGTTTATTAAAGTTTCAGCACTAAAATAAAGAACGCATTCATTGGAACAATGAACGTGTTCATTATACAGTAAAACTTCCATATAGCGGCCACAAAAATTTTCAAAGGAATGTGGCCGTTAAGGGAAGTGGCCACTATTGGGAACAATAAAATACAGATACCAATGTAAAATGCCTTTATTTTGGAAACGTGCAAAGTAATTAAAATTAAGTACGAGCATGTAGTACAAACACACAATAAGTGTTAATAAATGATCTTCAGTTTTAGATTTTTGGCACAAAAAATAATTCAGTTGTTACAAAAAAACTTTTATTACATAAGATTTTTGAAAAAAAAAAAACTTACAATGTATACATATGTATTTTACACATAGGTATTCTTATATACATATGTACAATTGACTTTTAAAAGTTACAAAATGATAACCTTATTTTATATGGTGAAAAACTGATTAATGGTAGTCTGCTTTAAATTTTTAATTTTGATTTTTGTAATTTCACTTTCAAATTTCATCAAAGTATGGGCAATATCAACCGCTAGTTCGTCTTTGTTTTGAATCACCAAAAAATTCTGAATGTCTCTTAATTTTTCACATACTTCACTCATATTATTTATAGATGAACACAGAATGTCTTGGCCTTCATCTTCTTCCTCTTCGGCTTGAGTGGAGTCCTGTCTGTCCTTGTTGTTTGTAAATTCCTGGATTATTCCCTGCATCTCTAAACTAGGATTTTCCGTAGGGACATCTGAATCGACTGTCAGATATTCTTTAAGATCTGGACTTCCTGGCATGTTTTTTAAAATTGAAGATAACTGACTTAAAGGAATGTCGTCCTCTTCGTCAAATGCATCGTCCCCTTTGACGGTTGCAAATCCCGCTTTTTGGAAACATTTTTTTATAGTGTTCGATGTAACATTTTTCCATGCTGTACTTATCCACACCATAGTACTTGCCAAATTTATGCTCTCTTTAGCCTTTTCCATCGTTTCTTCGGTATTAGTAAAAGTCAAAAGTCTTTTAATAAAAAATTGACGATATTTTAATTTAAAATTTTGAATAATTCCTTGGTCCAACGGCTGGCAATGAGATGTCGTATTTGGAGGAAAAAAAATTATACGAACATTTTCAAGTTCTATTTTTGGGTGAGACGTGGCATTATCCAAAAATAAAAGAACTTTTCTACCCTGCCGTTTCATTTTGGTGTCAAAGGTTTTGAGCCAAGATGTCATTATATCTGTCGTCATCCAAGCTTTTTTGTTGGATACCCATTCTATCGGCAATTTATCTACATGCGCTCCTTTAAAACATCTCGGGTTTTTGCTCTTACCTATAACTAGCGGATTTTCCTTCTCACCATGCATGCTGCAACAGAAAAGCAGTGTCACTCGTTGTTTAGCTGATTTTTTGCCAGCACATTTATCATTCTTTAAAGCAAAGGTTTTGTTTGGCATTGCCATATAATAAAGCCCTGTTTCGTCTGCATTAAAAATGTCTTTAGTGTCGTATTCCTTAATGATTGCTGTTAATTTTGTTTTCCAGTCTTCAACAGTCACTTCATCCACATCTGCAGACTCACCACAAATTGTTTTGAAGTTAATATTATGTCTCTTGCAAAACTTATTTAACCAGCCAGTTGAAGCCTTAAATTCACTAAGTTTCAAGGATGTAGATACCTCAAGAGCTTTTTCCCGAATTAAGGTTCCCGATATGGGTATGTTTTTGTTCCTTGCCTTACAAAACCATTCGTAAACTAGTTGATCGATTGCAAATCCTTCTGTTTTAGGAAACTTTCGTTTTTTATCTGCATTGCATCCTTCTTCTTCAAACATTTTTTTTAATTCCACTTTGTTTTTTAAAATGTCGTTCACTTGCGTTCTTCCAACACCAAACTTTTCCGCCAACTTTCGAGCACTGCTGTTATATTTTTCACTTTCCGCGACAATATTTAATTTCTCTTTAATAGACAAACGTTTACGTTTCAAAGACATGGTTGCTGTTCTTTCAGAGTAAGAAACTAAACTGATTCTATATCTCCCAAAAATTTCAGCAAACTACTGACGAATTTGTATTGTATTTGTCACTCTCTGTACCTACTTCTCAAACAAATTATAAATGTTTATTGCTTGGAATTTCCTAAAGTGTCCTAAAACAGCTCTTGTTAGACAAAAAAAAGGTTCGAAGGGTTCGGTTTTTGGCCGGTATTGGGGCAGTAGATAATGGGTTTTTCCCTAAAATGTACCTTTGAAGCGGCCGGTGACCGCTTTCGGAATTAACGTTATTGAGAAATATTTTAATATAGGAATTCCCCTAAGATTAATTCAAACAACTGAAAATTGACCGCTAACAGAAGTGACCGCTTTTTAGAAGTGGCCGAAATGGGAAGTTTTACTGTATTAATGAAAATCTTACATTAATTTAATATCCAGATTTTCATTATATTGATGAAATTAGATTCATAGTATTAATAAATCGGACATCGATCTATGATTAACAAATCATTATATTAATGAAAAAAATAATTGTCCCAATGAAACAACAGTTAATAATCAATGTTCATTAACATTATGAACAATATTTCTTTCAGTGCATATGTTAACTTTTGAGATATTCTCATTTGGTTTATTTAAAATTGTAACATGCGGTTCATAACGACAATTTGATTCGAAATGCCAAGTGTGTGGTACCAAATTATTCGTAAAAAAAATACCTCTTCCAAATATGCTAATGAGCCACCCTCGTTCCATTTAAAAAAATTGAGATATGATTAAAAATACGATTTGGGCATCTTTTAACCGGCCACTTTATGTCCCTTAAGCGCTGTTAAAGAGATGAGTTTTGTTGATGTAAATAATAACTGTTTATATATTTTGATTAAAAGAAAATATGTAAAAGTGGGCAACGCTGTACCGTTCAAGCTTCATCACATGACTAAAAGTTTAATTGGTATGAACCAAACATTGCAAATTAAAAAAAAGACATTTTCTCGGAAATTATAATTAAGTTTATTACATTGTCAATTCGTCTTACAAAATAGGTGTCTTAAAAACTAAAAAGCTTAATAAGTACGAAATCATTTAAGATTCCAGTTTAGATTTAATAAAGCCAGCCAACTGAACATTGCCTTCTTCGTTGACCTTATACCAGGGCAATTTTTGAGGTCTCTCGATGTATGCCTTCAACTGAGGAAATTGTGAATACGGCACGTAGTTGTCGATACAAGTGACAGTTGTTACAATACTGAAATCGGCAATTGTCACGTTGTTTCCTGCTATGTATTTTGTTTTGTTGTTGACCAAAAAGGCTTCTAGAAATCCAAGACCTTCCTTGAGTAGACCCAGAGTACTCTCAGTAGGTTTGATGCCTTTAAATAGGGGTGACTAAAATAATAGAAAGATATCAATAACTTAGAAGTTTCTTATAGAAATAAAATTTAGTGACATCACAGCGACATTTAAAATGGTCAATCGTTGGTAAATCTTACACTTAAAAAAACCTAAAAATAAAAAACTGCAACATTGTACTTAAAATTTTACAAATATACTGGGTGTTCCATTCTGAGCGTGCATTAGAATTTTCTAGAGAACTACAATATCTAGATCGGAGATTTTTTGCACATCATTGTTTCACTATGAGATCTATCGATTAAAAATATTTTCAATATGGCGTCACTTTCGGAAATACCGGAAATTGGCAGCAACTTTCTTATTTTAAATGGATACCTCCATTTTTTATTGCATATTTAAATTATCTATAAAATTTTATGAATTTTGATATCAAACACTCTATACTTAACATTAACCGTTTTTGAGAAAAAAAATATTTTAAATTTTTGGAGGAAAAAAACTGCCTGTCAAAAGAAATTGTATAGCCTAAACGCCAGATTTAGTGATTTTCACAGCGACTGTGACATCTTTGAATAAGAAGACTAAGAAAGAAGAAGCATATCAAAAATCTTAGGTACACCGCTTTGTACACCGCGATGGGCCTCAAATATGGCCGACTTAAATTCCGGTTTATCAGTGCCGTTCTAATTTTATTTAAAAATTGTAAAACTATGATGTAGGGTAGACGTGGGGTAGACTCAATAATTTTTTTTTATTTTACGTTGTGAATAAATGTTATTAAAATTATTATAAAAACATATTATAATAAAAATAGATAAGTTTTAATAATTATTTATTAACACAAACATCCGATACGCTACTGAAGCAGGTAAGTCAAATTGGCGCATAGATAAATGCAACAAGTTTAGATTGGAAAGCCCGTAAAAATTTTAGGTCGCGAAATTATTTTGGGTCGCGACCGTTATACGCGATCTGGCGCTGCTATAGCGGTTGCTAAGACCAACGGCAAACAAAAACAGAAATAATTTTCTCTTGTCAAAGTCAGAATCTTCAAAAATCATAATAATCTTTCAAAATCCAAACTGCTCTCATTAAAGAAACTCCGAAAAGTGTTTATAGCGTCCATTTTCAAAGTAATAATTGCTATCTTGTGAGTTTAATTCAAGTTTTATTTACTCCAACCGGTGATAATTGTGGAAAAGTGGCATTAAAAACTTAAAAATCTGTGCTGTGAACTGTGAACTGCAAAAACCATCGTGGATCGTGGCATAACGTCGGTTTCCAATGTTTCATAGGTATTTCATACATGCGTCCTTATATAAAATAAAGTTTCTTGTATGCAACACACTGTCTTTTATTTATAAAATTAAACGAAAATAATAATAAATTTGAATAAACAATATTTGGCGATAATTCCGGAAAAAGCCGAACCGCTCCGAAATTTTCAAAAGTTTTGGGTCGCGACCGCTGCAAGGATAGCGCCAAATAGTGTTTACATTGTCCTTATGGGCACTTTCCAATCTAAACTTGTTTCATTTATCTATGAATTGGCGTATCTAAATTCTTTGACATCTAGTCTTTGACAAGTAGTAAATAAAAGCAAAAATGCAAGAAAAAATATATGATTAGTTAATTTAAGTTAATTTCATAAATGATCGGTTTACTACACGTATGTATATTATATAGTCACTTACGTTGTTCCATTATTTCACTCGATTTGTGCCGAGATCTACCGCACGCTACACAACCAACTATTTTAGAGTCTTTTTCGATAAATCGCGATAGTGTCACTGTTAATTTAAGTTCTGCCACAATTTCCATCTAGATTTACTACCTTTATACAACTATCAGTAGTAGAATAAATAATAAATAACATAAAATAAGCTCCGTAAAGACCATGGCTGGGAAACTTAAATGGAAATGACAGTTCATAAAAATAGTTTTTCCTCCAAGATGCAGAGGGACAAAATATTAAAACTGTCAATATTAACAATGCAAATGTCAATATCTGACAATAATAAAATTTGATTTTTAACTGTCACTCAGAGACGCTTTTGTTGTGATTTTACGGTTTGATTTGTCGAATTATTGTAAAATTAAATTCCTTCAGATTTTTTGCCAGTATTCTGTTTTAGACAATGTTTTTTAAAAATGGTGGGACAATTTGTGTTTTGTAATAACTCTTAATTATTTTTTATCATGGAGTTTAATTGTTGTACACCTGGTTTCCGAAGGATACAATGGTAAGTAAATTAAACATATCTACTTACAGTTATAGATTTTTTAAATTAGTACTGCTAATAAATGCTACTTGCAGAGCAGTTATTTAATTTTTTTACGGTGCATGTAAGGAATTAAGGACGCGCGTTTTTTTTTATGATCAGCAGATAATTACATCTGATTTAATTTGTTTTGATTATTTCAGGTCCCAAACGGAAACAAACTGGGAATCTTGCCTACACCAAAATTATATACCTAGCCGTTTCCAATTCACTTCAAAGGGAGGAAAATTATGTAAAACTGCCTGCTATTTGCTGAAAACCACCAAAGATTAAATTATAACTGTAACAACTTAATATATACTATTTCTAGTATTTTTAATATATTTTTTAATTAATATCCGACATATAAGAACACTTTGTATGCTTTTAATTCAGTTGATTTATCGTGTATAATATGTTCGACCTAATTAAAAGCACACAAAGTGTTCTTACATGTATGTCTAAATTTATTTTAAATTAACTAAAACAACCCCCTTCCCCGCACCCCTCTCTTCCATTAGTATTTCTTCCTCCGTCTAAAAAACAGAGCGCTGTCGCCGCCGCAATTTCTACCTTACTGATGAAGAGCAATAGCAATGCGAGGCGCAGTAGCTGCATGTAAACGGTCACTTGCTTCTACAGCTGCCGTGGAATTATTGAGGGCAGGACAGCGGGCAGCGCGAGTAGCAGCGGCAGTGGCTGCATGTAAAGGGGGTATCAAATGAATCGTCAAACAGAACTGTCAAGAATCCCCACCCTAGAGACCTTTTTCCGCCCACCATGCATGAATACATGGACAGCATTATGCTCCTTCCTTAGTCTTCTTATTCAAAGGATAGATCTCATTGTGAAACAATAATGTGCAAAAAATTTCCGATCCAGATCTTATAGTTCACGCTCAGCCTGGAACACCCTGTATACCGAAGTATGAGGCCAATAAAGATTTTAAACAAAATCAACACTTTTTTACCTGAACATTGCCGAGTCTGTGGCTCAAAGTACCTCCCTCAAAGAATAATCTTTCGTCTATGCGAATTTTTTGTTTTAGATTATCTAGGGGATACAAAGGATCATTTTTTTTATATTTGCTGACCAAATATATCAAAATGGCGTGGCTGTCGATTATGATAGTTCCATCGTCGTCTTCCAATACTGGCACAGTATGTAGAGGATTTTTCTGTGACAAAAAAATATGTTATTTTACTTCATATTAGGTGTTTAAATTTGTATTTGTATCCCTGTCTTCGTTTTTTATTAGTGCTGTATATCGGGTGATCCACGGAGATGGTACGTTAGACGTTTACGGAGAACCGGTTGTAGGATTTTTTTGAAAATTTGCGTTACAGTGTTCCCGGATCATTTAAAAAAAATAATTTGTTATTTTCAATTCAACCCAGTTTATACAGGGTGTTCCTTAATGACATGCTAATGTTTAAGGAGATAATTTTTGGACGTATTCTAAGAAAAGATACAGGGTGGTAAATTTTTCTAAAAAAAAACTTTTTTTCATAATAACTCTGATTTTTTTACAGTGTGTCTTCTATGCATCAAAATACTGTTTTTGGTGTACAAAGAATTCTATTTACTTGAATCAGTGCAGTCCATACGGCTTTTAATTGAATATTTTTAGAAAAAAAATAGTACACCACTGACTTCTCTTAAAATAAAAATTATTTTCAAAATCTCCAACATTTTTTCTCTTGATTTTTTCGCCCGACACATAGTTTTTGCTTAAAAAAAATCAAGTCATTTTATTTCATGGTGAAATCCATGAAAATGTGATGCGGTGACAGTGGGGTGAAAATCATTTCTTCATCGGCTGGAAGGAAATTAAGGAATACAAATTTTTTTGTATAACAAAATAAGCATTTTGATGCATGGAAGGCTTGTATCAAATATACCATCAGAGATGTTTTGAAAAAAAAATCAGAAAATTTTACCACCCTGTAAACAAAATAATTATAATGGAATGATTCTTGAAATGACTTTACTAAACAAACACGAAAGTTTAGGTTTAGAAACATAAGTCGTTGAAATGCTCGTTGAATTATATTTATGTTTCTATTTTTTAAATAATATACATAGGCTTCAATGTAAAATAACAATGATTTGAGCGATTTTATAACAAACGAAAAAAAGTTATTTTTTAATCTCCCTGTTTGATATCCAATCCGTTGATTTAAACAGATTAAATATGTTGACTTTCCTAAATCTATAACCCAAATTTCAACTTTCAATATGCCGAGTTTATGATTTAACCAATGCTTATTCAAGATCATGTTTTTGTCAATTTTACACATATTTTATGCTTTATCTCGAAAGATGTTAGAGATAGGTATAAGTTAGTTAATAAAAAAATGTGATAATATACCAGGTGTGTCATTTAAAATAACAAAGATACTACCACTTTTAGTATGAAGCGGCAACTCTGTAATTATGAAAATAAATTAGACAAATAAAGCAGGTGCCGTTATGCAAAAATAGATTTTAGAAAAAATACTATCACCCGTTCTCCATAAGCATCTAACGTAGGTACCATGGCCGTGAATCACTCTGTAGATACCTTTTACCGACATGCACATGTGTGTAACGTAATAAATATTTTTTTAGAGACTTTATCTGATTTTTTTGCATTTGATCATTTAAGTCTACCCTGTATATTTCAAAACTGTGCAGGATCTTGAACTCGATCATAACAGGATCTAGCGGGGTAAATATTTTTTATAGCATATAACACGCGCTATGTTTACCAAAGATAAAATTAGAAACATGACATGAAAAATTAATCCGATAAATTTGTTCATGAATTATGGTAGATCATGGTTTAAATATTATTAAACTAATATTAAGTGTCAACGAGTGTACAAATAATTACCTACATGATATTACTTTTTATATTATTTGGAACATTTGAAATTGATTTGTAACATTTGAAAAAAATATATATATTCTATACGGAGCAAAAATGTACTATTGTGTGTATTGAGGGACTAGCTACCGTCAAACGTACAGTACAGCTTCGTCAAAAAAAGTATAATTTTTAGTCCTAATCAAACCATACACTATTGTTCGGAGATAGTCTTAAGTCAAGAATGAAATTAGTATTATATATAAACAAGGGTATTATCTAATGTCAAAATGTAAAGTACTAATTGAGAGGGCAGAAGTTATCTTGATCAACATACAGCTGTTTCAAAAAAGATATAAAGCAGCATATTTTCTGACAACGATTATTGACTTTCGGAATGAAGATATTATAGTCTAACATCTAAAGAACTTAAGTTCTGCGCTAGAGTTTGCGAATGTAATGTAACAGATTTTTGTCACTTGTACATAAATTTCAAAATAAATCCCTGCCTTTTAGAGGTCTAATGCATTTACACGAAATTACTTCAAAAATCAGTCCAGCATTTTAATTCATGAAGAGATATGAACTAGGTATAGGTATGTGTTATACAAATCATTTAAATTTTTTAAAGATATTATGTTTTAAAGCTGAAAATAAAAAAAAACTCCTAACTAAACCTGTGTTCCTGAGATTGAAATAGACTACCCCTACAGTTAGTGCATTATTTAAGACACCCTGTATATGTATGTAGGTATAACATATGGAGGCTAGATAGCTTCTTAGCCTCCATAGTAACTTCCTTCTAGCCTCCATAGTATAACACCATAAAAAATGGCGTCACAGTTGACTTTGAAATAAAGATCGCTATCGTTTTATATTATACCGAGTGCGTCTGAAAAGTGGCTCACCCCTATAACTTTTTTATTTTTTCAGATGAAAAAAACGAGATTTGGTATGTTTATTATATGGCATAAATTAGGATTGATAGACGTACTCAATTGTTTTTGGTCATTTCCTGTTTCACCGGAAATTATTTCAACTTTTGATTTTTATATAGCACCCTCGGTATATTTTTACTGTATTCGAAAGAAAACGATACTTTGAATAGAATGACATCATATCATATGTCAACTTTTGACATTTTTGAAATTGTAACATGAGGTTCATAACGATAATTTGAGTTAAAATACAAAGTGTGTGGTATCAAATTATTCCTAAAAAAATGCCTTTTCCAAATATGCTAATAAGCCACCCTGGAAAAAATTGAGATATGATTAAAATTACGATTTGGGCATCTTTTAACCGACCAGAAAAGACACGAAAAACATTAGACGATCAATACTATTTTTCCAAGGCTCTTTGATTAAAAATTATTGTTTTTAACACAGCCATGGCACTCTAGATTGAAATTTAAAATGCTATTTTTTAATTGAAAATGTTAAAAGTTGACATTAAATATGCCATTCTATTCAGAGCGTTATTTTCTATCGAATAAAGTAAAAATATACCCAGGGTGCCGTTTAAAAATCAAAAGTTGAAGTCTTTTCCGGTGAAACGGGAAGTGACCGAAAACAATTGAATACGTCAATCAATCCTAATTTATATCATATACTAACGTACCAAATATCGTTCTTTTTATCTGAAAAAATAAACAAGTTTGAGGTGAGCCACTTTTAAGACGCACCCGGTATATGCTTACCATTTAAAGCCTTCTTATCGACCTTCTAAGTTATATAACAACGTTATAATCTAATCTAATAAATATTCTAAATATAAAAATAAATGGGGTGCAGGTATCTGCCTAATTCCACATTTATTTATCATCATTTCGTTGAACTCAGATAAAATTCAATTGAAAACACTTTTAAAAAAATTGACTTTTACCTTCAAAAAATCTTCTTTCAATTGGTCTCCAGCTAAAATGTTAACTGTAACAAACTCCAGGGGCAGCTTCAGAGCTTCGGCACAGATCAGAACTGATCTGACTGGAGGACTTACAGCTATACCATATAACTTTGGTGCCATGTTGTTAGTGTAGCTCTTAGCCCAGTTAGCTGTGTCGACTGATAACTGAAATTACCGATTTTCGGATCCGACTTTATAGCTGGAGTCAGCTTAGCAATGTTGGTGGGGGGTCAAGACCCACGATAATAAGAAGGATGATGGTGTAACTTTCAGAAAATTACAGGATATTGTGTAATTTTCAAAAAGTACTGCCCTTACAGCCTTTGCGGGCCCCCTGTCTTGAAATTTACATGTAAAATAGTTCATTATTTATTCTTAAATAGAAATGAAACAGAAAAAAGTGACGGTAATATTCTGAGATTATCCCGAAAACTTTTTTTTGGGTGAACTATATTTTTAATAAATTGTCCAAAACTTACGAATCTATTACGCTGTACTTTCGGGTCCCTCTCAGGAGTCGGGTAAAGCATGTGTTTGACCGAAGGAAATATATATTATATTTCAGGAATCTGCCTAATGCTTAGCCCGATCCTGTTGTGTTAAGCCACACCCAAAATTCTAAACACACGTGCTTTGATTAAGGCTTGATTAAGGTTTGCAGAGCTTCAGCATTTGCCATAAAATAGCGAGCAATTTGCTACAAAACCATATAAATTATATATCACTGTAATCGCAATACTTCAATCTATTATATATATTGTACCGGAATTTTAAATGATGTCTTTATTTTCGATAAAATATAGTCCAAACATAAGGACTATTTTGTTGATGTTTGATCGTCAAAATATTAAAAATAAAGAAGTTGTTTAAAATGTGCTACAATACGGATCTTTAATTATATTATCTTTAATTTCCTTCTTCATTTGTGTAAAAATACCTAGCCAGTTTTACATAAAACGTTAAATGCCGAACGCTTATTTTGCTACTTTTTCGGACTAGTGAGATGGCGATTAAGGCGAAAAAATATGCAAAAAACATTAGAAGAGCCTGGAGATAGAAAAAAAGGGGAATAGGCCGAAGGAAGCTACCCTGGCTGAGAAATATTATTAGCAAGCACTTCAAGTCTCTGAAAATTAATAAAACCATTTGATGAGGAAGAAAAAGATGAACGCCTACGCAGGAATCTGCACGGCACTTAACAAGAAGAAGTTTGATATATTAGAAAACCATAATAAAACATTTGTGCTGCTATTGTTAAGTGTTGCACCTTTTGAAATTTGTTTAAAAAATGTATCTGCATATTAAAAATTAATTAAAAACCCAACAGCGTGATTATTGTCCGCCATTTTGATGTCAGTATAACACTCTTCAAAGGGAATCAAAATTTATATGTATTGTTTGCTCTATGATAGAAAGCTGAGCTTGCATTTTTTTTATCTCTTATGGCACTAATTAAAGGTGAATAAAATACTTTTTTCAAAACGTCACAAAAGTATTATTTTTTTCGTCATGACTGACAATATATAAACGCCTGTATGTCAAACGTACAGCTTCATTTTTACTCATTATAAGACAATATACTATCATATATCCATACTCTTTCCAACCCAACAAAAAACAGGTACACCAAATCCTAAAAATGAATTATAATTGCACCATAGCCACACCTTGCATTCGTATGGTTCGATAAAAATGACAAATGTTGTTCAGCAGATATTCTTTTATGACAGATAAAAAAATAAAATGGCAACGTCATTCAACTTAATTCATGTCAATGGCAACAATGACGTCCAGTTCGCTTGGAAATGAACATCTATGACATTTCCCATATAATTTTACAATTAAAATGACAGCGATCTTCATTTTATAGCCATCGCTGACGCCGTTTTTTTTCCGATTATACGGTATATCAGAACAAAATACTAAATTTTCCGTTGTCTTAATAATTTATAATCCCCAGTAAAAATGTACAAACCAAACAAAATGCTTTAGCATAAAAAAATGTCTTAAAGAATGACAAAACTATTTTTTTAATTCGACCTAAAGTTGAATGACTTGATAACAAAAAAAAAATAAAAAAAAGCAGATGTGAGCTTAATATGCCATGTAAGGATCACGTGATATATCTTTAAACAAATTAAAAATAAAATGGCAAATTTAATATACATTGTAGAGATCCTTTACTTTACCGACATATAGACAGTGTTTAAAGCCAATTATTTTGGTATATTGTGGTGTATTAGTGTTTTATTTTGCACTTATAGATATATTAAAAGTAAATTCTAAAACCTTCAGTCGTATAATTTTCAGTTAAAATGTAAAAAATAAAAAAAATTGCCTTAGCATAAAAATATCTTAAGGAATTCCAATATTATTATTCTACTCCAATCTCAAGTTGATTGGTTTGATAAACACAGCAAAACTGAGGAATAGCTTTCTAAAAATAAAAAAGCACGGATGTGAGCTTGAAAAAAATATATTTTTATATAAAAGGCTTGTTCTCTGTGTCAAAGCTTTCATTATTTTTGCTTTAAAAATAAATAAAAATATATGTTTTATTCGTTTGGCTTAACACATCAATCATATTAGATTTGTTCATCATGTGATCAAATTTTCATGTAAAAGCTTTGATAAAAGTCAAGCGGAATATAAGTATCTTCATTGATGATACAAAATTATTATTTATTAAAACCTTCACATTTTATAATTAATATTTAATATTTTTATCAAATTAAGTAAATATTTTTATCACATTACAATGAGTAAGCAACAGTTATCTTTATTGAATGTATTTTTATTTTATTTTTAACGTATTTTTTCGACAACCGACATCCAAGAAAAGACAGACAATACGATCGTGAAGCATGTGAATTAAAATGACAGTCACAACTGTCATGGATCCTCCAGTTGACATTTTTCAGTAAATTATGTTTAAATTACTATTTTCTTTATATTTCCGCTTTTAAACACTGTCTGACAACAATGGTGTGTGTAAAAATCTGCGCGCGCCCTAGACCACATAAAAATATCAATGGCAGTGGAAATATAGAATTAAGTAGAGAAAAATACGAAACATAATAGTTCTAGACTATTTGTGTAAGAAAAATTGGAAGTAGTTTCTTAGTCCAACCCTTAGCGACTGAAAATATAATAATTTTAAATATATGAATGGATACATAAGATTCTATAAGCTTGAAATCTAATTTTAAAAGTAAAACTTTGGCACACAGAAAAGAAACTGTCATGAAAGGATCGCTATAGATAGGTTGCGTTTCATTTTGGTAACATTTTTTAATTTTCTCTAAATAAATAAAGTATGCTTGTGTCTTGTGTAATTATCTGTACTAGCACAGGTACCAGGTAATAATTAGATTTATATAGCTTAAAATATTTACGTGACTCTCTAATCAAAATATATACTACATATTATGTATTGTTTGCTCTATGATAGAAAGCTTAGCTTACATTTTTATTTTTTTATCTCTTAAGGCATCAATTAAAGGTGAATAAGATACTTTTTTCAAACGTCACAAAAGTATTAATTTTTGCGACATGATTTACAATACAGGGTGTCCCAAAAATAAGTGCACGTATTTTAACTGGTAGTATAGTTCAACCCCAGAAACACGCCTATGAGGTTTTTCTCGCAAATTTTTTTTTTTAAAATTCGAAATTTTTTGATAATATGGCAACATAGTATAGTAGATTAAATTTACAAGAAAGAAAATCCAGAAAAGATCCAGTGGTTCTCAAAATTTTAGCAAAAAATCATTTTTTTTTTTGGAAATTTTCAAAGTAAAATAAGTCCGTTATTTTGGACTTATTTGGAAAACGATAAATAAAAAATATGTTTCTTTTATCGAGATCTACCACCCCTTAAAATACTTGCACTTATTTCTGAGACACCCTGTATAAAAAAGTCATTTTAACGCCTAGGCATAAAAGCAGTTTTACGCCTAAGCAGAAAAGTACGAAAATATATTATTAAACTGACATAAAGTGTCAAATTCAACGAGTGTAACCATAGCTTTCAGATATAAAATTACTTACAAGGTATCACTTTTAATTTTTTTTATATTATTTGTAACGTTTGAAATTGTTTCAAAAATTATTTGTGCCGCTTGAAAAAAAGTATCATATCGACACTAATCATCCCTACCTAAAAGGCTAATATCTATACAGATCTAAAATGAATGAATTATTTACGCAGTCAGCAACGTTGCCAAAGTTCCAACGTACATTTTCCTGATATTAAAAAAAAGATAGGTGTTAAAATAAGCTTTATTGAGAAAAATATGACGAGATAAACGATTACAAGCAGAAAGCATGGCTCCGAAGTTGTACGGTTTATACCGAAGTCCACCAACGCGAGCGGTGTTGTTATGTGCCAAAGGTTTAAATTTAGAACTGGAGTTTGTTTTGGTGAATTTGTATGAAAAGGAACATTTGTCAGATGACTTTTTGAAGGTAAATAACGTAATTTATGTTTAACCATCCTAAAAATTTGTATTTGCTCAACTATATTAGTCATTACAGTTTACAGTGGCGTAACATAGCGTCAATTCAAGGGGATGTAATAAGTAACTGCAATTAATATTTCATCAACACGATATTTTTTTTCTTTTTTTTTATTTATTAATTTTTATTAATTTAATTTTTCTTTTTTTTATTTCTTATTTTGAAGTTATAAAAATAAAATATACAAAAAATGTAACAGGTTAAAAAATAATCAAACCATTTTAAAAAAAGTTCTAAATTTAGGTAAAAAACAAAGCTGTGGTCGTATCTGTAGAAAAAATAGTAGACAAGACCAACAAAAAAGTTTATTGAGTGCCTTACAACCACATAACCAGTGTTCACTTTTATAAACATTTTCACTAAAATGACGAATACACAATTTTAATTTAGTATTAATATTCAAAATATGCTTTGGAGGTCCTTCTTCAATAGTTTTTAATTTTTCTGATTACACCATAGCTGTAGGATGATTGCAAAATTATTTCTATTTTTCAACCGCACGCAGATTCGATATTGTTCATTTTATACCATGATATATTTTTACTTTAGCCTTACTAAACCCTATAACGTCATATAAATGCCCCAATTTTTGTTTTATCCAAAGATAAATGGTTTTATCACTTGTTTTTTTTTAGAAAAATCCTCAGCACACTATACCAGTTTTAGAAGATGAAGATGGTTTCATCTTATCAGATAGCCATGCCATTATGGCATATCTTGTTTCGAAATATGGCAAAGATGACACTCTGTATCCGAGTAAAGATCTAAAACAACGAGCTATCATTGACCACAGATTACACTTCGATTCTAGCACTTTGTTTGCGAGATCTGTAGCAATAACGGTAAAACAGGTTTTATTTATAATTTGATAAATTTAGAAAAAAGTAAAAAGGTCACTGCGACGTTGTTTTTTTTTCGACTACATTGTAGGTATTTTATTATTTTGCAGAAGCCATTATTTTTGCTAGGAATTAAACCATCAGAAGATCGATATAGGGACTTCAAAGAAGCTCTAGGGTTTTTGGACAAGATTTTGGAGAATACTAAAACTGACTATGTTGCTGGAAACGACATCACCATTGCTGATTTCAGTATATTCAATACAGTAACAAACGCTGATCGATTTGTACCATATGGTGATTTTCCTCAAGTGGCAGCCTACGTTGAAAGGTTTAAGAAAACTGTTTATTACAAACTAAATGAAGATTTAGCTAATACAAAATAAATTAGTACTGTAAAGATTGTTTTAATTCTATTAAACAAGTGTTTTTGCGTATATTTTTTATTACTAACACAAGTAGGTAAACTATAGGTTTGTTCCAACCAGCATTTCGGGATCGTTTCAAAATCGTACTCGAATCGGTTTTTCACTTTGTTAGCATGCGCGGACTTCGAATAGTTTCGTGACGGTGCAAAAAGTGTGGAAAGTAGTTCCAAAGTACTTTGAAACGCTATGTGGATTGTTTTCGGGACTGTCAAAAGTGTCAAGCGTGCATGTATCGATCGGTTTTTTGTTTTTGTTTAGAATTTCATAACATAACCCGATTATTTTTGTTTGCAATAATAATAATTATTATTATGAAATGGAGAATCAGAATGCAGTAATTGTTGGTAAGTATTGTTTCAACTGTATACTCACTAACTCACTTACCTATCCTCTCTTTTATGATTCTGTTATGCGTAGTTTCCTCTTATTTCACTGCAGTGGTAGAATCTTTGAATATTATTTTATAAATAAAAAATTAATTAAAATTTCCGAACGATTTACTCCACACAAATCACAAGCAAAAGTATAACGCACACGTATATACAGGGTGACAATTTGAAAACGAACAGTATTTAATATTGCCTCTACCGATGATAGTATGAAAATTTGGCGAAATACGTCTATTTACATATCAAGGGGGACAATTTTTGAGGCATTTGTTGTCGTGTTACTTTCAATTAAATGGCAACCCTTATTTCTTTTACCATTTTTGTGTTCCTTATAAAATTCTCAAAAAGATAATGCAGTTTATGTAGAATTCTATAAGAAACACAAAAATGGTAAAAGAAATAGGGGTTGCTATTTAAAATATTAGGGGTAGGTGCCCTGGGAGTCAAGGGGTCACCCTGTATAACGCACATGTATAACATTCTAATTTGTAAAAAGTAACTAAGACAGAAGCATCAGCCGGCCGCCGGACCAGAATAAGATGTTAAAAATCGATAATCCCTGCCAATATGCTTTAATGCGCAAGTCAACCCAAACAGTTCTCAATTTGGACCATGTACCGAAATTACCGTTCTGAAATCGTAACTAAACGATTCCAAGGTAGGTTGGTACCTAAATAGGATCGTCTGATCACCGTCAAATCTCAGTTGGAACACATTTGGATTACTACGCACGAGCGTGATCGTTCAGTGACGGTTCTGCGGCGGGTTGGAACAAACCTTATAACACCCTCCTTATAGTACGGGAGTTCAAACGAGATTTTTGGATCTGCTCAAGCCCGGTAAAATGACATAAAGAGAAAAACCTTGTTAAGCACCCTGTTAAGTACCCCCACCATACATACATGAACCTTTTATACAGGGTCCGACAATGTAGAATGTAGAATGTTTAAGAGGGGAGTTAATCACCGCGACCTTATAGATCTATTGTGTGTTCCCCTTTCTTGAGTTATAACGAGTTGTAACTCATCATACAGTCTCAGGCCTAAGAGCCAGCATCTGAGACGGCTCCACAGGCCAGCTCTCCATCTCCGTACTACGTACCGGGTTCATGGCACGAATGGTCGTCGTCTCGCACTCAGTGATAAGGTGTTCTGCTGTTTCCCCATTTTCCCTATGGTTACGTATTATTGAAATTCAAAGCACTCAGCACAATGCCTCTTGACAACCCAGTATCTACTTGCTCCAGGTCTGCAGCTTCAACTGACATGCCAGAACCTACTTGCTCCAGACACGTCAAATCTCCTGAGCCCTTAAATGATGACGAAGACATTCCTTTGAGCAAATTATCGAAACAATTCATCGAAGAGTTGTCACCAACACCTCAAGCTACATTAGAAAATATTCTGAAGAAAAGGAAACACAAAAAAGGTTCGCAAGGTATCCTGAACTCAACACCCGAAATAGCATTACTGCATAAGAAAGAAAACGAAATAAGAGAAAAAGAAAGAAGAAAGTCGGCAAGAAAAATCAAAAGGAGGGTGGAAATACCGGAGAGCGATGAAGAAGACCATGTTATCAATACAGAATCTGATGACGAAGACGATCCAAGTTGCATTTATTGCAACTCTTTATATTCTCATTCTCGTTCCAGAGAAACCTGGATTCGTTGTCAAAATTGTCGAAAATGGGCCCACGCAGAATGTGCTGGAATAAGCCCCAAAACCAAAACATTCATTTGTGAAATATGTATTTAGTTATGTTAGATCTTATGTCTTTTTCAGTATACTTTTCCATTACATACATAAGTTTATATCTATCTAGTTATTAAACGTTCAGTGTTTTGGAACATTTTTTTTTTTTTTTTTTTTTTTTTTTTTTTTATAGAAAAAATTATTACTATGCTATCAGAAATCCTACAAGTATGCCAATGATCCCAATAGTTATGATGGCACACCAAGGTGAAACAAAAATATATATTTTTCAGGTTCAGTTGTCTACCTAGCCTCTTATTTGATTACAAATAATGATAAAGCAAAAGTTTTGCACCCATTTTTTCAATTTTCTATTGTCAGTATTTTTCAATTTATCGGATGTTTAAAAAAAGTGTGCCATCACAGCCGGATCTCCCTATATTTTTGCATTTCCTTTAGCCTACTAAATCCTATAACGTCACATAAGATTGCCTCTAATCTTTGTTTTATCCAAAGATAAATGGTTTTATCACTCTGTTTTTTTTAGAAAAATCCTCAGCACACTATACCAGTTTTAGAAGATGAAGATGGTTTCATCTTATCAGATAGCCATGCCATTATGGCATATCTTGTTTCGAAATATGGCAAAGATGACACTCTGTATCCGAGTAAAGATCTAAAACAACGAGCTATCATTGACCACAGATTACACTTTGATTCTAGCACTTTGTTTGCGAGATCTGTAGCAATAACGGTAAAAAAGGTTTTATTTAAAAAAAAAAAAAAATTTTAGGAAAAAAAGTAAAAAGGTCACTGCGACGTTGTTTTTTTTTCGACTACATTGTAGGTATTTTATTATTTTGCAGAAGCCATTATTTTTGCTAGGAATTAAACCATCAGAGGATCGATATACTGACTTTAAAGAAGCTCTAGGATTTCTAGACAAGATTTTGGAGAATACTAAAACTGACTATGTCGCTGGAAACGACATCACCATTGCTGATTTCAGTATATTCAATACAGTAACAAACGCTGATCGATTTGTACCATATGGTGATTTTCCTCAAGTGGCAGCCTACGTTGAAAGGTTTAAGAAAACTGTTTATTACAAACTAAATGAAGATTTAGCTATTACAAAAATAAATTAGTACTGTAAAGATTGTTTTAATTCTATTAAACAAGTGTTTTGCGTATATTTTATTACTAATACAAGTAGGTTGCCAACTATAGGTTTGTTCCAACCAGCATTTCAGGATCGTTTCAAAATCGTACTCGAATCGGTTTTTCACTTTGTTAGCATGCGCAGACTTCGAATAGTTTCGTGACGGTGCAAAAAGTATCAACTTTGGAACGCTATGTGGATTGTTTTCAGGACTGTCAAAAGTGTCAAGCGTGCATGTATCGATCGGTTTTTGTTTTTATAGGAATTTCATAACATAACCCGATTATTTTGTTTTGCACAATAATAATTATTATTATGAAATGGAAAATCAGAATCCAGTAATTATTGTTGGTAAGCGTTGTTTCAACTGTATACTCACTAACTCAATTACCTATCCTCTCTTTTATGATTCTGTTATGCGTAGTTTCCTCTTATTTCACTGCAGTGGTAGAATCTTTGAATATTATTTCCATAAATAAAAATTAATTAAAATCTCCGAACGATTTACTCCACACAAACTCACAAGCAAAAGTATAACGCACACGTATATACAGGGTGACAATTTGAAAACGAACAGTATTTAATATTGCTCTACTGATGATAGTATGAAAATTTTATGAAATACGTCAATTTACATATTAAGAGGGACAATTTTGAGGCATTTGTTGTCGTTATTTTCGATAATTTATTTTGTTTATTTTGTGTTCCTTATAAAATTTTCAAAAAAAAAAAAAAAAAAAAAAAAAAAAAATATAAAGAAACAATAAAAAATGGTAAAAGAAACAGGGGTTGCCATTTAAAAATATTAGGGTAGGTGCCCCGAGTCAAGGGATCACCCTGTATAACGCACATGTATAACATTCTAATTTGTAAAAAGTAACTAAGACAGAAGCATCAGCCGGCCGCCGGACCAGAATAAGATGTTAAAAATCGATAATCCCCGCCAATATGCTTTAATGCGCAAGTCAACCCAAACAGTTCTCAATTTGGACCATGTACCGAAATTACCGTTCTGAAATCGTAAACGATCCCAAGGTAGAATGGTACGCAAATAGGATCGTCCGATAACCGTCAAATCTCAGTTGGAACACATTTGGATTACTACGCACGAGCGTGATCGTTCAGTGACGGTTCTGCGGCGGGTTGGAACAAACTTTATAACACCCTCCTTATAGTACGGGAGTTCAAACGGATTTTTTGGATTTGCTCAAGCCCGCAAAATCACATGCTGAGAAAACCTGTTAAGCACTTGTTAAGTATATCCCCACCATACATACATAATAATATATGATACTTTTAGTACAGGGTCCGGCAATGCGTCGGGCATCTATAAAAAACTTTTGCTTAAGTACAAACTCTAATGTATGTACAGCACGTCTGTCCGTTCTGAAGCTACGGGGTATCCGTAAGAGGAGAAACGATATTCTCTCGATGTTTTTCGTAAAACAGATGACGCGTCCCATCAATAAAAATTCAACAAATTTGCTGGTAGCCATTAAAATAGTATGGAGCTGATTTGCGGTGACGCACTCGTCAAATCGACGTATAAAACATATTAAGCTGCTTTATTTAAATGTTTTTTGTCCGCATTCTTGAAATTCCTTTTATAGACACATATCCAGCAGATGTACTGTACTAAGATGTATTTCGGGAAAATATTTTAACAGGGTGGTTCAAAGAAGTGTGAGTGGATCGGGACAATTTTTTAATGGAACACCCTGTATATTATTGCATTTTTGGCTTCCTTTCTTCAATAGGTTTAGATAGTTTCAGAGATAATAATAAATAAATAAAAAAAATTAATAAAAATACAAGAACTGTCCTGAAATCAAAACTATATTAGACATTTACTTTAGATGGTCTGTACTTACTTTGCTATAAATATCGTAATCTTAAATCATACAGGGTGTTCCAAATTCTGCGCTAAACGTTCTAAAATACGAAATAAATTTTCTTTTTTTTTAATAGAACACCCTGTATATAATGTTTATAATAGATGGAGAATTAAAAAATGAACATTTTTTTGTATTTAGAGTATTTCAAAATTTTTAACGTTTTCGCAAATATTTGCGCTTTTATATTTCATATGGCATTTTCTACAGTGAACTTTAATCAACGCCACCCAATGATTTTTTTCTCGTATTTTACCGTTGAAAGAGCCATATGAAATAATACGTACATACATACCATTATACCATATATTATACGGTATAATAAATCTATTATTGTGATTCACTAAAAAGATATTTTATTAATACTGTGACAATGAATAAATTGTAGAATTTAAGGACCACAAGTCATTTAAATTTTATATAAATAATCTCTGTTACAATAATTATTGAATATTTCATAACATTTCAAATAAACACGTAACTGTTTAGTCTCTAATCAAACTATGACATTTTTTCTAAAAAAGTAATCAAGAAAGAAAAATGTTTACTTGTGATAATGTACCAAAAAGTAAAAAAAAATATTTGCTAGGCACCTGATAATGACTATTAAAAAAATAATTTAACATAATCACTTATCTAAATGAGTTTGGCACACGGCGATCAATATAAAATAGTTTGTCATTCTAGGAGTTCAAATGTTAATAAATAAAAATTGTTTGGACATCCTGTATAAAGATGTTATATTTTCTATCTCTTTTATCTCCGGTTTATCTATCGCTATATATAAATTTGATAAACAATGATACGCCAATTATAGCCTTTTTTATTGGACTTTTTTTTATTTAATTTACGATTGCTTTACGAGTTTTATTTGTACCTACTTATACAGCGTAATTTCCATTCGTTATTCATTATTTATTGACTTACCATCGCAGTTAGCTTCAGCTCGAATTAATTATAATTAAATATTTTTAATAAAATTAAGCGTTAACATGACTCCTAAATTGTACGGTTCAAAGGCTAGTCCACCAGTTAGATCTGTGCTCATGTGCGCTAAGGCTTTAGGTCTTGAGCTAGAACTTGTGCCGATAAATTTCCAGGCAGGAGAGCACCTATCGAACGAATTTCTTAAGGTAAGAGTGATTTAGGGTTAAAAGAATTTTTAAGATGTTTTTTATTAATTTAGCATGAAATAGTTTTACCTTAATCTATACTAATATATAAAATCCTTAAGTGACTGACATACTGATTAATCACGATCCTGCTCAAACCACTCAACGTAAGAAGCTCAATTTTGGCATACAGGTTGATTCTAGGGTGTAGAGGTTCGATAAGAAGGGATTTTTCGAAATTCCAGTTCCAAGAGGGTGAAACCGCCCCTCAAATATTACAATATTTTTTATTTAAAAAACGGTCAAGTTTCCGAAAAAAACGCTTAAACACGTATATTTCATTTTGTTTTTTTACATTTTTTAAGATTTTTAAAAATGTATACAGGGTGTTTTGAAAAATCTGGTCATTGATTAATCACGATCCTGCTTAAACCGCTTGACGTAAAAAGCTGATTTTTGGAAAACAGATTGACTTTAGGGTGTGGAGGTTCGATAAGAAGGGATTTTTCGAAACTCGAATTCTAAGGAGGTGAAACTATCCATCAAATATAAAAATATTTTTTATTTAAAAACCGGTGAGTTTTTCGGAAAAACTCTTAAACACGTATATTTGATTTTGTTGTTTTACATATTTTAACATTTTTTTATAAATTTGATACAGGGTGTTTCATAAAATATGACCATTGAGTAATCACGATTCTGCTTAAACTGCTTGACGTTTAAAGCTGATTTTTGGCAAATGGATTGACTGTGGGGTGTAGAGGTTCGATAAGGAGGGGTTTCTCGAATCTCAAATTCCAAGAGGGTGAAACGCCCCTCAAATATTACAATATTTGTTATTTAAAAAAACTGTTAGTCTTTTCGGGAAAACGCTTGGATAAGCATAATTTATTTGTTTTTTTACATATTTTGAAATTTTTAAAAATCATACAGGGTGTTCCAAAAGTTGGGTAATTTCTTAACCACGATTCTGCTTAAACTGCTTGACGTAAAAAGCTTATTTTTGGCAAAAGGATTTTTCGAAAGTCAAATTCCAACGAGATGAAACTACCTCTCAAATATTACCAAGTTATATAATAATATCGCCATATTGTTTTTTCTCATGCTGACATCAATGTGAGAAAATTTTATCCAGTTTTTATGTTAATGGAAATTCTTGCTTTGCTTTATCATCACCATTACAAATGATTAATTCGACGCGAACGAAGTCGCTGGTACACGCTAGTGAAAGACATATATTCGATCCTTATTCATTATGTAGTTTTGTAAACTTCTTAGAAAAAATTAAAGAAAATTTATTTGAAATTGTATCAACAATAAAATTAAGTATAATATTTTTATATTTTATTCAATTTCTATATGATATATTCGTTTCTTTGTTATTTACAAAATATAATACAGGGTCCGGCAATACTGCGTCGGGCATCTGTAGCTCCTAAAATAAAAAACTTAAGAATTTTGTTTAAGTGCAAATCTGAAGTGTGTTCTAGGATGTATTCTAGGAAAATATTTTAACTTCTATAGGGTGGCTCAAAAAGTGTGAGTGGATCGGGATGATTTTTTTAAATGAAACACCCGGTAAGATGTTAGTAAATATATTTCGATAGTTTCATCGTTATTAATAAATAAATAAAAAATGTATATTTTTCAGCCATTCTTAAAAAAATTATAAAAAATACAAGAACTGTCCTGAAATCAAAACTATATTAGGTATTTACTTTAGATGGTATGTAGTTACTTTGCTATAAATATGGTAATCGTAAATGATACGGGATATTCAAAACTCTATGCCAAACTTTCTAAAATTTAAAATAACTTTCCTTCGTTTTTTTTTTAATGAAACACCCTATATATTATTATTTCAGCAGATGGAGAATTAAAAAATGAACATTTTTTGTATTTAGAGTATTTCGAAATTTTTAACGGTTTCGCAGATATTCGCAGTTTTTTATTTCATGGCATTTTTTCTCGTATTTTACCATTGAGTGTATCTGCAAAACCGTTAAAAATTTTGAAATACTTTAAATACAAAAAATGTTCATTTTTAAATCTAATGAAAATATAATATACAGGGTGTTCCATTTAAAAAACAAAGAAAAATTATTTTATATTTTAGAAAGTTTGGCGTAGAATTTTGAACATCCTGTATGATTTAAGATTACGATATTTATAGCAAAGTTAAGAATAGACCATCTAAAGTAAATACCTGATATAGTTTTGATTTCAGGACAGTTCTTGTATTTGTAATATTTTCTTTTAATGAAGGTTGAAAAATATATTTTTTTTTATTTATCTATTAATATCTCTGAAACTATCTAAATATATTTATTCATATCTTAGGATTATGTAAAGTGATCTGAAAAGAAATCAAAAATGCAATAATATACAGGGTGTTCTATTTAAGAAAAAATCATCCCGATCCACTCACACTTTCTTGAGCCACCCTATTGAAGTTAAAATATTTTTTTGAAACACAACCTGTACAGCTGGTTCAAAAACAAATGAATACGACTCTTTACACATTTTTTTCGAATATTTGGACAGTGTATTTATGTGTCAAGTATTTTGACATGTTAAGGTTATTGTGACATTGTATAAAACAACTTTGCTTTTGATAAAGTGGCAAATAAATTTTTCAGAACGTCATATCAGCATGACATGAGTAGAGAAATGGGGGACTGGTATCATAGAACATACTGCCCGAAATAATAAAAATATGTTTTAAATCGTATTCAATTTTATTGGAATCAGCTGTACATACTTTAGGTTTACACTTAAATAAAATTCCCAAGTTTTTTTATTCTAGGAGCTACGTATGCCCGACGCACTATTGCCGGACCCTGTATAGCTTCAAGCAAAAACTAGTGTCATAATTCACATAAACTAATTAAAAAAAATAATATCACTTTATTATTTTTTCATGCATTATTTCAATTCATGCATCTTCAAAATAAATACGTATAATAGTTACTTTTTTACATAATTAGGAAATAATATTTTTATATTTAACATTTTTTTTGTAGAAAAATCCTCAACATACCATTCCAGTTTTAGAAGACGATGATGGTTTTGTCGTACCAGACAGCCATGCCATCAATGGTTATTTAGTCGCCAAATATGGTAAAGATGACTCTCTATACTCGAAAGAAGACTACAAATTAAAAGCCACCATTGATCACAGACTACATTTTGATTCCAGTATTTTGTTCTCGAGAGCTAGTGCTATTTCGGTAAATACACATTTGTTTCTTTGAAACACCATACCCTTGAAAAAAAAGGCGTCAGAGAAGGCTGTGGAATGACTATCAATGATAACTTTAGCTAGGTCGAGCCCTAGTCGTCATTATTTGGCTCGTACTCTTCTTTGTTTCTTAATGGCACTTACTGCCAGTTAGCCTTAAAAGGGGAGAACCTAGACAAGATTTAATAAACGACACCTACAGATTGACCTCGCCAAAATTATCATCGATTGTCATTTCACGCCGATTTTTTTTCAACTTACTATTAACTTATTTCGCTTTCTTTTACAGAGACCTCTTATCTTAAAAGGTATAAAACCAACCCAGGAAAAGTTCGACGACCTTAAAGAAGCTCTAGGTTTCCTGGAGAGGATTTTTACAGAGAACAAAACTGATTTCGTTGCTGGTAACAAGCCAACCATTGCTGATTTCAGTATAGTGTCCAGTGTGACGTCATATTCGGGTCTGGTTCCTTACACTGACTTCCCTAATGTTAAGGCCTACATAGAAAGATTCCAAAAACTTCCTTGTTACGAAGCTAACAAAGAAGGCTTAACTGAGTTGGAGAATTATTTCACGATTCTACTGAAAAAAGCCTAAGTTTGTTCAAATTTAATATTGTTACAATAATTATATTTGTTAAAATAGTTTAAATTAAATCTTGTATTTTTATTTTGCAGTGTGAATGAGAATTTCAACTTTATTTAAGAGCATCTTCAAATTATTGTTGTAGGAACAATTTAATGTTTCAGCAATTTTTTTTAAAAAAACTCATGGGCCTGTTTCTGCTGTCTTACACTTATTTAATAGAGACCCTGTATAATACATCAAATAATTTTACATGAAAAACACTTTTATTTTTCAACAAATAGTCACCTGATTTTTTTCTCGTTGTACTTATTTACAGCGTGTATATTTTTTTTAAATTTATACAGGGTGTCCCAGAAAAAAGTGCAAGTATTTTAAGGGGTTGTAGATCTCGATAAAATAATCATATTTTCTCTTTATCGTTCTTCAAATAAGTCCAAAATAACGGAGTTATTTTACTAATGCCACAAATGCGACAAATAATTTTTAAACAATTTCAAAAGTTCTAAATAATATAAAAAGACATAAAAGTAATACCTTGTATGTAATTATATATCGAGAAACTACGGTTACGCTCGTTGAATTTGACACTTTATGTCAGGTTAATAATATATTTTCTTACTTTTAAGCTTAGGCCTAAAAGTGCCTTACTTTTATGCCTAGGCGCAACCTAGGCGTTAAAATGACTTTTTTATACTGTCAATCACGTCGCAAAAAATAATACTTTTGTGACGTTTGAAACAAAAAGATATTATTAAACTGACATTAAGTATCAAATTCAACGAGTGTACTCATGGTGGCTCAATATACAGGGTGAGTCTTAAATGAGTGCAAATAATTTCAGGGCTGGTAGATCTCGATAAAAGTAAAAGAAACATATTTTCTCTTTACCGTTTTAAAAAAAATATTTTTTGCTCAAATTTTGAGAACCACTGGATCTTTTTTGGATTTTCTTGTTTCTTCTACTACCTAATATTACTATATTATCATGATTTTTAAATCCAATTTGTTTTTCGAACAATTCCAAATTTTTAATGAAAAAACTTAAATAAATATTAGCCAAAATAAATATTTGTTGATTTTTTTAACAATTTAATAGATCAATATCTATATAAAGTACACAATAAAGTTTCCTAATATGTATCAAAAGGCTTGATTCCATATTTCTCATACAGGCTGTCCCAGAAAGCTATTCTCTTCGCCTTTGGTGTGCCCGCTGTCACTACCAAATCCGACAGTATATTCACAAACTTAAAGGCTCCAGGTTTGAGTTCAGGCCAAGTAATATTTTGCAAGAGTTCATCAACTTCTGGCGTCGGGTTTCTAAAATTATTTGGATATACAGGGTGTTCTAAATTCGAGGGTAGAGATTGAAATCTCGGAAACCATAAGACATATAAAAACCAATAAAATGTGGCTTTGCAAATGAAACACATTAGAATACTTTCGAAGATATTCACAAAATATACAAATATTATAAAAACCGAAAGACTATTTTCAAATACTCACAGATAAGTAGCAAAGTTAATCCATAATCTTAATAATCTCTTATGCACTAGTTGATCGGCTACAGAAAAATTATTTGGATCTGCAGTGGAAAAAATATATCCCATTTCTTCGCCATGAGTAATATTTGTAGAACCTGTAAAATACCAAAACATTCGATAATATTTTTAGATGCTAAAAAGTATGTAATAATTTACCTGGATATCTGTAATAGGTATTAAAACCCATTTCCCCAGAGTACGAAAATTCGTAGAAATATGTACTTGCTTCGGCCGAATGTAATTCGGCATGTTTTACTATAGATTTTGTAAAGTCTTGTTCTGTGAAATACTGAAAAAAAAGTTTTAAATTATTTTCAATTTCTAAATATTAAATATTTTTCGAAATATTCTCTAGCTTGAGAAAAAGAGACACATCATCCATTACATTCCTTCTAGCGATACAAAATCACTTAATAAAAGTAATCGAAATATTAGAGCATATACAGGGTGGTTTTTAGAGAACTACAGTATCCAGAACGGAGATCTTTGCAAATCATTGTTTCACAATGAGATGTATCGATTAAAAATATTTTCAATATGGCGGCACTTCCGAAAATACCGGAACTTGACAGCAACTTTCTTATTTTAAATGGATACCCCCATTTTTTATTAAATATTTGAAAAATTATCATAAATCATTTTTTCCAAATGGAAACCTACTTTTTTTATTTCACTAGTGAAAAAGTTTTTTAATTCGTTACTTTTTGATTATACATATTCCTATACCTAAAATAAATCGTTTTTAAGTTATTTAAGATTTAGTTTTAAAACGTATATTTTTCTGGTTTTTAAACAGTAGCCTATGACTTTAAACGTCAAGTAATGTAAAACAATATATCTGGCCATGTCATATTGGAAAATTTTGTTAAAAAATCAGTATGTCATCGATCGTCATTTCCAAGCCAACTTTGCGTCGTTTTTTTTTTCATAAATGTTATATAATATTAATATCAACTAGTAGATATCACTAAAATACCAGATATATTTTTATAAATACACTTTATAAAGTTTTAGCAGCAGTATTTATAATATAATACGATATTCAAATAATTAGTTTTGTGACAGAAGGAAATAAATTGTCTAATTGTTTGACACTTAATGTCAAAGAAAACTAGATAAAATCAAGAAAAATGTACGCTTTAAAACAGCTACAGCCAATATTAGATATATGGCATTCAAACAATTTAATTTTTGAAATAGATGTCTTCACTAAATTTGATGTTTAGGCTCTACAACTTTTTTTGACAGGCAGTTTTTTTCCTCGAAAAATTTTGAATAATTTTTTTCTCAAAAACGGTCAATGTTAGATATAGAGTGTTTATTAATATCAAAATTCATAAAATTTGACAGACAACTTAAATATGTAATAAAATAATGGAAGTACCTATTTAAAATAAGAAAACTGCTGACAATTTCCGATATTCCCGGAAGTGCCGCCATATTAAAATATTTTTAAATGATAGATCTCATTGTAAAACAATGATGTGCAAAAAATATCCGATCTAGATATTGTAATTCTCTATAAACTTCTACTGCACGCTCAGTTTGTGACACCCAAAGAACCTTTAATATGTATTTCTCATACAAGTACTCGTTCTACTTGTAAAATATCTTAGCTATTACTGGAAGTCTTATTGATCTTACTAAATATACCACGAAGTATCTCGTCATTGCAGATATAAACCAGATATTGAAGAGGTACAATTTAAGAGCTACAGGAGATTTTCCCCCATAAATATAACAAAACGATTCAAACCTCAAAGGCACCTAATTTGTTGTTTAAAAATGTATCATTCGGGGAATATTCTTCTTTAATGGCATTTCCAACTTCACTGATATCTTGTGCATCAACAAGATGGAGGTTTCCCGGGTTCATTCTTGAATATGCTTCGTCATAAGCAGCCAACTGACTATCTAGATATTCTACCAAAACATTAATACCGTTAATTTATAAGTATAAATGGTGTTTTCAGGTTAACCCCGTATTGGATACCTACCTGATAAGTTCATAAGTCCCTCGTCAGCATCTGTACCAATCATAATAGGTATTTTATTGAAATTTCCATTTTCCAAAATGACATAAGGATATCCCGTTACAAAAGAGTCGTTGTTCTCAACTTCGACTACAGGAGCAAAATAAAATCCTTGTTCTAATTGTTTCCTCTCCGCCCAACTGGGCTGGCTGGAATCCTGTAATAAATTATTCATTAGAGTCCTCACAGACGTTCAGTTGTTTAGCACAGGCTGACTGTGCAGGCCAAGTTGCGCATTTGAACTTGTACGGGCTGTTCCATTTTCGTCTGTTTGTACCTAATTTAAAACGGCCGCCTATGTTAAAAAGTTAAACAATGAACGTTTTACCTTGATTATGAAATAAGTACATATAGATTATATTTTGTTTTTAGAAAGTTCATAACTAGGCAGATAAAATATTTATTTAGCGTATGGCTCTAGTACCTAGTACACATAATATACAGCCTTCGTATATGGCCTTCCTATATACTCACGAGCCGCAACTGCATCCTGTACTAAAGCCTGTCACACACACGCAGTTTTATAATACAGTTTTCTCTACAGTGAACGGAGTGACGCACCCACTACTAGTTTTAGCACATTTTTTACAGTGAAAATGGCTTGACCCGAGATATAGTCCTAAAAATATATAAATGCCTCAATACCCAATTTGCAAAGGTTAATGCAGCATCGTCTATGGCCTTCGCGTCTACACTTTGCAATACTTCCAATAATTTGTTTGAATCTCTGGATGTGTTAAACTGCGAGTCTATCAAACTGGCCGTCTTGTACGATATCGTGGTCTGGTTCCTTTGATAAGCCCATGGACATAAGGGAGTACCAGATTGTAGAATAGCAGCTCTGAATAAACCTAACAAAGTAAAATTTATATTAATAAAGTTTGAAAATTGGGGACCAACGGCCGGTCTGCAAAGCAACTGTAAACCAAGTATAACCAATTCTTGGAATATCTATGCGATGGCTATGAAATGAAGATCGCTGTCGTTTTACATGTAAAATTATATAGGGAATGTCATCGATCGTCATTTCCAAGCCAACTAGACGCCGTTTTTTACGGTATTTCTTGTACATACCAGTGCTGGATGAACTTAACAGATGCCAACCTACAGAAGCGCTACCAGCAGATTGTCCAAAAATCAGAACTTTCTTAGGATCACCACCAAACGAAGCGATGTTTCTCTGCACCCATTTCATTGCTTGAACCTGATCTTTCAACCCATTATTCCCTGGGATAATTTCGTCTCCAGTAGAGAAGAAACTTAAAATCATTTATGTTTGTTTTTGTGATTTGTTCTTTGTTCTAAATACAGGATACTGAATATGAAATACGCACCAAAAACTCCCAGTCTATAGTTAATAGAGATCAGAATAACGTTGTTATCCATCCAGAAGTTGGGGCGATAAAATCCTTGAGGTCCTCCATTAAGTCCAGAACCAGAAATAAATCCACCGCCGTGTATAAACAGCATGACGGGTAAATCAGTCGCATTTGACTAAAGGATAAAGTTTGTTGTTAAAATTCTAAATCAATTTAAGGATTTAGCTGTTATATTGGATACTAAATAAATAAATAACGTTTTATTGTGCAAAAAGCCAAAATAGCTTCATCGACAAAGCATTTACAAAACAAACAAAAGCACAAATAACATACAATACAAATCATACAATTCAAAAAAAATTAAGTCATTAAAATCACAAAAAAGCCGTATCAAAAAAATTTTACACTAGGAAAATTGCAAATGGATATAATTTTAAGAGTTATAAAATATTAAATACTTGACCTTTGACCAGTGTGTGAGATGATCAAGATTTTAAAATTCAAAATTGTTTATGATTAAACATCAACAAAAAAGTCGTTTACCGCATATAGGGCTCTCTCCAGTAAGTATGATTTCAGAGCTTTGCGAAATGCGGGAAAGAATGAAAGCGTTATACAGTATTGGCCCTTTAACTAGTTCTGAGCTCGGGATTGGCAGAAAAAGATCGTGCTCCGCATTCCTAAGTTGTGAGTGTGGTTGTGAGATGGCCTTTCGGGAATAGCAGATACGTGCTTGCGGGTTAAGCAAACGGATTCAAAAATTAATAAAGAAGGAAGAGTCAGTATTTTGGAATTTTTAAAGAAATTCTGGCAGTGAGATCTACTGTTCAGTCCCAATAAATATCGAACTGTTCTCTTTTAAAGTTTGAAAATACGATCAAATTTTGTTGCGCAGCAAGTACCCCAGAATGTAAGGGCATAACGAAGATATGACTCAAAAAGGACATAATAGGCTATTCTAGAGGTTGATAAGTTAAGTTCCTTTAGAAACTGATCTTAGCGCAAAACAGGCAGCGCTTAGTTTCTTTGATAAAGCTTCGATGAGCAACTCCCGTTTTAACGAGTTGTCTACAAGTCCTCTAGGAATTTCGCAGAGTCCACGAAGTCAGTAGTGGCGTTATTAAGTACAAAAGGTTGTACAGTACTTTTATATGACAAAACTTTAGTTTTTGATAGGTTGAGGCAAAGGAGATTAGAATCGCACCAAGATTAAGTCACCATTAAATCTACTATACTCTACTAAATACTATATCCAGAGTATTATATAGTGCCGGTACATAAATACTATAACAAAAAATTACTAATTTTAGTGAGGATGCAGTCAATAATCACAATATAGGCTAATAAAACTTATTTTCAATTTGTCAAGCTTTTGAGAAATGTATTCCCATCATCAGGACAGTTTGAATGCTTTAATTAACAAAACATCCTTTACACAATAAGGCCTTACAAAATAACATCATTGGACATTGGAATCACAAAGAATTTCCGTTATAAAAATAGTCAAAATACATATACATCTAAAAACACTTTTGTTAAACATATAACCCAAAAAGAAATTGCTACATTGCTTTTTCGAGCTCGATCAAACAGTAACTGTTAATGTAAAATGTGACTCTTAAATACCTACTATAAAAAAATGTTAAAAGGGAATTTTACTTACTTGTGGTACATATACATTGAGAAGTAAACAATCCTCGGTTTCTTCAGGTAAATCTTGATAAAGCTGATAGCATACTCGTTTTTGTTCGGTGGTAGCATTGTATACTTCAGTCCATGGCTCTACTGCTTGGGGAGCCTAAAAACGCATCCACAACTTTAATTATTATTAATTAATTGTTTACATTTACGTAAATAGTTTGACTTCCGATCGGTTAATTTTAAATATGAGCAAGTCTGGTCTTGCTCATAGAGTCTTAGCGTTGATTGAAGAAAGATGTGCAACCTTATGGGCGATTTCGTGGTACAAAATATGTCCGAGATGTAACTGGCGTTACCGTCAGGATGTCCGAGATTTAGTTTAGCTCTGCGCCGCTGCGCGGTGATAGTCGTTTGCAGCGCAGCGAATAAAAAATACTGTACCGTAGTTCTGCTTTCAGTCGACAGAGTTGGTGGTTGCCGGAGACAGTGTTGCCAGAACTACGGATTAACCTGTAGTTTTACGGATTTTGGGTACAATACGTTAATAATACGAATTTACTATCATTAAATAATTATTTAATAAAATATTATATGATTAAACAAAGAACGGCGTCAGAATTGGCTTGGAAATGAAGACCGCAGCTGTTATTTCATTTGTAAAATATTATGGTAAATGTCAATAAATCGTCATTTCCAAGCTAACTAAACGACTTTTTTCGATCTTACGAAATATTCAGTACCTATAAAAGATTTTTTATTTTTGTTGTTTATTCTATGTTGAATAAGAATAAATTTTCAATACATAAAACGCGGATTTTTCGTCAAACGTATTACAGATCAAAATTGAGTATCTTCCCAATTCTTTCAATCAACGGTCTTAGTCTTGCACAACAAGCAAGACAAAGATCTGCAAGGCCAAGACCAGGACCGACCAATGGTAACTTACACAAGACCAAGCAAACCAAGACCGAGCGTGCAACCTTGGCGGTTTTGCGGTCTAGCATAAAATAAATAAATAATTTCGTTTTTTTAGTAAAGATTATCCAAACGAGTCAGGAAAAATTTCGACAGACGACATTCAAAAAATGACAGAAAATACAATTTGTCTGTGAATTAAAATGACAGATATAACTGTCAATGTCATGTATTCTTTCGTTGAACAGACTATATTATGTTAATTACCTGAAATCTTAACGTTCCAACTGGAGGTTTGGCATATGGAATGGAATAAAATGAAGAATACGGTGTACCAGCTATGGAATATTCAGTAGTACCCAAGATTGGTCCATCTGGTGTATTTACTTGTTGACACTAAATTAAAACAAGATTAAGCCCATATTATATACTGCCTTTTGTGCTAAAGTGCCTTTGAAGCACTTTAGTATTGCTATTAGGTCATCTTGTATTAACTAAACTTAATAATTGTAAAAACTAAGGGTCTTAGAAAAAGTCTGTCCGTCCCTTTGTCCGCCCCTGACACAATGGTCACTGTCAGGGATTCACCGGTTGGACAGACTATATTTTTGTATTTTTTTATGAAACTTTGTACTTACAATATGACCATTAAGAAAAACAACAGCGAGTGCCACTATTTTAAGCAGCATTTTAATTCACTTTTTGGACTCAACAATCTGAAAAATACTAATTTGTTTTTCAAAATTGTCACAAATTTTATTGATGATAAAACTGTATTTTAAGTGTTTACCTACATGTTTTGATACAATTTCAAGAGGCACTCTAACTGTAGTATCAACAATTATACGGTATGTTCCAATATTCTTCGGACATAGAATCAATTCTATGTATTTTTTAATCAAAATAAATTAATTGAATACATTATTATCTGACCTACAAAAATATTCCTTGTGACACCAAGCGTTAAAATCTAGTAGCCAATAATAATCTATTGTTGAAAATATGTAAAAAATAATATACATGGTAGGAATCCATTTAAAAACAATAATTTTATATTTTAGAAAGTTTGGCTTGGAGTTTTGAACACCCTGTATAATTTAAGATATTTATAGCAAAGTAAGTACAGACTAACTTTAGTAAATACCTGGCATAGTTTTGATTAAAAAAACAATTTTTGTATTTTTGTTATTTTTTTTAGAAAAGTCTAAAAAAAATTTTTTTTTATTTATTAATATCTCTGAAACTATCAAAACAAATTTAATGATATCTTAGAAGTATGTAAAGTGATTAGAAAGGAATCCAAAAATCTGAATGAGATTTTTTTGGGACGCACTGCAAAAATTAGACAACCAGTCGACCCCTAGTTTTTGAGTATCCGCGCTTTATCCGCGCCAGAAATGGCGCCAGATCTGCCGCGTCCTCTCGTGCACATGCGGGCAATCAGGCAATCTATATCGATATTCCTACTTAAAAAATAAAAATAAATACATCTCTAATGGGTCATAGAAAAGACTACTACAAAAGAATGTGTTGTGAATAGATCATATATTTTTTTTCCTATTTTTGGCCACTTGTCTATTACGACATTCAGCCAGCTTATTTCTTAATATTTAATTAGCGTTTAAAATTGGACAAATACAGACTCACACACACATTTAACACCCATGTCCGAGGCCGGAATCGAACCGGCGACCTTGCGTCTACTAGAATGCGGCGCAATCATTTCGACCACAAGGCCGACATAGATCATATATAATTTATATTATCCAAGCGTTATACCCACAGATCAGCATTGTGTCATTTTAAATAAACACATGTATTAAGTTATGGGAATCTGTGGTTTCAATAAAGCGGAAAACGGAACGCAAAAAGTCGTGAAAGTGCTAAAAGTGGTATAAAAATGTGCGATTCGAGGTCCTTTTGATTTTATTTTATGTTTAATTTGGTTTTAATTACAGTATCTGTTAAAAATGGTAAGTTGCTCTAAATTTAGTAGCTTCTTTCATCTCGAAATCTATATTTTATTACTAACTTTTCAGGCAGCCACCGAAGCAGAGGTAAAAAGTATTATAAAGAGTATTCTTACTTCTTCGCCGCTTGTATCCACAATTACGACCGTACAGCGGGATTACCGAGAATTAGTAGGAAGTAAAATTCCATTTCATGAGCTTCGGTATAACTCTGTCGAACAGTTTTTAAAAAGCATTCCAGACATTTGTGTAATTGATGGCACAGGACCATTTGCTGCTGTATTTCCTGTTTTGTCGGAAAAAAGTGCCCATATAGACTTGATGGTGTCGCGGCAAAAAGTCACTACAAAACGACGCTCTGCTCCTCCTATGAAAAGAAAAACAACTCCAGCTCCATTTAGAAACCAAAGGTTGTTGCGGTGATAATATATAGATAGTACTGGTACTAATGTTATGTTTTCTTTGCAGAATGCCATTTAATACAAATGTACAATCATCTTTCCCCAGTACATCAAGTTCTAATTACAATTCAAACTATAATACAAGACCAAAAAGGATAGAAAATGGTCAGAATCTTTCATATTCAAACGCAGGGAGTAGTTATAGTGGTGGAGTCAAGCCAGAGAATCAGAATAAAGTGTTTCATATAGAGAGTAGACCTGAAAAGAGCAAGGTAAAAAAATATACTTTTAGATTAGTTATACCTAATTGAATTAAGCAAAAACTTTTAAGTTTTAGTCAAAGCTATAAAATGTTTATATTTGTACATATTTGGTAGACTGATTACAACATTATTATTAGTTGAAAACATAAATATTAGTTAGCACTTAGCTGTCAGAGACTTGTTGAGGGACTTTTGTTTATTTATTTACATTTATTTACTTTATAATTTGCTTATCTTTTCAATTTCGTAAGCTTGTTTTTGGGACAAGTTTTTCTAGTTTTCTGCAGGTGCTTATATTATTATTATTTTAGTTAATTCTAGTGCTTGTACAAAGCAAAATAATGTTCTGTTAAATTTCTTCTCCAAAACTACAACATTGTTTTGTTTTTAGACTCCTGTGATTCCACCCTTGATAAGTGCAATACCTGATAACGCTCCTGTTTTGAACCAGGAAGATCTGCATCAATTTAAAACAAATACTGACATTGAAAAAGCCCAAACCAGCTTAAATAACTTAACTTTCAAGGATATTGAAGAAAAATACGATGACGACTCCTCGAATGTGCCCCAAAAAGTTCAAAACAACTTGAAGAAACTAATTAGTCAGTTTGAAGATGGAATTTGGTGTAGCGAATTACCACAGTATTACAAGTAAATATGAAATAATTGTAATATACAGGATTGTTCACCACATACGACATGGAGTATTGTAGCTAAACGACTAGATTTTTACAAATTGTAAGTTTTGGGTTCGTTGAAGGACCATTAGAGCTACAATTTAAAAATATTTTTACAAGATACGGAGTGTCCCAAATAAATAAAAAATATCAAAGTTGTATTTTTTTAAATGGAACACCCTATATATTATTACATTTTTAGTTTCTACGATTAAAATAAAGGTAAATTTGATTAAGGTTTATTACACTTAAACCTTACCGTTTTTGAAATATTTTCAATTTTGTGAAATTGCAGTATAAATTTTAAATCTTCTTTTTTTATGGTATTTACGGTATCAAAGTTTTATTACTAAATATTTACTCAAGTTTATTTATTGATCAGTTATTCATGTTGCAATAATAAAATCTTTACTACCTGTACAGAGTGTCTAAAAAGTTATTTTAAATAATTACTAGCTTTAAATGGCAATAACTTGTTTGATTTAAATGGAACACACTGTATATTTTATGAGAATTTAATGCACAATTTAATTGGCTCTCAAATGATTATACCGTTTTTACCTTGGATTGTCTTCTCAGTTTTCAATTCACAGGCATTTTCTTATAATTTAGATTTCATTATCTAATATACCCATGGATTTTGACATTGAAGAATGTTTTTAAACCAAGGTATTTCTTTCAATGTAGGTTATGTTATGTAAAAAAAACATTCCTAATAAAGAGTATTATTATTATTTTAGTTAATTCTAGTGCTTGTACAAAGCAAAATTAACTGTTTTATTGATTAATAATAATTGCTCCAAATACTAAAAAAAACTGAATTATGTATGTGTATTAGAGAGTGTGGTAAAAAGTAACACCTTAAAAATGATATTTAATTTTTTGACAACTGCTTTTATTTATAACAACAACAGACGTTCATTTTCATAACTTATTATTATATTGATTTCTGATTCAAATCCACATTTATTTAGAATAATTTATTAACGAACACAATTAAGTATGTAGTTAATTAGTATTTGGGCGGAAATACTGGTGGTATATTTAATTAATGGTATACTCTTTTATAAAGATTTAAATAGTTTTCTTTTTGCATACAAATGGGCTAGTAATATTATCGTTTTACTAAAAACGATAATATTACTAGCCTGTACATTTTGTACATTTAAAGTAAATAAGTTATTGCCGTTTAAAGCTAGTAATTATTTAAAATAATTTTTTAGACATTCTGTATAAGGTAGTATAATTTTTATTATTGCAACACAATAACTGATCAATAAATAAACTTCAGTAAATATTTAGTATTAAAAACTTTGATATCCTCCAGGAAGAAATGAGGCCTTCAAAACAAATACTGCAATTTCGCAAAATTGAAAATATTTTAAAAACGGTAAGGTTTAAGTAATAAACCTTAATCAAATTTACCTTTATTTTAATTGTAGAAACTAAAAAAATGCAGTAATATACAAAACAACCATTTAAAAAATACAACTTTGATATTTTTTAATTATTTGGGACACTCGTATCTTGTAAAAATATTTTTAAATTGTAGCTCTAATAGTCCTTCAATGAACCCAAAACTTACAATTTGTAAAAATTTAATCGTTTAGCTACAATACTCCGTGTCGTATGTGGTGAACAACCCTGTATTAGGGGATTAGGGTGTTTCAAAATAAAATAAATTTTTAAAACCAAAAAAAAATTGATTATTCTAGGTTAACAGAATTGAAGTGATTTTACAGGAAAAATTATATAAAAATCCAGTCTGATGATATTTTTTTGTAGTTTTATTGGAAAATATTTGAAATTTTCGATTGGTGTTATTTTTGATCGCTGATATCTTTGAGACGTTGATCTGAGGAACTTTGACCTTCGGTCGTTTTTTGTAGAGCGTGAAATTTCCTATACATATTCTCGCGAGGATGTTGCGGAAACAAACCATTTCGAAATTATTAAAATTCAAAAATAAAAAAAAATCTGTGTTATTTGAATGGAAAAACAACAAATAAATTGAGGCAAAGCTCAATATTAATATTAAGGGTTTTACTTTGTTTTTAAATGTACTTTCAACTTTTAAACACCATAAGAATTTTTTTTTATTTTGAAACACCCTAATATCGATGTAATATTAACGTTTCATTTCTGTTTCTTTAAATTACAGAAAAATGTTTAAGTTAGATCTGTTATATATGGATTATGGGTATTCGAGTTTAATAGATATGTGTATAGCTTTAAAAAATATTTTTCACTACGTGAGACCTGGCAAGGATGATTTTAAACTGTTTGATCGCAGCAAACCACCACCGGTGGTTACCCAAAGAAATTGTACGATTTCTAGTTTGAATACTGCTGATAAGGTAAAAGTTTATCTATACCAGATGGTCCGGTATTCTGAAAATGCCTTAGGTTTTCTATTTGATATTTTCACTCCAAGAAAAAACGGCGTCAAGTAGGCTTGGAAATGATGAGAGAAATCTTTATTTCCAAACTCGCCGATTGTTTTTTGATTTTATGGTATTTGAATCACACTGTAAATAATAAAAAATAAATTGATATGGAGATTTTTCAGAACACTGGTTCGCCCTCTATATTATATACAGTATGTCCCCGAGGAAAAACTTCTTTTTATTAACTTCTTGAGAAAAATGGGGGCTAAATAATTTAAAGATTGTATTGATCAGAAATATGTTGGTCAAACTAGAAGATCAACATTAACTAGATTTAAAGAACATATGGCTCAGATAAGTTATGGTTGACTAAAGATTATTGTATAAATAATAATTTAAAATTAATTAAACAAATCTCAAATTACAGGCAATTAGATGCATATGAGAGCGTCAAAATTATTCCTTCTAGTTTTCTGTTCCTATTGGTCTAGTTTCAGTAATTAATTGTTACGCTCCGTTGGTTTTGACTCACTTGGCTAGTTTTGCCACGCCTAGTCGGTGCCAACTGTTAACGGTAATTTGTAGATATTAGTTTAGTTTTAATCATCTGCTGATAATGCTAACATGGTTAGAGAAGGCGCGGGTCCAGTACAAAGGTTTTCCCTTAAATGAGACGGAAATTTTAGAAACTATAAAAGGGATTAAGCGTTTTAGAACAATCAAAAACTTTTATGAAGAATTTATATTTTCTGAAAAAGTTTAATAAAAAGGTTTTTGTAAAGACGATTCAGGGGCACACTGTAGAATGAATGAACTTAATATTTAATTTTTTAGTGTTCCCAATCGGTCAGTAACCCTTTACCAGATTTGGATTGGTCAGATTTTAGTGGGTATATTCCTAAAGATATATTTGTGCTTGGTAATGAAATACCAAAAGAATTTCTGCCCAAAGAATCTCAAGAGGGTGACGAATTAGACGTTGTAGTGGTTGAGGTCTATGACCCGTCAAAATTTTGGATTTATTTTGGTATGTTTAGTGATGTCAGTTTGTAATATCCTGTAGGTGTTAATTAAAAATTCGTTTTAGGTACATCCGATCAAAAAACTCCTCTAGACATTCTCATGGATGATATTCAAGATTTCTATAATGATGAAGACAATCAAAAAACATATGGTGTTCCACCAGGATTAATACAGGTATTTTTATCAACAAAAACTGTTTTTTTTTCTCATAAAATTATTTTTACTAAAGATTAAATATATTAAAATATTTAACACGCCACGTAAAAACTATTTTTTACGCGTAATAAAGTATTTTTTACGTGTATGAAACTATTTGTTACATGTAAAAAATAATTTTTTACATGTAAAAAAATATTTTTTTTTTAATTTATTACTTTTTCAACATTTCAAACTACACTTTTTCAAATATGCGCACATTTTTTTTTACATAGAATTATATTATATTAATAATAATAATTACTCATATATTTTAGGAGGGTCTCTATTGTGTCCAAATTATTTATGGAGAGTATCACCGAGCCAAGATTATTAAAGTTTTACCGAATACCAAGGACCTAGTTAAAGTATGTAAAAAATTATAAAATTTGTAATGTAGTCGTTGTAACTTAGTCTATTTTAAGGTGTTTTTTATTGACTATGGCACAGTACGTAAAGTTCCTACCAGGGGAATGTGTTTTTTGCATACTCAGTTTACGCTGTTGCCAGCTCAAGCGGTGCGTTGCCGATTGGCAAATATTGCCCCCCACGTACAAAGTAAGTTATTGTTTACTATAAATATATTTTTTAATAATTTTAATAACTATGTTAAACTTTATCAATAATACTCAATTTCAAAAGTTATTTTCTGAAATAATTTATATTTATTAGTAATCGATAGTTTTATATTTTTCAAAAAACTTTGATTAGAATTATTATTTGACTAGTTATAATAATATTTAATAAGACTAGATTAATTTAATTTAAAATAGATCAGATTTTTTTGTATATTCTACTACCAGAAAACCAAAATTATATGATAACACACTTTTACACGACTTTGAAGAAAGATATAGTGTATCTATTACAATACTTAATAGAACTACTACAATTAGAAGAAAAACCAAAAAGAAAAAGATACCCAAATACCTTCACCTACTACTCAACTACAAAATAAACGAATATGATCTCTTATAAAAACTCTACATAACAACTTACTATTCTACACTGAACAAATTATCAAGCTTACTAATTAATCAAACAAAAAGAAAAAATAACTTATTAAATTATCCCTTCACCTATTACTTAACTACAAAATAAACTATAAAAATACTACACTTCTACACTAAACATATAATTAAACTTAATAAATTAATCTACTTTTACACTACAACTACAAAGAAATAAGAATGTTTTTTAAAACTAGAAGAAACAGAACTTCGATACGTGCGACCAGGATAATAGGTCAAGGGGACAAAGAATATAGAATACTTTAAAATGATTATTTTATTTAATACTTTAAAATTATGTGCATTCAGAAAGAAAAAATACCTCGAAAATTATCTAAACAAACATTTTTATTTCTTATCAGTGAGAAACATCGGCCTCGTTGCAGAATTTGTCGGGCATTTACAATGGTCGAATTGTATAATTACCAGCTTTTATAGCATATCTAATAGACAAAAAGTATCTGGTCGATTAGTAACCAATTGGCACAGTCAGAAAATTATCGATGTCGCTTCAAAATTCAGAGTAACAAAAAATATTTTTCTGTAGTAAAATACAGAGAAAACCTTTGAATAAAAAGACTAAGGAAGGAGCTATCTATGTATTCATGCATGGTGGGCGGAAAAAGCACTCTAGGGTGGGGATCCTTGACAGTTCTGTTTGACGATTCGTTTGGCACATTTGAATTTGATTTGAAATTTTATGGATTTGTCAGTCTTTACGGAGCTTATCTTATGTTATTTATTATTTATTATTTATTCTACTACTGATAGTTGTATAAAGGTAGTAAATCTAGATGGAAATTGTGGCAGAACTTAAATTAACAGTGACACTATCGCGATTTATCGAAAAAGACTCTAAAATAGTTGGTTGTGTAGCGTGCGGTAGATCTCGGGAAAAATCGAGTGAAATAATTGAACAACTTTTCGCTAGTAAGTGACTATATAATATACATACGTGTAGTAAACCGATCATTTATGAAATTCACTTAAATTAACTAATTATATATTTTTTCTTGCATTTTTGCTTTTATTTACTACTTGTCAATGATTAGATGTCAAAGAATTTAGATACGTCAATTTGATTTACCAGATTTACCTGCTTCAGTAGCGTATCGGATGTTTGTATTAATAAATAATTATTATAACTTATCTATTTTTATTAGAATTATATATTTTTGTAACAATTTTAATAACTACCAACATTTATTCACAACGTCAAATAAAACAACATATTATTGAGTCTACCTCACGTCTACCCTACATCATAGTTTTACATTTTTTAAATAAAATTAGAACGGCACTGATAAACCGAAATTTAAGTAGGCCATATTTGAGGCCCATCGCGGTGGACCTAAGATTTTTGATATGCTCCTTCCTTAGTCTTCTTATTCAAAAGAGAAAACGGTCCTGCCATCTAGTAGGCTTGGTCCATAAACGTCTTAGATTGATCTACTTTAAAAATACATATATACAAGGGTAGTACAAAATCAACAAAATTATTGAGTCTACTCTATTTATATTGTTAGGCATTTAAATAATAGAACATCCCTTATAAACTGGAATTCAAATCATGGATAATTTGGTGTTTTGGCTTAAAATTTCCCTTTTCTCTCTGCATCTCGAAGTTTCCCACGAGTTGGCATCATGGCCGCCGAGCCACTGTCAGCCACTGTGTGTATTAAATTGCAAAATTTCTTTCAGACACCCCTTGGGCCAAATCGTCGTCGGATAAATTCCGAGACCTGGTGAACCGGCGAGACACCAAAATCAAAGTCAGTTATATTAACTGGGCCGATCAATATATATGCGTGTTTCTGGCAGACGTCACCAACCCAAACAAGGTCGCCTATATCAACGAGGTGTTGGTAAAAAATGGAGACGCCGTATGGGAGGAGGAGGTAAATAACGATAAGGTTTATACTGTAGGTAGTGCGAAAGTTAGCTTGCTAAAATGGAGGGTAGCGATGGCGAAGAGAAATATTTCAAGGACAACGATCTAAAAATAAGTGTTAATCTGTGTCTACTCATTAAAGAATTTTATTTTTTATGTCTTAAGGATTACTAAATACGTTATATTGTATATAATATTTATTTAAATAAAGTTCTACTGTTGAACGTGACTCACAGGTTTTATTTAAGGACAAATCAGGCACAAGACCAATTCAAGAAATAAGTCGTAATATCGAGAAAATTAATACTGACAGTTGACCTTCAACTGCCATTGTTCCACAGCTTTTGATAATACTTTATCCATTGAATAATAAGACTCGTAACGGAAATGACGTCACTGAGGCACCTTTTTGTCAGTTTTGTTTGAAATTTCCCCTGACTACTTTTTATTATTTTTTGTTTATATTTTTATGCAAAGTGTATAAATCTGGAAGGGATTGTGTGATTATTATAAATATTTATTTGTGCAGCTTGTGATCGTTCTTAGAATGATATAGTCTGTCCAACGAGAGGTTCCATGACAGTGACAGTTGTGTCTGTCTATTTAATTCAGAGCATATATACTATATAGGATGAGTCTTAAAAAAGTGCAAATATTTTTTTTCTATGTCTATAACGCCTATAAGTTTTTTCGCCAAAAAAAAATAAAAAATGTTGAATTTTTTTTAATTAAAAAACTTAATTTTTTGATAATATGGCAACATAGGTTGTAGATTAAATTTACAGGGAAAAAAACAAAAATTCCAGTGGTTCTGAAAATTTAAGTAACTTTTTTATATTTTGAAAGTATTATAACTCGGTTATTTTGGACTTATTTGAAAAACGGTAGAGAGGAATTATATTTCTTTTATCGAGATCTACCAGCCCTGAAAATATTTGCACTTATTTACGACTCGCCTTGTTTATACAGGGTGTCCCAGAAATAAGTGCAGATATTTTAAGGGGCTGTAGATCTGGTCAAAAGAAACATCTTTTAACAATTTTTAACTTTTAAAACCATTTTTAAAATAATTTGAAAATAACCGAGTTATTAAATCGTGAAAATTACAAAAAAATAGTGGCAACATTTTGAGAACCGCTTTTTCACGAGGTTTTTCGGCTTATTTGACGCCTCAGGTGAATAAACAAGTGGCACTAAAATGTTTTTTTTTAATTTCCAAGAAAATGTCAAGAAAAATAATCAATTTTCAACAATTTTTTTTCGCAAAAAAAACCTCAGGCGTGTTTCTGGGACACCCTGTATAAAACCCGCCTCTAAACTGCATTCTTTGAAGCCGAGCCGGTGAATTGCATTTCTTGTCGTTTTTTTTTATATAATCTGTGGCAATCTTTCCTAACTCATTGGACAGACGTAATAGAACAAATTTTAGTTATAGATATAAACTAATATTATATAAAAGTAATAGAACAAATTTTCACTGTTAAAAAAATTGTATCTGTATTTCTGTTTACATTAGCTTATTTATTTTTATTGAAAATATATTTTTTAATCAATTATTTATAAACCCACAAATATTATTATTACGTTTGCGCTACTTCATGTTTTAACTCGTTAAAAAATAAGAACGCCACTGCTAAGCCCGAATTCAAGGTAGCCATATTAAAACGCCTTTCAGATTTCGCTGACTTTGTTGATATAGTCTTTCCTTACTCTTTTTATTCAATGGTTTTTTGTTTTGAAGCAAAATGGAAAATGTCATTTGAAACATTAACTTTCAGTATTCATTTTCTGCCGAATCGGACGTTGTTTTTTATGATTTTTCTTTCTTTCAGGCTAAGGCGCCGCCTCCAATGTTGCCAAATTTACAGTGCAAAGTTCAAAAATTGCATTTGTTTCCGACATTTCTTGAATTGGAATATGGCCTTGCCCCCAATGCCGCGGAAATCTACTCTTTGGAAGACTTACTTGTACCCATTCAGTTTTGTATACCGCTGTATTTTGAGTCGGCTCCAGAGGTAACTATTTCCTTTAGTAGTGGGAACTATCGAATGAAAATGCTATCGAAACATTCGATAGTTGCAATTCATTTGAATAATTCGATAGCTAGTAAGAAAACATTCGTCAAACACTATTCGAATAAAAATTATCGAATAGATCTGCCTTGAAATATTGTATTCTAGTAATTCGGCAGCAAAAACCATTCATTTATAAAATTCATTTATTCGTCAGGATCGATTATAATAAAATATAATCTGGATTTTAGTTGTCGCCCGGCGACGTAGGTTTCTTTCCTAGAAACCCGATAGCGGACGGTGGCAATGGTATGACAGAAGCCGGCATATTCGATTTTTTGCGGAGTCATATAAAGATAAGGACACATTATTTTTTTAATTGAGGTGCTAGTATTTACACAGAAAATACATTATGAAGGGCGCTGTTACCATATATTGGTATTAGTTGGTATTAGCAAAGAATATTATTCTTGTTAGGGATAGTATGTCTATATATTTTCATTTGTTTTATTAATATTCTGTTGTTACACTGCAATAATTTTATTTTGGATGTAGGAACATTATTTTTTAATGTTTTTAAGCAAACACTGGTTAAATAAATAGTAATAACAGTAATAATTTGTTGTTATACCTTTTTATTTTCTAAGCATGCAGTGTAATGGAAGGAAAATATAAATAAAAATTAGAAATCAAAATTATTTATATTACTTTTATTACTTTATATTACTATTTAAAAATAATATTTACTTTTACTGGCATTTACTTTAAAAAATAAATGAAATATTTCTTCGCAAAAACTACATGTAAGAGAATTAGCATAAACAAAATACAAATATCGTTAACTTTTTTTAAATTGGCACGTGTAAAACTTTCAATTTAATTTTCTCACCCCCAAAATTTGAGTTTGATAACCATTTACTTAACCACATTACTTAAATATGATTATCAAGTTCAACTAATTCATATTATTATATCACATCTGAACATCTAAAATACAAATTTGTATTTTTAAAATGAATTGTAAGTTCATCTCATCTCTTAAAATTGCTACTTCTCCCATTAAAAAATAGACTATATACCTTATAAAATTAAATAATTGAAAGATCGGGCTACGGAAAATCACACAAATTTTCGAAAAATTTCGAGTACCTGCACACGGCACACAATCGTCAATTAAAAAAAAAACTACTATTTAGTATTTTAAATATTTTAATAAACGCAAAAATAGCACAGTATTTAAAAAATCAAACGAATACTAAATTTCATTTATCCAAAGCATTCGATAGTCGTGGCTCAACGATAACCATTTAGTCGCACGGCGAGGTTGTCACATATGCTTTAGTATACAAATGAATGAATGATTTTATTCAAATAAAACCATTCGATAGTTGGAATCATTCATTCAAAAACCGATAATTCGATAGTCTAATTCATTCGATAGTTCCCATCGCTAATTTCCTTAGGATAAAGTTTGTCCAATGAACCGGGAATGATTTTGATTTTTTAATTTGCTTGTGAATAAGATGACAGACACAACTGTCACTGTCAGGGATTCTCTCGTTGGGCAGACTATTTCCGAGATTAGAATGCATTCGACAGGGACCTCGTAAACTTTATACGAGGTGTGCCGAAAAGTTTGCAATAAACGGGATTGTTTTATTATTGAGTTTAAAAAAAAAAGTATGCAGGATCTACGGCATAACAAAAAAATAACACTTCATACCTGTAATATGCATGTTTAATCAGGTGTCTTTCAAGATAATGCTTAAAGGTAAGTTGGAATGTTCAAACAGATAAATAAAATAAACCAATGACAGAGAGATAGAGAGAATACATGATTTTGACAAACGAGATCCAAAAAATGGCGGATAAATCATCTACTTTTGATCTACTAAAATGACAGAAGACTCACCGATGTCATATACAGGGTGTTTCAAAAAACGTGCCATCTCTCGTGGGGAGATTCCTTACGTAAAAATAAAATTTATTTTGCATATCAACATAAGTCCGATTCTACTATGTTTCGTAGCTACAGGGTGTTAGTCTTAATAATCTTTTGATTTATTATAATTTTCTTCCAAGTACTTTTAGTGATTCGAATGAAATTTTAAGGGTAAAAGTTACTCTAAGAGCTACATATTTTAATGCTAAAATAGTGTCGATAAATTCATCAGGGACGTGCACATGGGTTATCACTGGAATATTTTTCAAAAAAAACGTGTGCCACTGGCTTTTTTCTTTTGATATCAAAATTGTATAGGCCGTTTAATGCCAGTTAAAAGTAATAATCTCTTGATATTTTGTCGAATTCGGCCTCCTTGATGAGATAAACGCAATTTTATTAATCACAATAAAGTTAATATAAAAATTAAATTAATAAATTATTTTACCTAATTTATTTAATTTATTATTAAATATTAGTACTATAGTCCAACCTATAGCAAAAAAGGTTTAGTTTGGTTATGGCTATTAGACTTGGATCAAGGCAAATTAATAAAATTCGTTCATCTCAAAGGAAGCCGAAATCAACAAAATATCAATAGATAAAAAACTTTTTAATCGGCATTAAACTGCTTACACTATTTTGACTAACGAGAAAAAAAGTCAGTGGCATTACATGCTTTTTTTTAAATATTCCAGTGATAACCCATATGCGTGTCCTGGTGAATATGTCGTCACTTTTTAGTAACTGTTACCCCAATGGTGCCGTTTATCACCTGTGACGTAATGACCAACCTGCGCAATATCATACCTTGTATTCTTTGTACCATGAGTCCAACCTATAGCAATTTCAAAAGGTTTAGTTTGGTTATGGCTATTAGACTTGGATCAAGGCAAATTAATAAAATTGCGTTCATCTCATCAAGGAAGCCGAAATCAACAAAATATCAATAGACAACTTTTAATCGGCATTAAACTGCTTACACTATTTTGCTAACGAGAAAAAAGTCAGTGGCGTACATGCTTTTTTTAAATATTCCAGTGATAACCCATATGCGTGTCCTGGTGAATATGTCGTCAATTTTTAGTAACTGTTACCCTCAAAATTTTATTTGAAAGGCTAAAAATACTTGGAAGAAAATTATAATAAATTGAAAAAATATTAAGACTAATTCCCTGTGGCCACGAAACAAATCAGAATCGGATCTATTATATTTTATATCATATTTATTGTAATTTTCTGTTTGAACACACGACTTGTTAAGTGAGGGCACTGTCTAAGCATCACTGACTCTACGTCACGTTATTTGAAGGTAGACGAAGCAGCCTTTAAACATGTGGAAACTTGCTTCATCGATACGGTGAAATACCACAGAAAAATAAAACCTCTAGACCAAGTTACTTCGTCGTCTCTAAGTCTGGACCCCCCTGTAAACTTTGACATTTTCGGCGACTTAAAACAAGAACTATATGAATTTTCTATGGATTTAAATTTACTGGATGTTAGTGGAGAAGTCTGCAAGGAGCCAACTATAGACATTGCTCAGATTACTGATAGGTGAGTATATGTTCTCATCACTGAATAAAAGGACCAAGGAAGGAGTTTTATTATGGCTGTCTTAAATTCCGGTTTATCTGTGCTGACCATGACTCTGTGTTTTATCTGTGCTGACTTGATCTGTCAGAACCATGACTCCTGAGCATTTTATTTTTTGATTCGCATCAACACATGCCTTGGTTAACTTGCCACCTACAATTTGCAAATTTTTCAATTATCATTACTTTTTGATGTTATTTTTTAATATGACGGGGTGGCTTTGGTGACTATTGTAGTACCTAACCGTATGATCGAAAAAAAAATGGCGTTCAGTTGGCTTGGAAGAGAGGCCAACTATATGTATTTAGAGACGTATAAAAACACGATTTCGTCTTTTAATCCGCCATAAGTCTAAATATTGGTGCCCGACTCTCTCTATACCTATATATACTGTGATCCGATTCAATTCTTACGGCTCTTTTTTACGGCTCATCGTTCAAATTTTATGGATCCGTGCTGGCCACGATTCAATTGAACGAACCGTATTGTAAGCAATGAATCAATTCTCACGACACTTTGAACGAACGATTGCATTAGTGACTTTTTTACGGCTCATCGATCAAATTTTATGGATCGGTGCAGGGCACGATTCAATTGAACGAGTCGTATTGTAAACAATGAATCAATGCTCATGACTCTTTGAACGAACGAGCCGTAAAAACAAACGATCGCATTGTGATCCGATTCAATTCTCACGACTCTTTTTTACAACTCGATTTTATGGATCCGTGCTGGCCAAGATTCAATTGAACGAACGGTATTCTAAGCAGTGAATCTCACGATTCATTTTTAATACTCGTTCAAATGAACGACCCGCTCAATCTTTGCCTACCTCTGCTGTGCCACAGATTAGGTATTCCAATTGGGAATACATTTTTTACAAAAGGCAACAATGCGTTCGAGACAAAAAACGAAATCTGACAACGCCGTAGCCCTATTAAAGGCCCGAGGTCACGGTGGCGTTTATGAGCAAAGACACAAAATTTCGAATTTCTCCAAAGATTCTGTAACAAAAACTGTCAAAAAACGTAATTGAAAATGGTGACTATGACGTCCCTTCCGTCTGTAATGTAATGAATATAAAAATAATATCTAACTCCTTATTTAGTCTTCTTATTCAGTGATGTATCTGGATCGTCACATCAAAGGACACTGTGACATCTTTTTTAATAAAATTCTTCGGCTTGAAGTGAACTATTTATTCATCTTTTTTATATTCTTTAGCATGCAGCAATATGAGCCATTAAAGCTGATCAAAGAGGACATGGAACTATCCGAAAACATAATCAGAAATCTGGAAACTTTAAATTTGACCGACACGAAATCTTTGTCGCAGTCGGAGATCATCGAGCGGGAACTTTCTAGCGTGTTCGACGACATAGACGACCAATTGATGACGAAACCAGTTTTGAAGTACAACGCCCGCAAAACGAGAGAAAGTATTTTTGACAATCCGGAAAGGTTTAAGGATATTTTAAGTAAGAACGCGAAAAATCCTGTTGAGCCCAATATATTCCATAAAATTGTCGAATCTTTGACCAAAAGCGGACCTCCAGAAACGACCACGCAAAATAATTTGTTAGATAAAGGTATTTACAGTTCATACCAAAGAAACTTTTAGTCACGTGATTAAGGGTTGCCAACTTTTATATATTTTCTTTTAATCAAGATATTTTAGGAAACAAAAATAAATTAATTATAAAGATACTAGTGTGTACCAGCGACTTCGTTCGCGTCGAATTAATCATTTGTAATGGTGATGATAAAGCAATAAGCAAGAATTTCCATTAACATACAAACTGGATAAAATTTTCTCACATTTATGTCAGCATGAGAAAAAACAATATGGCGATATTATTATATAACTTGGTAATATTTGAGAGGTAGTTTCATCTCGTTGGAATTTGACACAAATAAATTATGCTTGTTCAAGCGTTTTCACGAAAGACTAACCGTTTTTTAAATAACAAATATTGTAATATTTTAGGGGCGTTTTCACCCTCTTGGAATTTGAGATTCGAGAGACCCCTCCTGATCGAACCTCTACACCCCACAGTCAATCCGTTTGCCAAAAATCAGCTTTAACCTTTCCGGGACCGTGCGGGGTATTTTAGGTACCCCAGATGCGTTTTTTCTTTAATAACTTTTACAATTTTTATTTCCCACTTTTTTCCTTTCAGGTAATCCTAGAAAATACATTACAAAACCTTTTTTTAACAAAAATATCCAAGTATTTTTTTTATTTTCCGCGAAAAACTGAAATTTACTGCCTGGGGTACCTCCATCACTTCGCACGGCCTGCATTGATTTGAAATCCTACATGCACTATTTATGTTTTTTCGTTTTGGTGACTTTGTATAAAGATAAAAACAAAAATATTATGTAGTACATGCAAAAAAAATCTTGTTAATATTCACCGCAATGAATGTAAAACGTTTTTGCCCAGACTGCCAAAATAATGTGCAGAAAATTAATAGGAGTTTAGTTTTAAAATTAAATGTTTTTTATATTAAACAAATACAAACTATTTATTGTTTGTTAGCTTTATTATTGACGTTTTATTATAAAACTTTACAAATAATTATTGATAATTTACCTGAGTGGCAAAATGTTAATAGATTTCGAAATATTTCAGTGGGGTATCATAGTTGCCCCACACGGCCTGAAACGTAACTTTTTGTAGCACGGTCCCGGAAAGGTTAAGCTTGATTTTCATGCATCCGTTGTCCGACGATACATTGATACGATATTAATTTCATTGGTTGTATTTAAAGGCTTCGATTGGATAACCGTTTCTAACCAATCGAAGTCTTTATATTCAACCAATAAAATTAATATCGTATCATCGTATCGTCGGACAACGGATGCATGAAAATCAAGCTTTAAACGTCAAGCAGTTTAAGCAGAATCGTGATTAGTCAATGGTCATATTTTATGAAACACCCTGTATAAATTTATAAAAAATCTTAAAACAAAATAAAATATACGTGTTTAAAAGTTTTTTCGAAAAACTCACAGAAACGTCTTTTTCTCCGGGATTTTTCATTTAATGTATATTTTATATGCTTTATTACCTTTATATTTATAAATTTCAGGTGAAATAAAAAATTGAATTTACAAAACAAAACTAAACGGAGAGAATTAAAATGGCGTCGAAATTTGTTCGATTTGTTCTAGAACAACTGGTTTCACCCACACTTCTTTCTAGTTAATTATTTTATGGTTTCATCCTCTTGATATTGAAATTTCGAAAAATCTCTTCTTATCAAACCTCTACACCCTAGAATCAACCTGTATGACAAAATTGAGCTTCTTACGTTGAGTGGTTTGAGCAGGATTGTGATTAATCAGTATGTCAGTCACTTAAGGATTTTATATATTAGTATAGATAAACAGTTAGAACATCAACAAAACTCGCCTCCTTAACAGCACTTAAGGGACATAAAGGGCCATTACTACCGCTTTCCCTTTCAAAATATTCTAATAAAGTTGCGATGAGTTTACGGCTATTAAGCTATCTTGTACACTTCGCACTAAAAGAGGTTCTAAAAAGAACAATGTTCGACTGCAAGGTCTGCTAGCAGACATTTTTTAAGCTTAAAGTATCACAACACTATTTATTTAAACCAAAAACTCGTAATACAAAACGAAAGTGTCAAAACGAATGACAATGTCGGCAAATAAATAAATAAATGCGCAACTTGACATTTCTTACAGCAGAGCTACCACCTGAATCCCTAGCGCGAAATTTAAATTCCAGTTAATCACCTCGGTGCCGAATATGTCTATGGTTGACAACAATTAATTTAAAAATCGTGCCCTCGATTATGTAACTAAAAGTTTAATTGATATCAAATATATGTAACATTTTGCTTTATCGTGCTATTTATTGATATATTATATAATTTTCTTTTAGATAATTTCAAAACTGCCTTTAATGTTTATAGTAATCCGTTTAACAGCAGCTCAACTAATAAAGATTTCCTAAATTTGAGTTTGTCTGAGGTAAAATTGGAACAAGAATTGCATGATGTAAGTGTTGATTTTAAAAGGAATGTGCTATCGGATGTCAAAGTGAACAAAATGCCAGTTTTGTGTCCAAATAACCCGTTTTACTACGATGTCGAAAATGCATTTCTTACTAATACTGACCAATCTTTGAGTTCGAACTGTATAAAGAACACTGCACAGGTAAGTATTAGTGTGGGTTAGGGTTTATTTTATCACATTTTATTGTGTTGTTTCAAAAATGACATACTTTACTTCAACCTCATTGGAGTGACGACATGAAAGACGACGCATGACGGATGTATACTAAGGCCTGGCAAAGGTTAGTCTTGGGTCGAGATTTCCGTATGTAAGAAGAGTACAATGCGTTTATAATGTACTGAACAAAGAGAGGACAGTAAACAGGTTGCCAAACGTATGAAATAAACCGAGAAAGTGTGCACATCGCTAAGAGACGTGGAAGGGGATATAGCAGATTTGTCGCAGTTGACCGGTCGACACAATCAATACCTCTGTCAGTACTTAAAGTTCTAGGGAAAGGTGTACGTCATGCGTTCAGCTTCACGATTTAATTACGTCTCGTGATACTTAATTTGTTTATTTATTAACGAGTCGTTGTAATTTTCCCTATAGCTTGAATTTTTTTTAAGTGCAAGCTAGAAACACTTGCATTTTTGGTAAAAATAAATGGAATTGAGTGGGTATTCGATAGTGGTCGCGCTATTAGAACTCTTAATTCAAAAATCGATATCCCGAAATCTATTAGAAACAATAGATTGTAGTTTTTTTAAGAACTTTGTTAACATTTCTGCTGTATTTTCTTTGTACACAGTATGTGAAAATCTTTACCAATAAAAAAATTACACGATTGCTGAAAATTGCTATGCTCTAAAAGTAATTTTAAGATTGTTTACAATTTTTGAATGGAAAAAACAACCTTATCGAATTTTTCTTATGTAAACATATTGTAAAATATCCGATCTTGAAAATAAAAAAAGTTTCAATATCTAAAGTGGTTCTTGAGTTATGGCCTGTTATGTGTTAAAATGTTATGTGTTTTAAATTACTGCGATTACTGACGTTTTCTCGTTATAAAAAAATGACACCCTAACGATATCCTTATAATTCCATTTCAGATGCTCAAAAACATGTCTAATGATTTTATCTAGTTATCTCTTGAAAAAAAAGTCTTTTAAAAATAAGCGGTTTGCGATCGCGATTTTACTTTACTTGATAGGGAAAGGCGTATCGGCAACGCCGCAACAGCCTACCGTCGCGTCGCGTCGGTCGTTCGCATTTCTCTCACTCTGACTTAATAAGATCCCTATGCGATTTACTTCCACACATGTAAATGCCGACCCAAAAGTAACAGTTGCCAGCACGGTATAAACTTACCTTTAGTAGGCCAGTTAATGACAGTTAACAATTTTATGGTATCTTTCTAGTAGTGGTTGTTTTCTTCTTGTATAGTCTTCAAATTCGATACAATAAGCCTACGCGCTAACCTGTAATTTTTAGTTGGCCGACTGTTTAGTTGCAAAAGTGTTAACAATACATATGAAGTCGATCGGCCGACTATTTGATTGCATGTGAGCGCGGCTCTATAAGGATATATTGGTCACAAATATGCAACTAAATAGTTGGCCGATTAAAAATTGCCTGTCAGCGCATAGACTAAGGCTACGCAATGTAATCAAATATTGGGCCGATCGGCTCCATAAGAATGTATTGTTTTCACTTATGCAACTAAATAGACGGCCTACTAAAAATTACATGTCAGTGCTACCCTAATTATTCTAAAAAAACTCACAAGAGAAAGGCAGAAAAATGCATGCTTCATTTAGAAATATATAATAATTATTTTTATTCAAATATGCGATAATTGTTTTGAGTAGTATATTATAAAATACAAGACACCAAAATTTTGCTACCGTTTTTCAAATACAAGTGTCATTTTTTGACTGCGATATGGCGCATTACATCGTCTGGGAGACAAAGTTTATGGTGCAATATTTAAAGCAGAGATGGCCAAAACTTATTTCTAAACAACAGCTGGAACTGTTACTGTTATTTTAAAATAACAGGTTTCTGTTATTATAAGCCGTAACAGTCTAAACATAATAAACATTGATATTTATACCTGCCATTATTTTTATACCGATTATTTTTTTGAAGCTATCAACTGTTGCGAACTGTTATTTCTAAATAACAGTTCTAAAATAATAGATGTTAAATAACAAATCGCCTCTAATTTATAAATTATTTCCTCCATCATTTTGCTGTTTTAGTATATGTTCTAAATCATCTTTATCACCGCGCTGTTATTTTTAGATCTGTTATTTCTCCGAAACACGATCATATCGCCAACCATCTCTGTTAGCGCATCATTATTTTCATACCTGTTATTTTATGGAAGTAACAACTGTTGTGAGCTGTTATTTTTTAATATGTTGTTTAAAATAACAGTTCTCAATAGATGTTAATGCTTGCTTCAAATTTATAAATGATTTTACTCACTTCATTGTTTTAGTCTATATTATAAATATGGTGCACTATATACCCTATGAGCGAAAAAAAAACGCATAACGGTGGTTTTTGAAATTATACGCGATGGTAATTTCTGCAGTAGGTCCGACAGAAATTTTCATCGAGTATAATTTCAAAGCCCACTGTGACGCCGTTTATTTTTCATATATAATATTAATTTTATAGGACAAAATGGAATCCACAAAACTTGAAGCTTTATCACCAGAATCTGTTTATTCATCCAGTACCAATCAATTAGACAACGTAAACCATCATTCCAATTCTATCTCGACGCAAACTTCAGTTAAAGATCTTAGTCTAGACACAACTGACGATACAATTGAACAGGAAGAAAACTCCACCGATGAGTGTATAGTTTCAGAAGATGTGCCGAAAACAGAGCATGTTTTGACTGAGTCAGTAAACAATAACCAAAAGATAGTGCCTACAAATCTCACTTGGTGGTCTAATCCAGAGAACTGTGGTCAGCGTTCACAAAAACCCCGAGAGGTCGATACAACTCCATGCCCTCCTTCAGAATATCAATGTTATGGAAAAGAGCTGGAAGAAAAATCCACTAAAGATATACCAAGAACAGAGAATGTTGTTACTGAGCCAGTAAACAGTAACCAAAAGCCGGTAACTAAGAATTACACTAGGTGGTCTAGTGCAGATGATGTTCGGCAGTTTCAACAAAGTCGAGGGGTCAATACAATTCCTCGACCTCCTTCAGGATATCAGTCTTATCAGGTAATATATCACAATATACCGGGTTTGCAAAAAAGTCTGTTAAAAATTTCTTGTTATTATTAGAGACAGGTAAAACAATGTAACGCAGTTAGTTATTGCTTGTCTAGAAATCATAAATTAAGTATACTATTGTAGTCAAATTTTACATTTCTTCTTGAATCTATTGTGTGCATTTTTTATCTAAGGACTGTTCAGCCGTCGTTCACCGTTACGTCATCATTATTTGTCAAATATGAGTTTTAGGGTGTGTCTGAGATCAGAAAATTTTAAGTACCTACGTTCCTATATTATTGATTTGAACAAGTTCCGTTTTTTCGGCATTTATTCATTTTTTTCTTGAATCAGTTACGATTAATGATGGGATAACTCGAGCGAAAGTTCGCTCGAATACTCGATTATTGAAATAACCGACATCGCTCAATTATGAACTAGCAATGCAAGTAACGAGTACCAAGCGACGAAAGCAAGCGATCCTAGAATGAAATAAATTGAAATCCGATTTTAATGTGACCTACCTCTAAAAAGCCGAGCGAGTTTTCTACATACATTGCAGGTAGCAAATTTATACGACGCCGTATATACCGGGTGCATCTCAAAACTGGCTCACCCCTATTACTTTTTTATTTTTTTAGATAAAAATATGAGATTTGGTATGTTAGTATATGACATAAATTAGGATTGATTGACGTATTCAATTATTTTCTGTCACTTCCTGTTTCACCGGAAATAACTACAATTTTTTATTTTTAAATGGCACCAAAATAAAAACACTAAATCACCACAATACACCAAAACACTTTTACTTTTACACTACTTCAGTTAACTGAGTTTGTAATCATCTGCTGATGATGCTAACATGGTTAGCGAAACGCGCGTCCAGTGTAAAAGTAAAAGTGTTTTGGTGTATCGTGGTGATTTAGTGTTTTTATTTTGCTGTATAACACCAAAGGTTCCAACCCTCAACTGTAATCTTTAAATGGCACCCTCGGTATTTTTTTACTTTATTCGATAGAAAATGACTTTCTAAATAGAATGACGTATCATATGTCAACTTTTGACATATTCCTTAAAAACAAATTGTATTTTAAATTTCAATCTAGAGTGCCACGGCTGTGTTAAAAACACTAATTTTTAATCAAGGAGCCTTGGAAAAATAGATTTGATTGTCTAATGTTTTTACTGTCTTGCCCTGGCTGGCCGGTTAAAAGATGCCCAAATAGTATTTTTGATCATATCTCAATTTTTTTCAAATGGAACGCGGGTGGATCATTAGCATATTTCGAAAAAGATTTTTTTACGAATAATTTGATACCACACACTTGGTACTTCGAGTCAAATTGTCGTTATGAACCGCATGTTACAATTTCAAATAAACCATATGCGAAAATGTCAAAAGTTGACATGTGATATGTCATTCTATTCAGAGTGTCATTTTCTACCGAATAAAGTAAAAAAATACCGAGGGTGCGATTTAAAAATCAAAAGTTGCAGTCATTTCCGGTGAAACCGGAAGTGACCGAAAAGAATTGGATATGTCAATCAATCGTAATTTATGTCATATACTAACATACCAAATCTCGTTGTTTTATCTGAAAAAATAAAAAAGTTATAGGGGTGATCCACTTTTGGGACGCACCCGGTATATTAATCCGTTGCGTATCTGAGAGACAAAAGTTTACGACCTACATCGACAATGCTTCGAAATAAACTAAATCAGGCGATCAAGCGAATCCAGTGTTGCCAACTTTGTTACAAGCCATTCCACCAGAAATCATATTTAATTCCACTAAAAATCCACCAGATAAAAATATTATTAAATTCCACTAGAATTCCACTAGATTTTTTTTGCAAAAAAATATAGTTTATTTGAATAATATTATGTTTTATCATTTATTATTGCGATTTTTAACATAGTTCGCTTATGCCATCTTAATGAGAGGGGTTTTTGCAATTAAAAACAGAAAATTAGGGACATAAGGGTGGGCAGGATATTTTGTAAATTAAAACCCTTAAACTGATTGTTAAAGGAAACAGGAAATGACAATCGGCGCTTTCTTGCGCATCAGGCGCAGGTGACATTTGACATTCGGCGCTTTCTCAAGTGGCAAGCGGGTTGCCTAAAATGACGTTGATTTGTATATTTTGTGCCTTAACTTTACTGAAAAATTTGAAAATATTAAAAGTACTATCAGTTTGCAAAAAAAATAATTTTCACTAAAAATTCCGCTAAAAAATTTCATGGTCACTAGAATTCCCACCATAGTAGATTTTGATAACACCATTCCACTAAATGACTATAAAAACCACTAAATCTAGTGGAAAATCTACTGTGTTGGCAACACTGAGCGAATCGCTCGCCGCTTACTACTTGCCATTCATTACCGAAAGAATATGTGCCCTGCGCACGCAGCTTACTGCTTGGTGCTTGTGGCGTTAACGAGTACTTACAACATGCGACGGACAAAAAACCGTATTTTTAAATACGAGCGATATTTCGCTCGAGTGATCGCTCGGTTATTGCAATTGCTTGATACTCGTGTACTCGATTATTGAAATTAATCGGTTTTTCCCATCACTAGTTACGATCCCATTAATTCCAATCCTTTGGACTGTTGAAATTCCTATTTCTAAAGCATCAGCAACTCATTATATTACTTAAAAACGCTATCAATTTGGATTTTACATAGGAATATTACACCTTTGCATTGTACTTATTTCATATATGGCGTCCACGAGCAAGAGTGTTCTACCAGCGTCTCTTTCTCGAGAAAAAATATTAATAAGCTTAAAATGAGCGATAACTTTATTTTTACTCAATACTCTCTCTCTACAACTATTAATGTTGCTTCAAGACCGATATTCTTAATCACAAGTGGGCACACTTTGATGCAAAATTTATTTATTTGTAACATTTATACAGGATGTGCCCAATAGTAAACTCATTTTGACATATGTCATGGGACAAGTGACGTGGTGACTAATTACAAATGCAAAGAGGGGTTAGGTGACAAAATATCGTTAAAAGATAGAGAAAAAATGTTCAGAATTTGATTTTACGTCTCTATACCAAGTTTTGTCTTAAATATATGGGGTCTGTAAACAAATTTAATTTATCTTTTGGTTATTGGACAAGCAAAGACGAACTGCCTTACCTAATTCATCCAACCAATCTCTTATAATGATAAAAAAATCTCATCTGACGCAGACTATTTTGTAGCCACTGTATATTATTCATGTGCATCTCATTTTTCAGAATGTCAATCTGTTTTTTCAGAACTTCTGCTTTCCTTTTGTAAACACGAATATTCTCATGTACAACCATTATTCGCCATACAATAGCCTTTACAATTACATGCCTCCTCCCATGTTGCCTTTTATGTGCCCTCAAACTTTAAGGAATGTCCAAAATCGAAAAAATGCCAATCTCCAAAATAGCCAAAAAAATATCAAAAATTCGAATCCATAATATTTAAGTTTTTGTTTTTTATTATTTTTTTATCATTTTTATTTTAATTGTTGTTTTTTTTATAAAAATAGAATTTATACGTTATTTTTATAGTTATAAAATATAAGAATGTTATTTTTTGTTGACAATATATATGTTGTTTACTGAAATTGTCTTTTAAATTTAAAAAAAGAATACAAAAAATATAATATTCATTATTATTGTGCACTTACAAAAGAATGGCAAGTTGTATTTGGATAAAAATGTCAGGTTTTTATACCAGACTTATACATAACTTATTATAATCACTAAAAAGACATGATAGCCAAAAGAAAATACTAAACATAATAGGAAAAAAAAATAAATCTTTAAAAAAATACAAATGCCAAAAAAAGTTTCTGCTCTACAAATGTCATTTTTGGCAATTAAAAATATTTCAAAAGCTGTTAAAGACTTTGGTATAGAACATTATCACAGAATTACTTAACTCTAAAGTAGCAATACAGGCGATTTTTTTTTGTGTCAGGAACTTTCAATAAGAAGACTAAGGAAGGAGCATAATGCTATCCATGTATTCATGCATGGTGGGCGGAAAAAGCACTCTAGGGTGGGGATCCTTGACAGTTCTGTTTGACGATTCGTTTGACACATTTGAATTTGATTTGAAATTTTGTGGATTTGTCAGTCTTTACGGAGCTTATTTTATGTTATTTATTATTTATTCTACTACTGATAGTTGTATAAAGGTAATAAATCTAGATGGAAATTGTGGCAGAACTTAAATTAACAGTGACACTATCGCGATTTATCGAAAAAGACTCTAAAATAGTTGGTTGTGTAGCGTGCGGTAGATCTCGGCAAAAATTGAGTGAAATAATGGAACAACTTTTCGCTAGTAAGTGACTATATAATATACATACGTGTAGTAAACCGATCATTTATGAAATTCACTTAAATTAACTAAATTATATATTTTTCTTGCATTTTAGCTTTTATTTATTACTTGTCAAAGATTAGATGTCAAAGAATTTAGATACGTTAATTTGACTTACCTGCTTCAGTAGCGTATCGGATGTTTGTGTTATTAAATACTTATTATAACTTATCTATTTTTATTAGAATTATATATTTTTATAACAATTTTAACTACCAACATTTATTCACAACGTAAAATAAAACAACAAATTATTGAGTCTACCCCACGTCTACCCTACATCATAGTTTTACATTTTTTAAATAAAATTAGAACGACACTGATAAACCGGAATTTAAGTCGGCCATATTTGAGGCCCATCGCGGTGTACCTAAGATTTTTGATATGCTCCTTCCTTAGTCTTCTTATTCAAAGGTCAGGAAGTAAACCTTAACCTAAAACATTCAGGTTTGTATTTTGTATCTAATCTAACGGATTGTGTGAAAAAACTATGTTTTAATACTTTTACTAAGAATCTAATCAATTAAAGCTGTCTCCTGAGCATTTTCTTTTTTGACTGATGTCAACACATGCTAAACAAAGAGTGGGTGCTAAACTTGGTTAATTTTTAAGAGCGAAATGAACTTGCCACCAACAATTTGCAATTTTTTCAACTACCATTACTTTACGATGTTATTTTTTAATATCACGAGGTGACTTTGGTTACTAATGTCGTATCGACACTGATTAGAACTCTATATTAAAATTTAAAAAACGTTAAAAATAACGATACCTTGGTTTTAATAAATATTAGTAGCACTAACAGAACTAAGGATATTTAAAAACAATAACTGTAATAACTAAGTGTACAAACAAACAAAAAACTTGTAAAAAATACTCTAATACTTTGTATTGCCTCCCCTGGCGACTATAACTGTCTGTAGAGGTCGGTTCATACTGTTAATGAGGCTGCAGATATATTAGCTTACTTCGGGTTTCTCTTATTACCGATTCTGAACCATCCTAGAACTGTGATGCGTATGCGCAGAAGGAAATATGAAGACATTTCATTTGCGCATGCGCTGCCGAGTTCTAGGACGGTTCAGAATCGGTAATAACAAGATCCCGAACAAAGCTATTGTTTTATGTTTTCCCATTCTTCTTCAAGGACCAAGCGAATATTTATAATTTTGGCAATCTTCAACAAAATCAATGACTTTTGCACCAATCTTCGACACTAAGAACCATATCCAATCGTACCTACACAACAATTATCACTAATCAACAAAGCCGCCTCGTCACTATGAAGAATAACATCAAAAAGTAACGATAATTGAAAATATTGCAAAATGTTTGTGGCCAAGTTCATTTTGCTCTTAAAAATTAACCAAGGCATGGGTTGACATGAGTTAAAAAACAAAATATTCAGGAGACATGGTTCTCACCGAAAAATAATGTTTTAGGAAAATTTGCTCACGAAATTATTGCACAGGGTGTTTTAAATATAGGGTAAAAAACAACTCTTCGATTAACCCTGTATAATAAGTTAAATACTGCAGTTCATAATAAACTGAGTTTACGAATTAAAGTTGATATATTTATATACAGTTTGCTAAAAAAATCAAGGGAATAGGGCTAAAAATAAAAATATAACATTTTAAATACTAGACCAGAAATTTTTCCGTCGCGTTTTATTGCATCTGAGTGTATAAGCTTCCTTGCACTGGATTTAATCATTAGTAGGTCCATTTCATACTCACATTAACTAAGTTTACATAGTATAAGACAGGTTATTTAGTTCCACCTATTTTTTACTTAATATATACAGGGCGCTACTAAGAGTCAAGGTACAAGTACTTCCGGCTCAGAAAAGAGTGGGTGCTCGTCCAGGACAAGTCCACAGGTTGATTCAAGAAACAATGTAGGTCCGCAGCAACAACGGCCTTTACCTAACGAATCTCAAAAGTATTTCGTGCCAATGCAAGGTACTAACTGAAATTATCTCTTCGATACAAACAATAAAAACGTCATGTTTTAGCCTACGGACCGCAACCTGTCCAGTACGTCAACCAACAGTATGTACCATGGTCTCATGGCTATCCTCAGCAACCTCAGCTACAACAATGGAATAATGGAAGCAATGCGGCAGCTGTTCCCCCAGTGCGTCCACCTCCAGGGTTTCCCCCAAAGGTATCGAAAAATATTTTTTAAATTTATATTGAAATATGGTGTTTGTTTTAAAAAGTTTCACTTTTAAAAAATGTCTATACCATAGACTTAAAATAAAATATAGACTGAGCATCTCATTCATAAATAGCTGGAACATGCGGTCAGACAATGTCTTGTTATTGTTGTGTTATTGTTTTAGGTTATAACGAGTGCGACACGAGCGATAGATAGGTTGTCTCTGTCGTAACGGTCGTTCCCTGACGACTCTGACGAGAAACACAACACTGTCTTTCGTTTCTCAAGTACACCTGAACTCTCCGTATCATAGCCGGGTAATTTTTTTATTTTAATGAAGCTATAATTAAATTAAAAATATATCGTATTGAAAGTTTTTTATATTTTATTAAGATTTAGGACAGGTTTTTTAAATAAAGTTTAGAAAAAACGTCTTAGAGTCCAAAAAGGATAAAAATAATAAAATACACGTTATAGAAGAAATTTTATAATCGAAATTACGTAATTTAATTAATAATAAATTATTAATTTTAGTCAAACATTTACAACCCCTAATATTAATCAAAACAGGATCTATTCCACAGATATAATAGAATCGGCGACAGGGAGAGAAAAAAAAATGATTGTTGTAATTTTTTTCTGGTTAAGTGATGTCTTATTATGTAAATTAGAGAAAACATAAATCTGTTCCATTAAAGCAAGGAAGGTGATAGGAAGTGGATAAAATGAAAACTACATTTATTTAACTCGGTACTGTCTTTATTATACCTGGTGCGTCCCAAAAGTGGCTCATTCCCATAATTTTTTTATATTTTCAAATAAAAAAACAAGATTTAGTATGTTAGTATATGACATAAATTAGGATTGATTGACGCATTCAATTGTTTTTGGTCACTTCCTGTTTCACCGGAAATGACTATAACTTTTAATTTTTAAACGGCACCCTCGGTATATTTCTACTTTATTCGATAAAAAATGACACTCTGAATAGAATTACAACTTTTGACATTTTTGCATATGGTTTAATTGTAATTGTAACACGCGGTTCATAACGACAATTTGACTCGAAATACCAAGTGTGTGGTATCAATATATTCATAAAAAAATGCTTTTTCCAAATATGCTAATGAGTCACCCTTGTTCCATTTGAAAAAATTGACATATGTATGATTAAAAATACGATTTGTACATCTTTTAACCGGCCTACACAAGACACGAAACCCATTAGACGATCAAAACTATTTTTCCAAGGTTCCTTGATTAAAACTTAGTGTTTTTAACAACACCATGACACCCTGGATTGAAATTTAAAATACGATTTGTTTTTAAGCGACAATGTCAAAAGTTGACATATGATATGTCATCCTATTCAGAGTGTCATTTTTTATCGAATAAAGTAGCAATATACCGAGGGTGCCTTTAAAAATCAAAAGATGTAATCATTTCGGTGAAACAGGAAGAGACCAAAAACAATTAAATATGTCAATAAATCCTAATTTATGTCATATACCTACTAACATACAAATCTTTTTTTTTATCTGAAAAAATAAAAAAGTTATTAGGGGTGAGCCACTTTTGAGACGATCCGGTATATTAAGAAATATTGTTTCATAATGTAATATCATTTTAAAATTCTTGTATGTTATTTTAGATTCTGAAGATAATTTTAGAATAAACCGGAATATATTTTTAATAAAAACATTATTAATTATTAACAGGGTTATAATTATGATTTTGTTACAATGTAAGTAAGTAAATAATGTAATGTAAGAGAAAAAATTCAGATTTTACATTTTACTAAAATATTATTATCTAAATAAGCGCCTTTCTACAACAACGCCACTGACTCCTAATGGGTAAATTGAGAGTTGCCTACCGGTCGAAAGTCGTTTCAAGACTTAAATGGATTGGCGAACCATATTTTATAGTTCTTGAACAGAAAAAGTCAATAAAATAAACACTTAAGGACTACAAGCCAAGAAAATGCGTTAATACAGCCGGGGACATAGCGGCAACAAAGCTTTACCGCACACGTGCGACGCGTACTACAAGGTAATAAATGAATGAATAGGCTCCCTCGCCTCTAATCGGTGTTGTCATATTGTAAAGAACTTACCCTTTTTAAACAGTATCTGACTTATAATTTAGTAGTATAAGGACTATTTAATACATCTATGGAATATTAAAACCTACTTTATTAAACTGTAGTATTAATATCTCAATATATGTGTATAACAAGAAAAAAAATATGGATAATATTAAAGACGTGACAACATAGGCTGGATGAGGAAGGCTCGGTCGACTGTACCCAGAAGTAAACATGTGTACGAAAAAGATTGTTTGACCGCGTTGAGATGTAAATAGTATAGTCTATATTTTATTTTAAGTCTATGGTCTATACCTATGTGGCGGATTCATCTCTCCAAAAAGATTCTATATGGGTATTTCGCCACTGCAAGAAAATCTACAAAATAAAATAGTTATTTTTTGTAAACAGTTCTGCGTTAAACCCAAACGGGAACTACTTGTCAGAAGTTAAGTTTACAGTTATACAAATTTGCCTGACAAACAAAAAAACGCTTAACGTTTTGGAAAGTTTATCTCTTTCCGTCGTCGGAAGCAAAAAAAATACAAAGAATAAAGAAAAAAACTATTTAAAATATTTAAATTCAATTATTCGAGAACACTTTAGTTTTTTTTAAAAAAGATACGTCTACAAAAACCGTTGACGTTCTGTTAAAACGACATTATATCAAGTTAAACTTCAAAATTAACAACTACTACCTGATAACAATTACTTAATAAGGTAAAACCAAAAAACCCCAAACTTTCTGTATGATTATTTTTAAATTTTAAGTATGTTATGTTGATTTATGTTATGTTCTTTAAAATCAAAGAAGCGATTGCCATACATTACTAACATCTACAGATGCATGATACATTTATTTTTATTAGATTGTATTAAAAAAACCTCTTTTATTTTTCTTTTAGAGGCTATCGCTTCTTTCATTATAATTTTGGCGTTATTAAAATTTATTCTGTGCGCTGTGTCCCATGAATGCTGACAAATCTTAGATTTGTGAAAATCTCCCTTTCTTAAATAATCTTTATGTTCTTTAATTCTAACATTTAAGGGTAAAAAATCGTGTATTTCAAAACAGAAATGCACTTTGCTGCTGACTTAAGCTGGATTTTCATGCTTCCGTTGTCCAACGATACGATGATCGATATTAATTTTATTGGTTAAATTTAAAGACTTCAATTGGTTAGAAAATTATGCAGTTTTTAAATTTATTGCATTTTCATGCCTCGGTTCATCAATTTCTTTGCGGTTGGTATCATTTTATATTTTCATTTCCATAACGATTTCGCTGTTTTACTTACAGTTTAAGAGCTAGTAACGTTTTCGAGAGAGGATTTTAAGAAAGCTGGTTCTTGAATATATCTTTTACTATGCTCTCCTGAACAGAGTGCGGACCGTCTGGCTGCCGGTACACGTTGCGTTCACTACTGCGCATCATATCTGTATTCAACATCTGTTCACTACTGCGCATCACAAATTCGTCCTGTATTTCAGGAACTAAGGAGGCTAGGACAAATCTATGTGTAGTATATTTAGTTTCATAAAAAAGTAGCAAAATAATGTGAAAATCGCATCATTGTATCTCTACTCATATACGAGAAATCCCATAAAACACGAAAATGGGATACCCTGTACAGGATGTCCCATTTTGGTTGAAATCATACGGTATCTCCGTTATTAGTGAAGATAGAAGGGTGCGGTTTGCACAAACCTGTCTCACTTTTTTGTCAAACGGAAGATAGCCGTAAACAAAATTTTCATAGCCCTCTTCGTTTCCGAGCTACAGGGTCTTTTTGAAAATTTTGCAATTTGGGACACCTCCTGTATCTCTGTTATTGTTAAAGCTATCGAGAAGGTGAAAACGGTTTATTGTAGAACTTTTTACGTAGAATACAGTGGCATAGTCTGCTTTTCTACCAAAAAAATATTTTTGAAAATATGAACTAAAGTTATGTTTTTTTAAATGGAACACCCTGTATATTTATAAATCATATGATCTGTCTTGCCATAAGCTTCTGAAAAATATATATCACTCTATATTTATTTTCACTATTTACTGCAATATTTAAAAGTTTTTATTAAAAGATCATATTTATTCGTAGGCCATGATTGGTAATAAAAGAAACTAAAGAATTATTAAAAGTATACTGCTATCTGTCTCTTGTTTTATTTTGGGAGCCGCTAATAAATTCTTTATATATTAGGGAAACTTAACTCTCTACCGCTATTTGTAAATCTTGGAATACGTGTATACGTAAGAATAATCTATCGTATCGGAAATTTTAGATATTCCTTTAGCTAATTTACGTGAAATATACTTTCAGCAAGATGGGGAACATTCCCCCTCATAACTATGGAAATATTAGAATACTGTTGAATTATTATTTTTCAAATCAATGAATTGGAACCAATGAACGCATATTGATAGCCTCCTCGATTCCCGGATTTCGCTGTTCTCGATTTCTGATTTTGGGGATTTTTGAAATACGAAATATATCGTGGGCACTACAACAATGTCGAACACCTGAAAAATGCTTTAATAATTCAAGATTTAGATATTTGCAAACCCATCCCGTTATAAAAAAAAGAAAAATATATTCACAGTTTCAGTGGTTACAGTTATTTCAAAAGTAAAATATATCAATCCCAAATAAATTTTAATATGTGTATGACTATTTTAGTAAATACCATTTTGATTTTTTGTTATTTATCACGGCCTACTAATAAGAAAATGATATATTTTAAATATTGCAGTAAATAGTGAAAATAAATATAGAGTGAAATATATTTTTGAGAAGCTCGTAGCAAGACAGATCATATGATTTATAAATATACAGGGTGTTCCATTTGAAAAAACATAACTTTAGTTCATATTTTCAAAAATATTTTTTTGGTAGAAAAACAGACTACGCCACTGTATTCTACGTAAAAAAGTTCTACAATAAACCGTTTTCACCTTCTCGATAGCTTTAACAATAACAGAGATACAGGAGGTGTCCCAAATTGCAAAATTGTTGAAAAGACCCTGTAGCTCAGAAATGAAGAGGGCTATGAAAATTTTGTTTGCAGCATCTTCCGTTTGACGAAAAAGTGGGACAGGTTTGTGCAAACCGCACCCTTCTATCTTCACTAATAACGGAGATACCCTATGATTTCAACCAAAATGGGACACACTGTACAGATGTGATGCGCAGTAGTGAATCGCAATAGTCTACCGGCAGCCAGACGGCCCGCATTTTGGTCAGGAGAGCACAAGAGAGCATACCAAAAGAAGAATTCTCGTTTTCCCGACATTGCTAGCTCTCGTACTATTATATTTTTATTAAGGTTAGATTAAATTTGTCAAAAAAAGTGTCAAAACGTCCGTTATCGTACGATCTTTCTCCGTTGACGGGCTGGAGTAAAAAATTTACGGATGAAAAGTGGCGCGAAAACGCTATGACCAATCAGAGCGACGCGCGGCGTCGGGCCATCGTATTAGGGGATAACAGACGCATGAAAATCAAGTTTTATGTTGGTCATGGTATACCCTTTAAGTTAGGAAACTATCTGCTACCAATAGGTGGCTATCCTAAAATTCCGATAGAGCAGCTAACTGAAAATTTGTGTGATGTGAAACACTCAATTTTAAAATCAAGACATTCATATACAGGGTGTTTTAAAAAGCATGTGCCTTCTCTCAAGGTTAGGTTACTCACGCAAAAATAAGATAAGGTTTATTATCAACGTCAATCAAATTCTGCTTTGTTTCATAGCTACCTATTCATTTGTTTTCTATTTATTATAATTTCCTTCCAAATGCTTTTAGCGATACCATTGAAATTTTGAGGGTAAAAATTACTATAAGTGCTGCATATTTAATGCCAAAAATGTGTCGACAGATTGACCAGGGACCTGCATATGGATTATTACTGGAATATTTTTGTAAAAAAAAACGTGCGCCACTGACTTCTTTCTTTTGTTAGAAAATTTGTGTAGGTGCCGATTAAAAGTTGTATCTTGATATTATGTCAATTAATCACAATTAATAAAATGAATATATAATTTATTTAATCTAATTTATTATTAAAATTTATAACACCGTTGGCTCAGTGCTAGCTACAGCAAATTCAAAAAAAATTACGGTATTTAAGCTAATTACAAAAGACCTATTTTTAAAGGTTTTAAAAATTAATCTTTTTTGACGTGAGGAAACTTCCCACGACATATGGCACATGTTTTTTGAAACACCCTGTATATTCTCTGTAAACACTCCGAAATTCATCTGCGCAGTCTGTATTAACAGAGATAAATATAAATGACCGGTTGACAGACAGAGAGACAAAATAAAACCCGGCATACAGTGTTGCCGGTTTTTACGTGTGTAGGAAAATGTGGTAGAAAAAATAAAATATTTTAAAAACCTTCTTGTATACTACTGAAATGAAGATATATCTAAGCTAAATATAATCCATTACAGCTGTGAAAAAATGAGTGACTAATTGTTAAAAATAAAGTTTCAATATTTTTCGTAAACGCCTACTTGTGGAGTTTGAAATTTTGGTGCCAAATCCGGCAATACCGCATCGAAGAAATGTATCAGCCCAAATTTTATCTCATTTTGAGGCCAGAATTACACTATCAAATTTCTTTGTCAAAGATTTTATTTTGTCAAAGAGTTTGACAGTGTAATATGTATGATTTTCACTGAAGATATAAGTCAAATGTTGTATTTTTTTTTACTTTTTAGAACAATAATTATTACAACACCCCTATGGGAGGAATGAACATGCCATTTACAAACTATCCAAATCCACAGGTATATTATCCACCTCCAGACTGGCAACGTTTTGCCACCCAGCGACAAGACTTTTACGAGTACTATAATAACTACCTCATGAATGTTATGAGAAAACAAATGTAAAGTTACTACTTAATTGTTAGATGTTTATTTTTAAGTTTAAAACCCCGTATTTTTTGACCTTTATTTTTTTTATCGATACTAGATTAACGTTCTCTTTTGTTCAGTTTTTTTTTATAAGAATGTAAATAAAGTTATGTTTTTTATACATATATTTGTTTTGATTTGCCTCTTAATAGAATACAAAACAATAATATTGTATAAATTCTTGTGTATAGAATGTTTGGCCATCGTTTAACGTCACGTCATATATTGTCGAACTTTCTCAATCACTTGCCAGATGAAAGAGATTCGCGACGTCATTATGGCATTTCGTAAATTAATGCATACAGAGAAGACCAGGCTACTAGTAACATAGCAAGTTGCCGGACGAATTTACGTTTACCCGTTTTGCGTTCGTACTCGAGTCATTGCCGGCTAGTCGGCTGGTCAGGCAGTATGCAGTTGCAGTTGTACTTGGACGGGTCGCACAGTGCTTCGAACATATGGCTCTAGAGGACAAAAATGCAAAACTTCCCTTTTATTGTAGGCAATTTATTCAAACTAGGTTTATTTGACACAAATGATGAGTACTCTCAATGTACTAAATGATGATGTTCTTAGTCCCACGTTTATGAAAAAAAATCTTATAAATAATAAAAATGTTGGAGCTGTGTTCCATCTAAGGAAATAATAATTTATAGTATGAAAACGGTGTAAGTATTAAATAAATCCCTGTGATAAAAAAGAATTGGAATAACATTAGAACATGATTCCTACAATATAAACCTAATATAAGATAAAAATATTTTTCTTTAATGAAAAAGAGATATTAATGCTATATTTAATTAAAAAACAAACTTAAGATACTATAAATTTACTTTAGGACAACAAAATGCATATATCGTAACTACTCTGATTCAGAAGAACCATTGCTGACAGAATCTTCCAAATTTATAGTATCCAAATTACAGGTAGATGAAATATCCTCACATATAAGATATTTCTGTACATCATTTTCTAATATGTTACTTTTTCGCGTTGTTACTGTTCTTTTTGTTGGTATGAGGGGTTCGGATGTTAATAGTTACCTCTCTAATAGACCATATCCATATATTATTTTTTCGTTTTCTTGGGTATGAGGTTTTATAATAAATTGAAAGATGGAAACATTTTTTATGCCACGTTTCGCTCCAACATAGTGGGCTCAGGCACAAGTGGTTATCTCATTGGACTGGAAGGTTCATCAATATCTAATAAAGAACACATTTTTTGAAATATAAATAATTTTGAGTTCTTGTCCTTATGATGAAGCCAAGTATTAACCAGATCGGCATTGCTTATCAATTTTACTCCATCTGAAAAGTATTATAAAATAAAGTTGGTCGCAAGCAGACGCAGATGAACTATACAAAAATTAAAAGTGTATGAATATGGCAACAAAAATATTCAATAAATACGATATGTTTTGATATGTTTTTTTTAATGCCTTTTTGAAGTTTGAAAATGTAAAATTTTTATACCCATTTAAGAATCATCTTAAAAATAAATAAAAACTAAACAATAACGAACTTGTTCAGAAATAAATTTAAAGTACATACCTTGTTTAACAATATCCATAGTGGTTTTCAATTAAGTACGTACCGTTTAACTCCATATACAGAACTACTATGAATGTTATTCTTTTCACTGATATAAGATAATGATCGCAAAATTTATTTTTAGTGAAAATATTTGCTAACAAAAAACGTGAAAAAAAATGTATTTTTGTGAAAAATAATATACAGGATGGTTGAACATTGCTATAAGTATAAAATTACATATTCAGATATTAGTAAATTTTAACTTTTTTTTCGATTTTTGTCCATGGGACGAAGCACTGTGGGTCGGTCGTGACAGACTAGGAATATGACGCGAGGAGTGCCGAGTATTTATTATTTTCATTTTAAGTGTACTTAAGGTAACATTTAAAATAAAAATACTTAAAAATGTATTATTTGAGTGTGTTTACAAGCCAAAACTAAAAATAAATAAATTCTCTAAACCCAAAAAAAACTATAATATTACTCTAAATAAAAAAAAGTTATAACAAGTGTTCAAAAAGACCACCTTCTTGTGCTAGACAGAAGCCTAGGCGATCGTAAAATCCCCGTCTGACATTGGCTAACATATTAGGGCTAATAGTTTGGAAAGCCACTCGTATTTTTACTTGAAGCTCATCCAGATTATTAGCCCTATTATGACCATACACTTTGGATTTTACATAACCCCACAAAAAGAAATCATTGGGAGAAAGATCTGGTGATCTAGCGGGCCACAAATAGTTCCATATCCACTAATTAAACGGTTGGGAAAAGTATTGTTCAAATATTCTGGAACAATACGGGCATTGTGGGCAGGGCAACCACCTCAGCAATTTGATTACTTGAAAACGTGGGATTTTGATCCGCGGTAGCACAAACGAACACTTGCTTTAACTCCTGTTCTTCATTAATCAACACATCAGGCTTTTTGTGTTTTTGTGGGGACACGCACCCATGTGTTTCAAAATTATTAATAACTCTTGATATAGTAGATAAAGATGGAATTGGCCTGTTTACAAAAGGTTGTGGAAAAATTGTTTGTATATCCCGATAAGATTTTCGAAATACCATTTTACAATTTGAATTTTCTCACGAACTTCATAAACATCCATTATTTTACTTAAAAAATAAATTTTACACGAGAACTGTCTCAAGAATCTACGTATTCGTTTTGGCTATTAAAACACGAATAAATACAAATTCTGAAACATTCTTATCACATATCGACCTATTTTTATTTTAGCTTTTTTTGTTTTCCTGTTATTACAGATTCTGAACCGTCCTAGGACTGTGATGCGTATGCGCAGAAGGAAATATGAAGACATTATTTCATTTGCGCATGCGCTGCAGAGTTCTAGGACGGTTCAGAATCGGTAATAACAGGAAAACGAAAAAAGCTTTCGCATTTTTTTCGCCTGCTTTCTATCCGGCGGACGGGTATACGCTAATTCGTCCGGTTCTGCCTATGTTACTACTACGGTGATCCGGTCTGTATATTCTTTTTAGTAATTGTCATTGTCATTTGATTTGGGGTTATAATTTTATGGCTGTACTTAAACTGCCGTTAAACGGTAGCTTACTAAAATGCCGTTAATAGGTATTACGTCGTTGATTTGACGCACTTGACGGGCTTTATGAAATATAGGAATTTTATAAGGACTAACCAACAAATATAAATTAGTAAAAACCAACCAACCCCACCAAATAACCAACTAACCAATGAATTAACACCCTCCAAATAACCACGCTAATCAACCCGCCAAATAAGATCACGCTATAAGCAAAAAAAATATAAAAAAGTCTTGGCCGGCGTGAGAATTGAACCAAGGACCACGCGCTCACGAAGCGATAGCCTGAGCCACGGAGTCACAGGTGCTCTTGCAAGATGCTTATAGGTAGGCATTACTTTCCGCCGACATGAACGTCACAATATCTATTAACGGCATTTTAGTAGGCTACCGTTTAACGGCTGTTTAAGTACATCGTAATTTTATTTGCGGAGATCGATCAGTGTCAAAATTGAAATTTGATTATTGCTGTAAAACAAAATTAAATTTTTTTTAAACAATATGAAACGATCTCAGACACATATTTGACAAATAATGATGACGTAACGGTGAACGATGGCCTGAACAGTCTTTATATTATATATATACAGGGCGTTCCTTGTCCCGTTTTGGTTTTAATTTACGATAAAGTGTATTTTTTTATATTCTAGTTCAATTAATGCAGTTTTTGCGGTAGGTGAGCAATAATTTAGGAATATAGGTATATACGAAGTGGCAACGTTGCATACTTTAGTACAGGGCCAAGGAAATTACTCCGAAGAACTTGCATCTCTAAAAACTTTTCTAAAATATACAAGAAAATTTAAAGAAAAATCTGTAAACTAAATAAAAACGATATCATCCAGCATGACTTTTTCTAATGTTTACAAAAACACAATTAAAAGCTATGTAAAAATTTAATAAATAAAGAGCGACGGGAATACATAGTTCTAATATAACATTAACTTCTAAAAATATAAAATATTTACATAGAACGTTTTTCATATATCAACAGTGTTATAAGTCTCTATACGCCTATTCTTTATTCTTTCCTTTTAATTTTACTTCTGGGACTAGCCAAAGTTTTTAAAGGCAACCTTTTCGGAGTTTTTTGCAAAACAACAGCACCTGATTTTTCTTTATCCGATTTCTTCGATTCCTCAACTTCTTTTAATTCTTCATTTTTATTATCAGAGCCAACAATCTTAGTATTGGGCTCGGTTATTTTTGTCAGATCACTGGAATTTTGAGAATCTTCAAGTTGTAATGTAAAATCTTCAGTCTCGTCGTCTATCGTTACAATTTCATTGTGAGATGTTTTGTCACACTTCGTAGCTTGCGTTTCTGGTTTCCTACAGTAAAAATCTTTAATCTCTTCCGAAGCGGTTTGATAAGTTTCTAGTTCTTCTTTATCCAATACTGCCACGTCGTCAAAATACTGAAGCGCGTCCTCTTTGTTCGATAAAGGTTTACTGTTTTGTTGTTTTTCATTGTGTTTAGAAACATCTCCGACTCTTTGAGGAACTATCCTTCGAGTAGTCTTTTTTGGAGTTGAACTTTCAATATTTTTTTCTTGAGTGTCGCAAGGTTTATCAATAACCTCCTCTTTTTTCTTAGGTTTCTTTGAAAAAAATGCTCTGATATCAGGGGAACCTTTTTCATTTTGTTTTATACCATCTAATTTGTCTGCTTTCTTTTCCAGTGTTTGTTTAGATGTTGCCACATCTGTCACTGACGCGACAGTATTTACTTTAGTGGCAGTGGAACCTTTTTCACTTGGTATTAGTCCGTCCAATTTGGCTGCATTCTTTTCAGATGTCTGTTTAGATGTTGCCACTTTTTCTTCCACTTTCACAGGTAGTATTCTTCTAATTTTCGTAGTTTCTTTCTTTTCTTCGATATTTAGTTTAGTAGATGTTACTGTAAACGGATTATTTTCGGTATTTATATGTTTAGTTTCTGTATTTGTAACTTCACCAACTTTAATTGGTCCTATTCTCTTTACTGTACTCGTAACTTCTCCAATTTTAAGTGGCGCTATCCTTTTCACTGTTTTTTTATCACTCTGTGTTTCATTTTCTCTGTTATCACCCTTAGTTTCTGGAGAATCTAAAACTATAACTTCATTCTTGTCCGACTCTGTAGCTTCTCTTTTCACTGATTCATCATTTTTCCTCTTCTTGGGGGTCTTTAGAGCCCACTGTTGCAGAAAACTCGGCCTTTTTTTACTATCCTCTTTAACGTCTTGATTTTTTTCATCTGGCTTAACCTTCACATCAACATTTTCATCGTTGTCGATAAGTTCTTCGCATCCACTTATGTTTAAAACGCTGTCTTCCACGTCGCTTTCTGGTTTAGTCCAAGGCAACCCTAATTCATCTGCTTCGAATGTAATTAAGGTACAAAACCCATCCGTGGATGATGCTATTAGTAACAAGCCGTCTTGGGACCATGTCAGATCTGTTAATCTCGTGTAGTGTATATCTTGGAACCTAGCAAAGGGTATGCTTTGTTGAGTATCATATAGGAATATGTCGTGGTCGGTGCCAACAGCAAAAATCATGCGATATGGTAATTTGGTGTATGGGTCGGCAGCTTCTTCGTGCAACTCATATAAAACTGGACAGCATCTTACTACAGTGCTACTCTGACCACCCAACGGCAATATGGCAACAGGGCTGTAAGTAATAAAAAATTGTGAAAGATGTGAAAAAAGTTTTATATAAATGGTTTATAATTCAAATTCATTTATTGGTGTTGCCATACAATAGTATTTACGTATAATAGTATAAACACGCACGTCACAAATATATTTTGTTGTATACAGGGTGTCCCAAAAAACTAATGAAATAGTTATAAAGTTTTTTGGTATTGATAAAATTAACTTTACTCCAGCTTTTATCCACTTTTTGGATATATTGTTTTTAACCAAAGTTTCAGGAAATAAGCATGAAGAAATAGCATGGCAACACCGCATTGTGCTTCAAAAAAGATAGTATACTACAGTATGTCCCCAGATTGTCTTAACAAGAGGAAAAACTTTTTTATTATTGACATTTTGAGAAAAATACATTCTTCATAAAAATTTTTGCTTGTTCTCAAATGGTTAATCCCTGTTAAACTTTTCCAAATATCCATTCCGTTTTGTATATATAACTATTATAACCCTTTTTGTAACATTGAACAAAAATAATTCTGTGTTTCTTTAACATCATAATAGCAGAAAATATGACATTAATTAATATTTTTTCTATCAATAATAATCTATCAAAGAAAGAACATGAAATTATATTACCATAGAAACGCTGTTTGATTTTTAGGACTTCAACAAACATCAACCACATTTTCATGTTTTTTTTTAATTTTCTCTAAAACGATTTGCAAATTTAGAGTGGTATAAAGTGGATTAACAATTTGAGAACAAGCAGAAATTTTTATTTTAATTTTTTTTTATTTTTAGTTGAATTTTTTTATTTTTATTTTAATTTTTTTAATTTTTATTTTATTTTTTTTTATTTTTATTTTATTTTTTTTAATTTTTATTTTAATTCTTTTATACTTTTATAAAATGCATAAAAGTTCCTATTTCTTATTTTTACTCCAATCTATTTTGTAAAATGTAGAAGCAATATTAGCACACTTTTTTAAAACATTCTCACAGATATAAGGAGCAAGTAAAATACTTTTTTATCACTAAAATTATATTTTCTTAAATAAAATACTGTAATTTATTGATTAGTGGATTTTAAATGTGAAAATTTCTAATTGGAAAACTTAACACTGAACTTGTTCAGCACACTGGGTCTTTATTAGTCTTATTTAAATTTAATTAGAACATTAAAAAAAAAGTTTACTTACGAAGACAAGTCACTTAAAATGAAGATCAGAGTAGCATTTATAACTTTTTTACAGTCATCTACTTCAATATGTCCTGAAGGCACAATCAACAATGATCCATCTGGAGTGAACTGTAACCTTCTAAAGAACGACTTAAAGGTGTCATCATGAAAATATTTAACTTCTTTGTCTTTTAAGGAATGGTTGTCTGGAACTAATTTACAATAATAAAATTACAATGTTCAATTTGTTAAGGGTGTTTTTGATATTTTTTTAAAGCAGTCAAATAAACCAAATGGGTGAAGACTAGAATTAAGAAGGTAATTTTACATATTTTACAGCCATTTTGCATAGTACTGTTTATAAAATATTTATGCATTACATAAACTTACGTAAATTTAATTTTCCTTTGCAGATCCTTGCTTTGACTTGCTTTCCCAATGAATCAAATATTCTACATACTCTATCAGTACTAAGAGTAGCTATAATTTGATTTTTTGGATCCCATGCAACACCTAATATATGAAACATTTTATATTCTTTTATTTTTGGATGCTGTCTGTAGTAATAATAGGTATATTAAACAGGTAATTTACTTACTTGCACAAAACCTTTATGATCGGACAATATATGATCTAGTTTTCCTTTATTTATATCCCAAATAATGGCAGTATTATCCACACTACCTGAAATTAATTTAGACTCATCAATAGACCAGCTGAGATCATAAACATCTTCCTTGTGTCCTCTTAATACTTTGTATACTATCCATATTTCTTTATCTCCTGTGTCACCTACATAAAATACGATGAATATCAAGTAAATTACAATTCAAAAGTAAGAATTAATACCTTCTAACAGAGGAATATTATCAACCTTTAATTGCCAAATAATTATATTTGCATCATCATCTCCAGAGGCCAAATAGTGACCAGAATGTGACCATCGGACGCAGTTTACAGCTCTTTGATGTCTCGTGAGATCTGATATAACTTCTTGATTTACGGCTCCTGTTTCTGTAATATTTAGTTGCCATATCTAAAAAAAATCGCTCAGTATTTATTTTACTCTTGTTGATTTATTAAACCGAGATACGTTATGAATGTGAATTAGCTACATAATATAAAGAACGAAGAGGTAATTCTGATGTCTAAAAAAATTGCTGAAAATTTAATAAATTTAACTTACAAGAACATGACAATCGCCACCGCCGGATGCTAACCTATAAAAACTCTTATTTTCTGGATAAATATCTACACTAAGGACTGGTTCTCTGTTATGCCATGATATTTCTGGTATTGTACATTTCATTTTCAAAAATACCGACAACAAAAACTTAATATATAACACGAAAAGAACAAGTAACTTTTATGTTTTATTTTTCTAAAGTTTTGCCGCCAAACTATTGACGTCTGTCAAATATGTGAAAACGAAAATTTGAATTTTCATTGGTTAAATCTGTGGTTAAAATGGCAAACCAGAGTGATAAAAAATTTAAATCTACCTCAAAAATTATTATGCAACTAATAAAACACCTAAAAGTATAAGAAAAATAAAGGTTTTATAAAACTCCTTCGTATTTAACTGTTAATTTTAAACTATTAGGATATTAAGAGGGTTGTTCTACATAATTTAAGTATAAAAAAATCGCAATACACGCAAGACTTTATATAATAATTCCGTTTAATAGAAAAATTAAAAAGTTATTAGTATATTTATAACAAAGGTGATGTTACAGTTTTAGTGGACAATAAAAAGTTCGCGTCATAAATATTTAAATTACCAATTGTGATTAATATAGGTATAATTAATAATTACACTTAAAAATAAGTTTAATGATTCTTGAAGTATTTTTGTTTCTCTACTGGGTCAGGTATAATCTAAAAAAAGAACAGAATGTAAAGAAATAATTAAATGGTTTAACTTTATTATCGTACTGTATCCTGTCCAGGTTTCCAGCCAGCTGGACATACTTCTCCGTGCTTATCAGTATACTGAAATGCTTGTACAAGCCTTAAAGTTTCATCAACGCTTCTACCTACTGGCAGATCATTCATTGTAATTTGGCGTAGTATTCCTTTAGGGTCAATAATAAATAACCCTCTAAAACATTTGGGTAAATTTAGATGTATAAAAAGATAAATTTATTTGTATACATACCTAAGAGTGTGTCCCAAATCATCAAGGAATACACCATAATTTTTGGAGATACTGTGATTTAGATCAGAAATGAGTGAAATGTTAATCTTTCCTAATCCGCCTTCTTTTCTAGGAGTATTGATCCATGCTAAATGAGTAAAATGGGAGTCAACAGAACAGGCTACCACTTCTGTGTTGATCCTTCTGAATTCCTCTATTCTATCACTGAAAGCTAAAATTTCTGTTGGGCACACAAAAGTACTAAAAGAATAGTTTTTAAACGTTTCTGCATATCTTTTTACATCCACAACTTACAAATCCAAAGGATAAAAGAAAAATACCAAGTACTTTCCTAGAAAATCAGTCAATTTTTGTTGAACAAATTTGCCATTAACCACAGCAGTACTTTCCCAATAAGGAGCTGGTTTTGAAACTAAAAAATATATTCGTTATACCTTTTCTTACTAGGTACTATTTTTCAATAACTTACTAACTGCTTTTGTGAATTGCAAATTATGTTGTATCTCCTTCACTGTATCAGTTTGTGGATAAACAGTGCCTCCAGCATATTTCTGGCAAGATTCTTCATCAAATTTTGAGCCATACACCAAACTTATACACAAGAAAACTGAGACCAAGTTTTTCATTTTTCCAGTAAATTTTCAACTACCACCCACTTAACATAAATTCGCAATTCATTTAGTACTTAGAGCCACGTTTTATTTAATTAATCACTGTATTTGATTGAAAATGATAAAGGATAAAAACACGGTTTATTAGAATATAAACCGGTAGATTTTTTCAAGTACTTTATAAACAACTGTCAAAACAAGAGAAAAATGAAAATAAAAACAAGTTCTTTAAATTATCAAAACTTCTTACCATTATTAGAGATGGCAAAATTAAAATTGTATCGATATCTTTATAACTGACAAAAATTAATTCTTTTTTTATCGATATATCTTCTCCAGCCTAATGACAATATACTGTCATTTTTTCGGCCATTTATCACTTGTTTATTCGAACTACTCTGTTTTTATGGTGTGTCAAAATACGACTAAAAATAATCAAATCAAACTAAATTTAACAAAATGTTAGATTGATAACGCATGTTTTGGTTTTTAGATAATTTAAATTACCCAACGAAGAACCAATTATATATTTGTTATTCATTTAACTGTTGAGGTGTAAAAGGCGGCGAATAACCTTGCAAGTTGATGTCATCGTCTAGAAATAGTCTATTATAATATAGGCGATTTTTATTAGTTGTTATTTAATAAACAACGTGCCGAAATGTCGGCCTGAAAAAAACGGTTCAGTCTTTTTTTAGAGGTGCGTAAAATCAATCCTCTAAAATGGTGTTTGAGAATGTTGTCTCTCAAATACTGAACAAGGTTTTGGGAGACTTTGTGGAGAATTTAGATGGAAATCAACTGAATATTGGGATATGGGGAGGTAAGTTTGTATTTATTTATATATATTTATTTTTGCCTAAAATACTTATTTATTGTTTAGGTGATATTAATTTAAAAGACTTAGTGCTAAAATCCTCGGCACTTAATGCTCTGGATTTACCTGTGCAAGTAGTTTATGGAAAAATTGGTAAGTAAATAGATACACCTACTTTTTTAAACTAAATGTATACTGTGGGATTTACATTGGAGACTCTCCACTATTAGCTTATATCTTGCTTATATGAATGAATAAGGTATTCAAATTGCACATGAAATTTCCTTTTTTCTTTTTGCCCATGTGGTGTGTTATTAACATTTTATCTATATTTGTATGTACATTAGTTAACAGTATAATAAGGTTTTATGGTTGAAATGACATTGTTTTATGCTCAATGGATTTTGAGTTTTGTTATTTATTTTATATTGATTATATCATATTATTTTCGAATAAATAAGTCTATATACATATAATTAGTTTACTAATTATTGGATGTATCATCTAAAGGTCGTATTACTAATTTGTTAGGATCAGTGCAGTTTCAGTTGGTTAGTACTTTAATTAGCACAATGATATGGAATTTTTTTGTTGGATTTTATAATTTATTTATAAAAATAATAATGCCCTTTCAGGTAATTTGGTTTTAAAAGTACCATGGAAATCCTTATATACACAACCTACGATAGTAATTGTAGAGGATATTTATCTGCTTGCTCAGCCAAATTTACAAGTGACGTACGACCCTGTAAAGGAGGATAAAAGGTATAGTTTCATATATACCAACAGGGTGACCCCAAAAAGCCCCAGGAACCCTATATATAGCAACCTTATATTCTATTTGAATTTTCACTCCTTTCTTACACAAAATACACTGCTGCACATATTTTTAAGATGAAGTGTAAAAATATATATTTGAGTCACACTATATGTCTACCAAAATAGGAAAATATGTGTGCAATTACTATCTGAATTTTTTCAGAAAAGATTGGAGTGAAAAATTCAAATGGAAAGCTTGATATGGTGTGTTTTTTTCAGAACATATTGTGTCACTCTGTATAGTTTATACTGTATGATCGAAAAAAACGGCGTCAGAGACGGCTGGGAATAGCAGTCGATGATAATTTTGACAAGGTAAATCTCTAGTCGTTATTTACTATAAATTGACATAAAACTAACATTAAAAAATTAAAAAAAAAAAAATGTAGAATACAAGCCAAGTAAATGACATATAGGGTTTGAACTTTCCAAAATTATCATCGATTGCCATTTCCCAGCCGTCTTTGACGCCGTTTTTTTTCGATCGTATGGTACCTTAAAGTACCTATTTTAATAATCAAAATTTCAGTATTATTGAGGCCAGAACTAAAGAGATAGAGAAAATCGAAAATGCTAAAAAAGCAGAAAAAGAGAAAGATCAGGCTCCGGCCGATCCTGGTTTCGTACAGAAAGCCATACAACAAGCCATTAAAAATGTCCAAATTAATATCAAGAATATACATTTGAGGTGGTATTTTCTAGTGTGACTGTGGAAAAAAGGGATTCAGTTCATTATTCTAACATTTTAGATACGAAGATAAGGTCACTAATCCAAAACAACCTTTTGCCTTTGGAATAACTCTTTCGGAATTATTGGTGGAGAGCACTGATTCAAATTGGAAGAAGGCTATTATTGAAGATGTTGCTAAAATTTATAAAGTAAGATTAACAGAATTATTAACAACGTATCAGGGCAGTCATATCATTGCATTCTCTCATGATGTAGCCACAGATTATACAGATTATAATCTTTGTTTTTTCTTTATTGTTTTCGTGGTTCCAATTTTCGGAATCAGGCACTAATTAGGTTACTAGCTTGCGCACATAGCACGCCCATTTATGGCCTCTAAAATTGTGCACAGCGCCTGACCGGCACAGTTATTAGAGAGATATCGGAAAACCGAATAGCGTCATCCAGTATTTACGCGTACCTTATCATGGTTACGATATGCGCGAGTCAATTTTTAACGCAACACCCGCTAATAACGTTACCGCCTGACGTAATTTGCGGATCAATTACACCAAGCGCTCTTTCTAAATAACCTCTGATAACGTTTAAAAATTGCTTAAATGGGCATGTGCGGGTATTTGACAACCGGAGCCGGCCGGCGAGATCTTTTTTTTTTAGGTTATGTTTGAATTGTTTTGAATTATTGCTTTAGTTTTATAAGGTAATTTGATATTTAAGTAGCTGGGATTAGTTTTAATTAAATAAATATGGCCCAAAATATGGATTCCACCTCTTCCAATACTAAAGAACCTATAAAGAGTCTTAGGTTTACAGCAGATGACGACTTAGCCCTTCTAAGAGAATTTGTTGCTTGTTGCCCTAAACCCACTGGCAGAAGTTGAACAATAAAGCACGGGAAATAAGCACTTTAGCCCTTTAGTTTTAAAATACCTAGTAAACAAAACAATTTCAAAGTTTTAAATTCAAAGTTAGGTTAAGTTTAAATAGCGGACGCGACGCGATCAGAATTCTTTCCGATCCGATAACTATAAATGAAGAGAGTTAATACCACCTCACGTAAAGGAAATAACACCTGCCCTTATGAACGTCCATGCACGCTATTCGGTTTAGCGATATCTCTCTATTACGCTGTTTATTGTTATTTTACGCGAGTTTATTTTTGCGCACAGGAAATTTGACTCGTTTGCACATCGTCATAAAAAACAATTTTCGTACCACGAATTAGGGACAAAATTTTTATCTGTATACTTATAGGATACCTAATCTGTGATGTAGCGCTGTTTCTCAAATAACAATCTGTAGATTGACTGCATTTAGAGGCGGGAAATTTAAAAATACGAATAAAAATATGGAAATTCTGACAAAATCGTGCCGTGCGTTATTTTTATATGATTTTAATTCAATTAATTTTTATACCAAATCAAAGTCTATTTCGCTTATTTTGTATCACAAAACATCCCCCTTTAGAACATTTTTTTGTAAACAAACACTAGAGGCGCTGCTAGTCGTTAAAAAATAAAAAATGAACAAATATTCACTTGTTTTTTTAAATATGTCAATATTTTTTTTCGTTGTGTTTTGTGAATATTCGGTGTGTGATTTTGGCAATTTTCTCATTAATTACAGGTGTATTTGTACTTATTTTACCAAGTACGTTTTATTTTAATTATTCATATTTAATTGCAATGGCTTTTTTCGACCGAGAACGCACACCTGCGAAGGAGAACTGTAGCGTTCCGAATTACGACAACAGAAATGGCAGTTTTTTTCGTTTTCCAAATCTCCGGAAAGATTCAAATTGTTTTGTACGTTTTTTTTCAGTTTATAGGTATGTAAAATACATGATTTATAATAACATCAATAATTGTTTTATTTTTATAAACGTTCGATCGGGTATTGATATAAACATTTTTTTTATTGTGACAAAATAGGTATATTAAAATTATGTTATATATAAATTACAATTTTTTATTGTAATTTTGAATATAGAATGTAATTTTAATATACCTATTTCGTTACAATTAAAAAAATGTTTCTTCTGTAATATTCAAAAAAGTTAAATTAAATATAGAGATCGGTATTTCATGAATTTAGTGCGTGAACTCAAGGGGGGTTTCTTTTACTTTCATTTCATGACATATAAGTCAAAATTCTAAAGGGGGATGTGATGTGTTTTGTATTTATTAAAAATCCTGGTATATAAGGTTGCCTACTAGCACAACAAATTACATTTGACAATGATAGAATCATAGGTTGACACGGTATGTTGACATTTGCCTGGTTTTGCATTTGCTGTCCTCCTTTCACGCAGTTGAGCAGCTCTGAACTGTTCAAGAACGCGATACTTTCACTCTATTCAATTGAGTCATAAAGCTCCAGAACTGTTCCGCGCCATATGGAGGCACCAGGCTATCGCGCACCGCTCCTTTCAGAACCGTTCTCGAGTAGCCCCAGGGCGTAAAGCCCGGAACTCGAAGTTCGCGAATGGAGGACAGCAATTGTGACCTGTTCAGTTTTAATTTTAAAATAGATGCAGTTTTTTCTTAAATTACTTAAAATCGGCTTGTCCAAAATTGTTTAAATTTGTCATGCGTATTAAGCATAGGTAGATCTTTAAAAACCCTATTTGAGCTGTACAATTAATAGGGAGTCAATTATAGCGGTATTAACCGGTAAACCCTACTGATAACTTTTCATTGAACGATTAAGTTACCGGTACGTAAATAAACCGGAAACAAAATACGGTAGGCTCTTAAGTGATCGGTGAATCTACCGATGAGTTACCATTGGCATTCACTTTAATTTTCTGCACCGGTGGACTAACCGGTGTGTTTACTGAACGCGCCCAATATTTGGACAATTCAAAATTTGCTTGGGATTTCCAATGTTTCCATTGACGATGCGCCACCCGGTATAATCTCTTTCTATACTTTTAGGTTGTGCAACTAGATGGCTTAGCGGTATACTGGAACTGTAAAGCTAAAATGTACAGTAACTTGGCACCAGGCGATCTAGTCGCGGCTATGAAAAAAGAAATTTCAACCAAAACTCACAAACCGCAGTGCAGCTATAGTAAGCTGATTTATAATTTTATACCTATTCGTACAATTTACACTAATGCTGTGTTTTTTTTAGTTTTAGGGCCTATATCGGCGGGTGCCCGATTAAGAATGAACCAGAAACCTACGGAAGATAAAAAACCATATTCTATACCTATTTATCATCTTAATTTGGATATGGGGAAACTGTTCATTGGTATTAGTAAATCTCAGTACAGAGATATAATTGCTTTAGCCGATTCTATGGATAGAATGGCTAAAGGAGTTCCTTACAGTAAGTTATTGTTGGTTAAATACCAGGGCAGGAAAAAGTTTCTGATCTCACAATAATACAAGACATTCTTTTATATTTTTATTTTTATAAACTCTTTGCCAAGCCACAGACTTTTTTGTTCGTGTCTTTGTCATTGAAGTAGTTGTTTTCGACATGGCATAGTTTCTTGTTCAACGAAAATGTTTGTCATCTTTCAGCTTGAGTTTGGATACTAAATTTTCTCCATTTTTACTCTAACCCTTACATCAACTCACTCAAGTGACTGTCTAATAAAAACTGAGCATCGAAAATTGCCGAAATCTTAGTGGGCGTTAAAAGATCCGCAGATTTTGATGTATTAATGTTGCTATACTACACCGTAGTAGGGTCGGAAACTTTTTAGATTACCCTGGTACGTCGTAGTCGTGACGTCACGTCAAAGGGCGGAGCTTAATAACCGTAAAAAGACCATAAGGAATTTTAAGATTTTATTTATTCCATCTTCTGTGTGTAAATAAGTGTTCTCAAATATTGTAAAATATACAGGGTGGTCCGAATTACATTCGGAAATCTTCGACAGCATATTCAGGAGATAAAAATAAGTAGAATAGTTCTTATAAATGTATGTTCTGAAATGCTTCGTTTCAGAGATACAGAGTGTAGAAGTTTCATTTTTATTTCGATTTTTATCAAATAATTTCTGAATTAACGTCCATATTTGGATGAAAATTGTTTTCTGGGAGTTTTTTGACATGAGAAATTTGATACTGATGTTAATATGACTCCTATTTGTAGGGGGCGCCACCTACATGTGTTTTAACTGTTTTGAAGAGTAATAACTTTTCGTCCGTACCTGTATGAAACTACTGTGTGAAAAAATTACATACATTTGCGTCATTTTTTACGTAAAAAATGTCTCTTAGTTAAAATCGCTATGAGCCACCGTTCTCAAGATATTTAGAATGGAAATACTCAATACATGTCATTATTGAGAAAAAATAATAAAATAAAAATAAGTAGATAAAGTTGGAAACTTTTAAATTAATAATAAATTTTTCTTCGAAAAAATTAAAATAAAACAGTTTCTGTTGAACTTTTGGCACAAAAACATTTCAAATTTATTCACTATAATAACTGTTTGGTCACACGTAGCTATTTTTACCAAGAGACAGTTTTTACGTAAAAAATTACAGAAATATATAATTTTTTACTTTACAAAAAAATGTGATGAAAATAAACTCAAAAAATGGAGTTTTACTTGCATTTATAGCTTTGTTTGGGAAGGTTTTTAAGCTCCGCCCATTCTCGTGACGTCAGCCTTACTAAACTTGACGTCAGTCTACTAAACAGTTGTGAATTATAGGAAAATACAGGCCTAATGTGAACTCATATCGTGGACATTATAAAGTGTGGTGGAAGTTTGCCTATAAATGCGTTGTAGAAGGTGAAGTGAAAAGACAAAGGCAGAATTGGGACTGGAACCATATGAAGGCCCATAGAAAAATGGGCAAGGAATACGGAGAACTATACAAGAAAAATCTTAAAAATGCTGTAAGTTAATGTGGTTGAGTGTAATTTTTAATAAAAATTAATTCACAATAACCGAATTTTTAAGTGTTCCGAAGCAGATAAAGCAAGAATAACAGATTGCGAGAAGAGGCTGGATTTAACGAGCATCGTTATCATTAGACAAAGAATCGAGATGGAAACAGAAAGGTTGCAGAAACAATTGGCAAAAACTCAAAAGAAAGGTTGGATGACCGGATGGTTTAAAGGATCTTCTACCAGCACAGAATATGACGATTCCAGCAAATCTGATCTCTGTAAGTAGAATTGAAATACAGAGCCGTGGTGCAAAGATTTAAATCGTGATTTAAATTAACAGATTTTCTTAATTTTTTTTTAACTTAATTTTTTGCACCCTGTATAGTTTCAAAAAAAGTTTCATATCAGCTTTCCTGCTTGAAATTTGCATTCTAATATTCTTTAATATATTTATGGGACTAATAGTATATAATTCTGGTAGATTTTGTATATATAAAAGTACTATACAAGCTTTTGTACCTAATAACACTACTATTGACGTCGTGGACTCTGTGAAATTCTTAGGACTTGTCCTAGGACTTAGACAACTCGTTAAAATGGGACTTGCACATCGAAGCTTTATCAAAGAAACTAAGCGCTGCCTGTTTTGCGCTAAGATCAGTTTCTAAGGAACTTAACTTATCAACCTCTAGAATGGCCTATTATGCCCTTTTTGAGTCACATCTTCGTTATGCTCTTCCATTCTGGGGTACTTGCTGCGCAACAAAATTTGATCGTATTTTCAAACTTCAAAAGAGAGCAGTTCGATATGTATTGGGACTGAACAGTAGAACTCACTGCCAGAATTTCTTTAAAAATTTCAAAATACTGAGTTTTCCTTCTTTATTCATTTTTCAATCCATTTGCTTAATCCGCAAGCACATATCTGCTATTCCCGAAAGGCCATCTCACAACTATCCACTTAGGAATGCGGAGCACGATCTTTATCTGCCAACCCCGAGCTCAGAACTTTAGATCTTATAAACTTCGTGGATAAAGCTATGCCATATGTATATTACACACGACTTTGTTTACGGGACTTTCGCATGCATTTTTCTATTTATTTCTTACTAGAACAAGATTATCGTATGAGCCTATCCTTCTCTCTGAATACGCTACTGAGCATGCGCAGAACGATATTAGACGTGAACGCTAACTTGGAGCTTTTTTTCGCTGCGTTGACAACAATTACTAAAAATATAGACCATTAATTTCTTTGAATCAAGATATAACTGATAATTTGTGTATTAATTATTTTGAAAACGTTTGTCATATTATTTCAATATAATTTTTATATAAATTTAAAACAGAAATTAAATGATCTAACGATAGATTCTTTTTTAAAAATGCATAAAATCAAAACGCATAAAATCAGTAACCAGGGAAACATTAAAATATTTTTTGACATTGAAAAGTCAAAACATATTTTAATCAAAAAATTTAATTACAGTCACTTTTTGTGCTTTTTGTATACTGCATAGATAAATGCAACAAGTTGTATACTGTTTGGCCCGTGATAATAAAGAGTTCGTTTGGATTTCCGACGATATTTTAGATTTGTTTTCTTTTTGAAAGTTTGTTTTTGTAGTGTGATAAAGTTAGTGGATAAATTAATAGCATAGACATGATGACTAATACAAGTGTTATATGTGAAGCTGTCCGCAATAGGAAATATCTTATCCTAAAGAACTCCACAATACTAAAAGTATGAAAACCTCTGAAGTATGTTCCAAATCAAAAAACAAGATAAGTGTTATTTAAAATCGTTTTTTAAACCAACTTTTATTCAGAGAGATAGACATTTTATGTTAGGTAACTTAATCACTTTAAACCTTATTAGGTAATTAGCCTTTGATTTTTTTGCTTTAAATAATTAATATACTAGTAAATATTATCTAATAAATAATTAATATCCGAATAACAATATTATTTTCTCAAATTTATATATTTATATTTTCTATTTTATGACATAAAAATGACATATACACAAAAGAAAGACAGCTGATTGGTCAGTCAGTGTCAAAGACAAAGATAATCAGATAGTCGAATGTCGCTGATGTGTCTTCAACAAAAATGATGCGAATTTACTTATCCACGAAGTTTATAAGATCTAAGCTCAGAACTAGTTAAAAGCTCAATACTGTACAATGCCAAAAAAAAGTGCAATCATCTGCCTTTGAATATCAAGTCGCTTTCATTCTTTTCCGTATTTCGCAAAGCTCTGAAATCATACTTACTGGAGAGAGCCCTATATGCGGTAAACGACTTTTTTGGTGATGTTTAATCATGAACAATTTTGAATTTTAAAATTTTGATCATATCACACACTGGTCAAAGGTCGAGTATTTAATATTTTATAACTTTTAAAATTATATGTATTTACAATTTTCCTACTGTAAAATTTTACTGATACGCCTTTTTTTGTCTTCTGCGATTGTCCCTGTATGTTCTATTTGTAATTTTAATGACTTAATTTTTTTTGAATTGTATATTTTTTTATTTGTATATTTTTTGTGCTTTTGTTTGTTTTGTAAATGCTTTGTCGATGAAGCTATTTTGTTTTTTTTCACAATAAAGCGTTATTTATTATTATTTATATACATTTTATGTGTAGTAAAACAGTTTGAAAAGGAAATGACGCCTGAAGAAAAAGCTAGACTATATAAGGCTATTGGCTATCAAGAGAATGCCGAAATTGCAGTGTATCCAGAGGACTTTGTAGATAAATCATTAAGTTTCTTGCTTAGGTAGGTGATAAGTAGCAGGCGAATATGCAATATTAATATCTTCAAAAACAATGTTTTATTTTATAGAACCTTAGAAATAGAACTTCGAGATGACGATAATGATGTCAAGACAATATTATTATCATCATTGAAAGGCGTTAAAGTTAAGCTAGAAACCCGAGTATCGGCGTCTGCTTTAAAGTAAGTGTCTCAAAATCTATACAGCGAGAAAATTTACGATTTTGACAGATATGATTCGAAAATTGACAGGGAAAAAAATAATTAAATTGGCACACATTAACTGTCACTTTCGTATATTGTCTCATTGTACAGACTGATACGATTTAAATAGATATATGTATACAGGGTGTCCCCGAAATAAGTGCAAGTATTTTAAGGGGTAGTAGATCAAGCCAATGTTCTAATAGATGATACACCTATGGAAAGAGTACAAAAATACAAAGATCTAGGCAGTTGGTTGACCGAAAACTTGGATCAATCAGCAGAAATAAAAGCTCGAATAGAAATAGCCAGAGCATCTTTTGTAAAACTCAAAAAATGTCTCTGCAGTGGAGACATCAACTTAAAGCTTAGATTAAGAATGCTAAGGGGTTACATATTTGCAACTCTACTCTATGGTTCAGAGGCTTGGACACTTAAAAAGGCCGAAATGGAGAAGCTTGAGGCATTCGAAAGATGGTGTTATCGGCGTGTGCTGAGGATTGCATGGACTGACAAGGTTACAAATGTAGAACTGCGACGCAGAATTCAGAAGGACGAAGAGGTGATTAACACCCTTAAAAAGAGAAGACTTGAGTACTTTGGACACATAATGAGAGGACCTAAATATGCCCTGCTGCAGAACATAATAGAAGGAAAGGTAAAGGGCAGAAGGAGCCAAGGAAGAAGAACATCATGGCTCAAGAATTTGAGAGAATGGTTTGGAATGACTTCAAACCAGTTATGCAGAGCAACCGTTAACAAAGTTAGAATTGCCATGATGATTTCCAACCTCCATTAGGAGATGGAACCCGAAGAAGAAGAGGATCTGACCAAAAGAAACATATTTTCTCTTTACTATTTTTCAAAATAAATTGAAACTAACCGAATTATTTAACTTTGAAAATTTAAAAAAATGATGGGAACATTTTGAGAGCCGCAAATGCAAATACCAAGCAATTACCAGAATCTCAGCTTGTTCGATGCCCAATGTTGACACATCGACTAGAAATATTTAAAAACGACTTGGAAAAATTTAGTTTTTTTGTAGAAATTATAAATGTAGAACAATATAAAAAAAAATCGCAAAAAAATCTCATAGGGTCGAACTATAGATACTACCAGTTAAAATTCTTGCACTTATTTCTGGGGTATCCTGTATAGATAGATATTATTATATGTTTATATCATCAAGAATTTTAAGACTTTTTCCGGGAGCTATATTTTCGACATATTTTAGAGCGCACGTAGCCATAGATCATTTAAAAACAGACGGCCTGAAACAGGAAGATTTCCTTCCCGTGTTGTTTTCGCCTGAAGAACGAATTGTCAAGGGAGTTAAAAGTTTGTTAGATGTCACTTTTGAGACAAATCCCTTGGACAAGAGGTACTTCACACTATAGTTATTTATATTATTGTAAAAGTTACATTTTAGTTGTGATCAGAGAATCAATCTTGTAGCAAAACCACTGAAGATAATATACGATGCGCAAACGATCAACAAAGTGATAGATATATTCAAGATTCCTCCTGATTCTTCTCTTGACCAGTAAGACTTTTTCTATACAGGGTGGTCCAAATTCTATTCGGGAAAACTTTGGCAGCGTATTCTGCAGATAAAAATACGTAGTTATTTCACTTAGTAGTTTATTACAGGTGGTGGCGAAAAGTTATTACTCTGCAAAACAGTTCAAAAAACATGTAGGTGGCGCTCTACAAGCAAGAGTCTTTCAAACCAGAACCTTTAACCAACCAGGAGCCATATTCACATCAAAATCAAATTTCTCATGCCAAGAAACACCCAGAGCCCAATTTTCATCCAAATATTAACCTTAGTTCAGAAATTACTTGGAAAAAATCGAAATAAAAACGAAACTTCTACACAATGTATCACCGAAACTAATCATTTTAGGATATACATTTATAAAAGCTTTTTAACTTATTTTTATCTGAAAAATATGCCTGCTGAAGTTTCCGGAATACAATTCGGACCACCCTATATAAATTTTCTGAACGTATTTTTAATATACAGTGTGTTTGTTTAGACTTTCTGCTGCAGCGTCTGATAAATTAACTGACGTTAAACAAATGACCTCTACAGGACTACAATATGCCATAGAGCAGCATAATCGTCTAGATTTGGACATATTGTTACACGCACCTTTGATTATAATTCCGTATGGTGGAAAGTACGAGGAGATACAGAATGTACTGGTTGTGGATCTTGGTACAGTTAAAGTATATTCTGCTGGTCACAGATCTTCAATAGCAGATGTAAGTTCAAATCTATTTTTTTCTGTATATACCAACCCCATACCCGTCTACATATGACGTTTTACCTGTCAGTTGATAGGGAAGACCATCTAGAGAATCGACGATAGTTCTGTAGATGATCTTCCGTCTAGCCCTGTCTAAGCATAAGTTTTTAGCTGTCAGGTAAAACGGATTAAAGACTGAATCTATGGTAATCGCAAAACAATTTCCGATGCACGTGGTCAACTTTGAGTGACAAGCGATGGCGACAGCGCTGCCAGATTGTGATGGATTGATGAGATGAATCTTAATTTAAAAGTGACAAACAGTATATTTATTATATCATTTTTTTTTAAAGATTTTTACGTTTTATTTTTAATTTAATAACTAATATTTTAGTAATTAATTGATTTATTTGTTTTATAGCTTATTTTACTTATTACATATTGGCAAAAACTAGTTCATTATGAAGATCTCTCATCTTACAACGCCATAAGTGGTAATAACAAGTAAGAGGGTGCTATTAATGCACAAACTAATAATCACAGAATTTAATAAAAACTAACGTAGAAGTAACTTTGAAAGTGGTGTAATGTGCTTATCAATCAAACTTGCTTAATAAAGGACCTTTATTGTCACATTCTCGTTCAAAATAGTTTATCAGAGAAGCTACTAGCTCTTTGCTTCGACTGTTTAAATGCTTCGGCATATTTTCAACACACAATTTCAAGAAATGCAATACAAAAACTCGAAAATTTAGTTCTTAAAAGAACTGTTTGTGCTTAAAAGTACAATTTAAAAAAAAGACTATGAAAATAGGCAAAAAACGAGAATTACTCACAAAGATTCAACAACAACACGATATTATACAAATAATAACTGACATTAGGATAATTGTCAAATAATAAAGGACAACCTTGCTGAAAACGGTGCAATGTGACCAACATAACGGTAATAAAATTCTGTTTAATCTAAATATCTGTTACAATCATTTGCTCTATAAAGTAAAATGAAGAGCTGCTCGGTATCTTAAATTATACAACAAATTTAAATATTTTTGCCAAAATTTCATTTAGCCAGGTTTATAGACTTTAATGTCGATTTGATTGATGACGTGCATCGGAAAATGTTTTGCGATTACAATAGACCTTCAATTATTACACAAAATATTACTTTTTTCTATCTCAAAAATCAAAATTCCCTTGAAATTTTCCTTATTATAACCATCATTATAGGTGAAAAAATTGTACAAGGAAGGAATGGCTCAAGAGGAAATATTTGAAAAAATGACCAAGCACAGTTACGATCGCTTCAAAATGGACCTCTCCGATTTGCAGATCATGATCGCGCAAAGCGAAGAAAATTGGAGAGAATGCATCGAACATCACAACATTAGCGATATGCATTTGCTCAGGCCTTTCAGTTTGAGCGTCGAATACTCAAAATGTCTTATTTTGGACGACCCAAGGTAAGAAAAAAGAAATTATCTATTAAAGGATTTTAATTTGAATAAAAATCAAATTTTAGACTACCTCATACAAAAATAACCTGTGATTTGCCTTCCATTGATATATGTATATCTGACGCGAGGTTATTGCTTCTAGTGACGTTGGTTACAAGTATACCCTTTCCAACGAGTGATGATGATGAATTGGAATCTTCACTGGGACCTTTGAATGTACGACAGTGATTAGACACTTTAAAGCCTGATTCGGAACCTTGAAATTGGTGGAATAAGTTAGTGGTTTCAATTACATATACTTTATACTTATGAGTTTACGATCATTCACAATTTCTTAAACAATTAAAATTAATAGGTTAATCCTAGGAACAACTTTCGGTAGTCAGTTGTATCCATAAAAAAGCCTAATAATTAGCTTATAAAACAAACTTTTTGTTTCTAACCACAATTTCTCTTGGCGGATGGTAATCAAAGTAGAGGTGTATAGTTCTTGAACGATCTAGTTCCAATGAACTATTTCGGCCTCGGAATGAAAGGAACTAGTTCCTGGTTTCTCAAAGAACTAGTTCCTCAGGACCTATTCCGGGATCGAGACTATGACCGATATATAATAATATGCGACGGCGACGGATTGGCCAGCGCGATCGTAGCCCGATGCTAGGCAGGAGTGGGGAGTGCCAGGCGTATGTTATCGGATCCGGACCTAGAAGAACTAAATAAAAGACTAGTTTACGTACGGATCGGCCAGCGCAATCGTATACCGGTGCTAGGCGGGAGTGGAGAGTGCCAGCCGTATGTTACCTATATCGGACCGAAAGGACTGAGAGGAACTAATTAAAAGACTAGTTCACGGGAATCTATTCAGTCGGCAGATCCGAGATATAATACAAGGCGGCGACGATGTATTCGGCATTGTATATTGCCACAGCCGGCGTAATTACCACAGAAAATTGTCGTGGATTGTTTTTGATCTTTAGTTTGTTCTTTGAATATTTTATGGGAATGTTTCACTTTAGGTCCCTAAAATTAAGAAATATCTTATAAAATGAAGTAGATATTCTGAATTTTTAGGCAAAAACAAAAAGCTTGAAGTGAGTAAAAATGCAATTTTTCGTTAAATTTTCATATTATTTTCTCAACTGATTTGTGATATAGTTTTTTAAACTCTGATTTGAGTTTCTTTTTAATTTTTTTTATCTGCAATAAAACTTACGTATATGTTTTTAACATACGCAATTACACGTCTCGTTATATTTCGTACATTATAAAAATTATACAGATCATTCTGTGAATAGTTCTGACCTCGGTTCTGCCTGACAACGAAACCCATTAGCAAGCAACGTAACGATGTCAATGTTAGTCGGGAACTATTGCGAACTAAAGACCTAGTTTAATGAACTATTCCTCTGGAGGAACTAGACCTAGGGAACTAGTTCCTGCCAAGGAACTAGAATTCTCACCTCTAAACCAAAGGCCAAAATAACATTACCCGCAAATTTTGAAGTATAATTAGTTAGTATTAAAGTTAAAAGTTTGTCAGCTTTTTCTACTAATTGAAAATCACTACCACTAATTTTGACGTTCTGAATGCTTACTTTGGTATTAGAGGAACAAACTTCTACGTTAATTGAAACCACTAATTTATTACACTAATTTCGAAGTACCGAATGAAGGCTAAAAAGTTATATTTTTATATTTTTTTTTAGAAAAAACTGTCTGCATCTAGAACCAGCTTATTGAAACAGATACAGGATGTTAATATAGCTGCACCTAAAGCTCTTTCTAAAGTAGCTTCGTCCACATCAACTTCTGCAACGCAATTTCAATTGATGGTTATGTCAGTTTGTCTATCAGGTAATAAAAAAAAATTAAAGCGAAAATGTCAAAATTTGACATATGATATGTTATTCTATTCAGAGTGTCATTTTCTATTGAATAAAGCAAAAAAATACCGATAAAAGAGTGTCATTTAAAAATTAAAATTTGATTTCCGGTGAAAGAGGAAGTGACCAAAAACAATTGAATACGTCAATCAATCCTAATTTATGTCATATAATAACATACCAAATCTCGTTTTTTTATCTGAAAAACTAAATAAGTTATAGGAGTGAACCACTTTTGAGACGCACCCTGTAGAGATCATACTATTTTTATAAAAAGCTTATGCTATTTAGAACAAATTTTCATGATAAACAAAAATAAAAACCAATTTTCATGATTTTTTCTCAAATTTTGAAGTCTCCAATATTCGCAATAATTTCTCCGTAATTCTAGACCTGAGACAAGGTCTTTCCAGTCTTATACACTGTGCAGAAATTCAATAAAATTGCGAAATAAACAAGGAGTAATAAATAATCAAGGCAGAAATGCGCAACTAGAATTATTGTAACAAACTGTCAAGAGAAACGTCAAACATAACTAATAAATGAAATTGCTGTGACGTACCTTTCGTCTCCAATGTATGAATATTATAAGTAGTATTTTTTACTCTCTCGCTCCTTAGTTTCGTTTTATTCAATGTAAAGACAACAGAATGTGATTTATTTATTATCTTTCAGAAATCAGATTTACGCTAAACCAGCAAGAGACACTTCAGTCCCCACAGCACGAACTGGCTACTTTTAAAGTTTTGTCATTGCAAGCCTCACTTTTACAGCGAACTTTCGATATGAAAGTCAGTCTTCTTCTGGGAGGAATCTCCTTAACTCAAAACAGAAACGATTCCGTGATCAACATCATCAGCACTCCACTGGAATACACCTCAAGCGACTCGTGTCTGTTTAAAGTTGAATACACTCAAGTACGACTTGTCTTTTTTTTTAGTTTCTAAGGTACAGTTTGAGATATTTTACTTTTTTTAGGTTGATACGAAATCGCCAGAATTCAAAACCGTTCATCAGTTGTGCGAAACTTGCCTGACGGTCGATTTCAGCATTTTAACCGTACAACTACACCAAGAAGCCCTACTTCTTCTTATCGAATTTGCGCAAAGCTTACAAAATTCCGTCACAGATATTACCAGCAGTTCTGGTCCAGTTCCCTTAGGTACGGTGTCCTGGTGCGACCGAGAAAAAAAACGGCGTCGTGGTATCCTTTGAAGCGATAATAATCGCTAATAATTTCGAAGGTTGCTATGACACCGTTTTTTGGTCAAATACGATTCTTTTATTTAAGAAACTGAATAATTTGGCGTGTTTATTTACATTTGTAGCTAGGCGTTTGAGTATAGCCAGCAATCTAAGTGATTTTGGAAAAGAAACTTCCAAGACTTTGTTGTCGAGACAGCGGAGACAGGTGGATTCGGTGGTGGAAAGTATAAAAATCAAAATTAAAGCTAGGATTGAAGAGGTTAAGGTTAACTTTTCTACTGACAGGTAATTATTTTATAATTGATTGAATTATTTAATTTGTTTTAGGTTATATTTTATTGCAAAAAAAATTTTTGCCAAGATTTCTAATGAAGTTATGTCAGAAAACTGATATTTACAAATAACGGAACCGTTACTGTTATTTATCATTTTAAAATAACAGGTTTATGTTATTTTAAACAGTTATTCTTACTACACCTAAAACATAAAAAATATAACAGTACATTCGCTATTGGCAAGTTTTGTAATGAATTCATGCCACAAAACTGTTATTTTGAATAAAATATTTGGAAATGTTATTGTAATATAAATAATATTTTACTAAAAATGACATTTTATTACTAAAACTATTTTTATTGGTAAGATTTGTTATGAATTCATGTCGCAAAACTGTTATTTACAAATATTTGGGACTGTTTCTTACAAATAACAGTTAGGACTGTTACTGTTCTTTATAAATAACACTTTAAAATAACAGGTTTATGTTATTTTAATCTGGTATTATTATTGCACAGAAAAACTGTCGGAACTGTTAATATTATTTATCATTTTAAAATAACAGGTTTATGTTATTTTAATCTGGTATTATTATTGCACAGAAAAACTGTCGGAACTGTTAATATTATTTATCATTTTAAAATAACAGGTTTATGTTATTTCAAACAGTTATTATTACTACACTTAAAGCCTAAAAATATAACAGTACAGTCGCTATTGACAGGTTTTGTAATGAATTCGTGTCACAAAACTGTTATTTCCAAAAAAATATTTGGAGCTGTTATTGTAATATTATAAATAATATTTTACTAAAAATGGCATTTTATTAGTGAAACTATTTTTATTGTTAAGATTTGTTATGAATTCATGTCTCAAAACTGTTATTTACAAATAACGTTTGGGACTGTTATTACAAATAACAGTTAGTTGTTATTGTTTTTTTATAAATAACAGTTTAAAATAACAGACTTTAATTAGTAAAATACGATAATTTATATTTAAATTGTTTTTAATGTTCCTAAAATGTTTCGTCAATATTATTTTTCTTAATAATGTATTTTTTTCTGTAGTTTGAACATCGCTTCCATAGCTTTTAGAGACCTAAATGCCGAAGTGATTGTAAAAACCACTTACACCCAAGTCATGGCCAATCTCCGCGAATTGTCAGTTATGGATTTAAATCCCGAAACCAAACACAGTGCGGTACGCATTTCCAACATTTATTTAACCGAACCTATGTATTATCCATATTTAAATTTTACTAGATCCTGAAAACCGAAGCAGACGATGCCCTTACGGTACTGGTTGTTCTCAATAACTTGGAGGGCGAATCTTACAAGCCTGACATAGATGTGCAAGTTAAGATGGGTGGTACCAGAATAGTATTCGTAAACTGGTTCGTCACCAACTTTTTGGTATTTTTTAAATAAATTAGCTGTGCAGGGTGATGCACGGTTAATACTAAGTTAGATGTTTATACGGAGGTGATTTAAAAATACCAACGACTATACAGGGTGTTCTAATAAAAATAAGTAAAAAAGTTTGTATAAATGTATGTTCTAAAATGCCTAGTTTCGGAGATACAGGGTGTAGAAGTTTCATTTTTATTTCGATTTTTTCCAAATAATTTCTAAAGTAACGTCAATATTTGGATAAAAATTTAACATGAGAAATTTGATTTTGATGTCAATATGATTCCTATTTGTAAGGGGCACCCCTACATGTGTTTTACCTGTTTTGAAGTGTAATAACTTTTCGTCCGTACCTGTATAAAACTAGTGAGTGAAAAAGTATACAATTACGACGTTTAACGTAGCATTTATTTGTTCTCCAAAACCGTCTAACCTACCATCAACCGTGAACCACCCTGTGTATCAGGGTATATATTAAACATATTTTTAGGGTTTCCTCAATCAATTTCAAGCGGCCCAGCAAGCCATCGTGGAGGCTTCAGAAGTGGCCGCTCAGAAAGCCAAAGAGAACGCAAAAGAAATGTATCAGAAAGCGACTAAAATACAGTTGCAGATCAATCTTAGGGCTCCGAAAATTCTGGTTCCCGCCAGTAGTCAGAGCACGGACGCTTTGCTTCTAGATCTCGGTATCATTTCGATTAGCAACAGATTTAATGTTCTGGATATTAAAAATAAGGTAAGGTCTCTACAATCGTCGCTCAGTGTTACGTCACATGTATTGTCACTAGTAACTGTCATAATAATATCGAAATTAATTAAATCGAATTGTTTAAGTGATATTTTCAAGTCAATAACTCGGAAACGGTTGATTTGAGGTACATTTGAGCCTTATTTATATATTCTTAAAGTTGCTCAACCGACTAGACAAAATGTGCTGCCAACTGGAGGACAAATCGTGAACCATTCAGGGCGGAGTCAAAAATATCGATTATTTTCGTCATTTTCCTCAGAGTAATGTAATATAGCCCGGGTTTCTGCGAACTTTAATAGTGATCAGCTGATTAAGATATTTAAACGAAACTTTTATTTTATTGTAAATTGTAGATTATTTTTGCCTGTTATTTTAAGAATTCTAAACCGTATTAACAAAGAAATTATTATTTCGATATGTTGGTACATTATTTATAATTTATGATAATGCTAATTGGCTGTTAATTAATATTTAAAAAAAAGTTACATACCTATTTTAATTTGATTTAATGCAGGTTTATAAAAGAATCATTTCATTCTTAGATTATTTTATTCTAAATTGAGTGCTTTACGAATTTTACGATAATTTTTTTAAACATAAAACTTTTTACATTTTCGATGCCGACTAATTGGCATGGTATTATTGGTATGGAAATTAGCCAAGAAAGAAAAGAATTGGCTATAACATGTAATTTTTCGAAAAAAAAAAAACATATTATACCTATATCGCTGAAAAGCTTAAAAAATGGCGCTTTTTATGAAGTTTACTTCCTAGCCATCTATGGTTTCCATTTTAAAAAAACATATGTTTGTGTCATATGTCAAAAATGACAGGCTTTAGAAAGAAAACAGAAAACACAAATTCATTAGGTATGTGATTATCTACAACTTTTATCTGAAAACTTTTGTCTAAAATACCGTATGATCGAATAAAAACGGCGTCAGCGATGGCTATGAAATGATGATCGATGATATTTCCCATATAATTTTACATATAAAATGACAGCGATCTTCATTTCATAGCCATCGTTGACGCCGTTTTTATTCGATCATAGTGTAGATTATAATGGAATTAGAGACAAGTTTTAAAATAGCCAAAATTTGTTTTTTTCGAAATATCTAATAAGCCTTGAACTTCTCCGAAAAATCTAAAAGGCGCATATTTATGACCCCACAAAACTGCAATTCTTTCCCCATTTAACCGACTTTCTATCTCCAGTAGTTTCCAAGATACCCATAGAGAATATCGTAGGAAACTCACCCTGCATAGTATTTAGAAACTATTATTATTATTTGACTAGATTAATTTGATTAATAAGACTCGATTAATTTAATTTAAAATAAATTTGATCAGTTTTTTTTTCGTATATTCTACTACCAGAAAATCAAAAATATATGATAACGCACTTTTCAACGAAGTTGAAGGAAGATACCTATAGTGTATCTGTCACAATACTTAATAGAATTACTACAATTAGAAGAAAAACAAAAAGAAAAAATACCCAAATACCTTCACCTACTACTCATCTATAAAATAAACGAATATAATCTCTTATAAAAACACTACACAACTACTTCTTTTATTCTACACTGAAAAAATTATCAAACTTACTAATTAATCAAACAAAAAGAAAAAACAACCAAATTATTCCTTCACCTACTACTTAACTACAAAATAAACTATAAAAACACTACTACTAAAGTATTTCTGGTAATATAATTAAACTACACTAAATATTATAATTAAACTTAAAAAAAAACGATCTAATTTTACACTACAACCACTACAACTACAAAGTAATAAGAACATTTTTTGAAACTAGAACTAGATTCGTGCGACCAGTATAATAGATCAAGCGGACAAAGAATATAAAATATGTACTTTAAAAATGTGCATTCAGAAAGAAAAAAATATCTCGAAAATTATCTAAACAAACATTTTTTTTTTCTTATCAGTGAAAAACATCGGCCTCGTCGGCCTTGCGGAATTTGTCGGGTATTTACAATGGTCGAATTGTATAATTACCAGCTTTTATAGCATATCTAATAGACAAAAAGTATCTGGTCGATTAGTAACCAATTGGCACAGTCCGAAAATTATCGATTTTTATTTTCTCTGTTTTTATTGGTCGCTTCAAAATTCAGAGTCACAAAAAATATTTTTCTGTAGTAAAAGACTGTGAAATACGTCCCGACATCTGGTGCTTTACATCCATAAACGTCTTAGGTTGAGCTACTTTAAAAATTCATATACAAGAATTTGAGGTACAGAACTGAAATATGCAATAAAATACAGGGAGTTGCATTAAAAAAATTAAGCTTTGATGTACCACGACTTTATGACCGACCCTGTATACTTAAATTTATTACTCGTTAATATGCATTTAAAAACCCTATAACGTTTATATTTAACTTTTTGCGGTACCTCGTGTATTTTACCTAATAATCGACCGTTTCCACACATATCAGCGACCCTGTATAGGCAGAATCTACTTTCTAATATTGACTAATATTGACAGGAAGGATACTCGGCAGTTGTGGACGATATGAACATAGCCTTGACTAATCTAATCCAGTCAAAAGTAAAATTGGACTCGAATGAAGCCATTCTTCAGGAGACGAATATCCTAGAACCTATCAATTTTGAGATCAAGGTTAAGAGAAACTTATCGGCCGCATGGTATAAGTCCATTCCAGATATAGAAGTCGGTGGAAAGATTAAATCTATCTGTCTACATCTGTCTCAGGCAGATTATCAGATGATTATGTCTGTTTTGAACGAGAACTTACAGGAAGGCAAGGTATTAACGAGTATTTATTGAAATATTTTTTAATTGTCTATACAAAAACGAATTACTTTTTTATTTATTAATTATTAAACATTATCAACAGATAAAAAATATAAACCTTTTTTAAAAATTATAAAGTGTGGCGAAAAGATGAAATACTATAAATTAGTATCAGTGTATTGTAAATTGTAATCGCAAAACATTTTCAAAGATTGAAGCTGCAAAAATTAGTTTAAACCGAATCTTATTATCGCTATGTTGGTCATATTGCGCCGTGTTCAGCAATGTTGTCGTTTATTATTTGACAATTATCCTAATGTCAATGATTATTTTGTATAATATCGTGTTGTTGAATCTTTGTGAGCAATTCTCGTTTTTTGCTTATTTTCGTATTTTGTTTTAAATTGCACATTTAAGCACAAATAGTTCTTTTAAGAACTAAATTTTCGAGTTTACGAAGAAATACGGCACAATTTCTTGAAATTGTGTGTTGAAAATATGCCAAAGCATTTAAACAGTCGAAGCAAAGAGCTTGTAGCTTCCCTGTTAAACAATTTGAACGAGAACGTGACAATAAATGTCCTTTATTACCTTTGACTGCAGTCAGAAAAGTAAGTTTGATTGATAAGCACATTATACCACTTTCAAAGTTAGTTTTATTCTGTGATTATTAGTTTGTGCATTAATATCATCCTCTTGTTATTACCACTTATGGCGTTGTAAGATACATCAATAAATAAATAACCCATAATTACTCTTAGAATAATCTTCAAAATGGACTAGTTTTTGCCAATATGTAATAAGTAAAATAAGCTATAAAACAAATAAATCAATTAATTACTAACATATTAGTTATTAAATTAAAAATAAAACGTAAAACTCTTAAAAAATGATATAATAAATATATTGTTTGTCAATTTTAAATTAAGATTCATCTCATAAATCCATCACAATTTGGCAGCGCTGTCTTTGTGCTTGAAATTGTTTTGCGATTACCATAGGTAAGCGGTGCATGTAAACCCACACTTATGGTATATTTCTTTATGGTCATTTCTCAGTGTATATCTAGGTGTGTATATTTTTTTAAGGCTGCAAGTCCTCCCGAAGAAATAAAAGTCACATCTACAACAACTGTCACGACAAGAGCTACATTGGAATCTGGTATTAGTTTAGTTTCAAGAGAAGATAAATCCGGGGCTAAAGAAAAGCCGCATATATTTCTACAGTTCACTTTCACCATGGATCATCTAATTCTCAATTTGTACAGCGGCGGTTTCAAGAGTGTAGGTGTTATTTTGTATTGTATATAAATGTATATATGTATTAAATTTTGTATTTAATCTGATAGAACGTAAAATCAACGCCTGATAAAAAAGCGGACAACCATCTTGGCCGATTTTCCTTAGAAGGGTTTGCAGTCAAAGGAAAAATTCTGTCAGACGATTCCCTGGTGGCTTCTATCTTACTGGTCAATTGTCTACTTGATGACATGCGCAAAGGCAGAGAAGATAAACTTAATAGATTAATAGAAAGGTTTGTCAATGAGCTACAAAATCTAAGAAGAGAATATATGACGTTGATAGTTGTTATTCTTATTCAAAATTAACTTGTTTTTTTTTGGTATTTTTTTACTATGCCTGTCCAAATCATCCATTTTTGGTAGACTGTCTATGGAGAGAGAATAACAATATAACGGGTGTTTCTCAAAAGTGGTTCGCTCCTCTAATTTTTTTATTTGTTCTGATAATAAAACGGAATTTGGTATTCAATTACTTTCGGTCATTTCCTGTTTCACCGGAAATGGCTACAACTTTTGATTTTTAAATAGTACTCCCGATATTTGTTTCCTTTATATGATAGACAATGACATTCTAAGTAGAATGACATATCATATGTCAACTTTTGGCATTTTCAATTAAAAAAATAGTCAGAGATCAAGGTTTTCAGTTTGCCAATTACTAGGTTTTCAGCACTTGGGTTTTTCAGATGTTGATTGGGAGAGGGTTAAAAATTTTAAAAAATCGTAACTCCAAAATTACAGTAGCTAGCGAAACGCGGTTTTCAATTTAAGATTAGGAATAATATTAGCAACAAAATTTGTAATAACATCAAAATCAGTCAGAGTCGCAGTTTTTGAGAAAAAAAAATATCAAGTATGGGTATACGTGCCTCCCGGCGCCAATTTTTTTATTTTCTATCTGAAAAAATAAAAAAGTTATAGGGGGTGAGCCACTTTTGAGAAACACCCGGTATAATTGTAATATACGAGATCCAAAAAATGACAAGAAAAACATTTAAATTCAAAAAAATGAATTGACAGTGAAGTGACAGCAGTTACTAGTGTCATATATTTTTTTGCTGGATACACTGTAATACAGTATAATCATTAACCTCAGTTTCTCGATAATTTTTTAGGTCTATGAACGACGATTCCGTATCCTTGCATTCCGACTCGGGCATTCCATCATCTCGCAGCATGATAGATATCACTTACCAACAGTCAGGGAACGACATGTTTGCGGACGTGCGCATTTTCAGTTTCACCCTGATCCTTTCCGTGGAATACCTGATGAAACTTGCAGACTTTTTCGGAGACACCGAAAAAAAGGCAAAGGCTCCGGTAGAAGTTAAAAGTACCAATGCAGCAGGTTAGAGGATATATAATTGATTTAACTTAAGAATCTATTACGCTGTACTGTTCGGGTCGCTCTCAGGGGTCGGGTAAAGCGGATGTGTGGCCGAAGGAAATATACAGGGTGTTTCAAAACAAATACGAAAAACTTCAGGGGGTGATTCCTTGTTCAAAATAAAGGGTAGTTTGTTTCATAAACGTTGAGTTAAAAGTCAACCATTCAGGAGATATCGCGGTACAAAGATGGCGGAAAAATAATGTTTTTATTTTTTATCTTGAAAACGAAAAGCGACAGACTAATGAAATTTTATGGAAGCATTACTGTTAAAAACACACTTTCTGGTAATTTTCTCACTTTTTTAAAATGAGTGGAAGGGGTTGAGATATACTACCCCTATCATTCTTGTTAACGAAATTTAAAGAAAAATCTTAGCAAGCACATGCAAAAAAATGAATTTGGATAGTTTAGTTTGTTTAGAAACTTTTTTATCTCTTGTGTTTTTTTGATAAAACTCACCGATTTGAAATTAAAAAATAAAATGTCAATTGACAAAATGACAAAAACATTTTTATTTTTAATTTCAAATCGGTGAGTTTTATCAAAAACACAAGAAAAAAAAGTTTCTAAACAAACTAAACTATCAATTTTTTGCATGTGTTTGATAAGATTTTTCTTTAAATTTCGTTAACAAGAATGAGAATGATGTATATTTCAACCCCTTCCACTCATTTTAAAAAAGTGAGAAAATTACCAGAAAGTGTGTTTTTAACAGTAATGCTTCCATAAAATTTCATTAGTCTGTCGCTTTTCGTTTTCAAGATAAAAAATAAAAACATTATTTTTCCGCCATCTTTGTACCGCGATATCTCCCTAATGGTTGACTTTTAACCCAACGTTTATGAAGCACACTACCCTTTATTTTGAACAAGGAATCACCCTCTGAAGTTGTTCGCATTTGTTTTGAAACACCCTGTATATTATATTTCAGAAATCTGCCTAAGGCTTAGCCCGATCCTGTCATGTTAAGCCACACCCAAAATCCCAAACACACGTGCTTTGATTAAGACTTGATTAAGGTTAATTTGTTACAAAACCATATAAATTATATATCACTGTAATAACAAACCTTCAATCTATTTCCGTATTGTAAGGGAATTTTAAATTATGTATGTCTTTATTCTCGAGAAAATTTAGTCCAAACATAAGGAATATTTTGTTGATGTTGACCATCAAAATCTTAAAAATAAAGAAGTTGTCTAAAAATGTTGACAACGTAAAATAAAACGACAAATTATTGAGTCTACCCTACATCATATTTTTACACGTTTTGAATTAAATTAAAATGTCACTGATAAACCGGAATTTAAGTCGGCTATTATAGGACCCCGTCGCGTTCGGTCAAAGATTTTTGATATGTTCTTTCCTTAATCTTTTTATTCAAAGTTACGACCTGATAACAATTAGTTAATGAGGTAAAATCAAAAAGCCTCAAACTTTCTCTATATTTCTCGCGCTTCCTTTTATTCTTTTTTTTAAATTATGGATTTCATGAAATGTACTATTTTTTTGTATTATCTTTGTGTATTTTACTTCATACTTTACTTTGTTGTTGGAACATGACAATTTTTTATTTAATAATGTTATAGCGAAAAAACCGTCGAAAGTATCCATTGAAGAAGCGCAGCCAAAATCATCCAGTCAGATAACGTTGAGCTTGAAGATCGAGAAACCCGACATTATCCTTGTCGAACACATGAACAATATAAACACGAACGCGATGATATTGAACGCCGAAGTCGTCCTAAAATTCAGAATGAACGGAGACCATCAAGTCGTAAACGGCTTGATTAAAGATTTGCAGTTGTACACTTGCAAATATAATCCTGCGCTAAGGGCAGAGAGCAGGGTGAGTGCAAAAATGTGTTGTGTCTAATTCCACAACCGATTTGACATCCAGTCGACTGACTATATAACTCTTTTTTCAATATATTATGTCTTATTTTATAGGGGAATATTCTGCATCCTGTAACAATCAGCCTAGCGGGAAGCACACCAGAAGACAAAGGGTTGCATATAGAACTTGTGGTTGAAGCTGTAATATTGAGAGTTTCCCCTGCAACAATAGAGCTCTTAAACAGGTAATTTAGAGGCTATGATAATTATGAAAATTTTGGACATTTGTTATTGAATTAGATGAGAAATATTCAATTTTTAAAATAGCCACTTCTTTGGAAGGACGTTGGTCGTATCTAGTATTGGTTTCCTTTGTTTTGATTGAGTGATAATTTGACACTGACGTTTATGAATATAAGTTGGAAATCAGTGGAAAAAAAATATGGAAATCAGTGATTGTTAACAATTACTAGTAAAAGCTCACATTCACTGATTTGCTAAGACTACGCCAGTAAAAGTTCAACAGCTGTTTTTGTTGGACGATAGCAGTGAGTTTGAAAGATTCAGTTAGCAGGGTTGTCGCATGTAAAATTTAAAGATAAATAAGGATGTTGAATAATAGGCAATATAAGGATAACAGTAAATTGAGCTAAACGTTGGCAACGTTGACAGACATCTGGCGTAAATGCGCTTTGTTTGTGGTTATGTATAATTATTGTTTTGTTATCGTTGTAAAAAGTGTTGTGCGGTATTTTCCCTATGGAAGAAATTTTCTGCGAAAAATTAAGGTAAACTAGATACTTGCAAGAATGTAATAGTGCTTGTTTTTTATTTTTGCAATATAATGAAGTCACAGCAAAAGTTAAGCGTGCGAGAGAAAAAAATATTAAGGAACCTAGTAACTATTGACTACTAAAAACGAATAACTCCCGTTGAAGAAAATTCGGGCATACTTTATTTTATCCATGATGAAGAACTTTATTAAAAAAACCTTGTACCAATAAGTAATCTTATGTTTATGAATGTTTTTTTTAAATTGTTTTGTATGCTTTAAAATGTTTATTATAGTACCTTTTAATATTTAGAAGGTTATGTCGTTCTTTTCTACAATTTTTAATAAATATAATAAAGAAGGAAATTGTAATTTTAAGGTATGTGGATCAGCTTGAATTTTTAGGTGGTATTCTGAAAAGTTTTATTTGTTGTAACTTTCACCAACATTCTTCCTCACCACTCTCTGTACAATAGAATAACTTTTACTGGCAAACTTTAGTAATTGTTACTTTCTCTATAGTGAATGTTAGAAATTACTAGGAAAAGTCGACAAATCTCTTTAAAATACCATATTCACTGGTCCAATGCAATTATTGGTGTGATTGCATAGCTACTGAAATTTAAGGAGTTTTTAAAATCACTTTAATGTGAATCCCGCAGTTCCTTTTTTATTGTTTGCTATACATATTTCCTTATATTTTTTCTAGAGTTCTAGCTACGATGTCCGAACAGCCGGCGACAGGCGGCGACGACGTAGAAGAGACCAACTTCCAACACATCTGGGACGTGAAACCGTTCAAAGACAACGACTTTTGGTTCTTGAAAAGTGACATGGCAGAGGAAGCCACAGAACAAGTGATGGAGTACATACCGGAAAAGAAAACCTTGCAGGAAATCTGCATTATATCCATGTCTTCCTTGGTGATAACCGTCGAAGCCGGTGTAGGAAACAAGACTCTGCCTATGTTACTATTCGAAACGACTTTGAAAGGAAGCGCGAAGAATTGGAGCTCTCAGTTGAGCGTGGAGGCTGGAATAACAGTTCAAATGGGGTACTACAACAGTAGGTTGGCGTTGTGGGAACCACTGATTGAACCGGTTGAAAGGAAACGTAATGGTAAACTGACGTTTGAACCTTGGGAACTGAAATTGGAACTTTCCATGAACGAACCTGATGACAGTTTGAATTTTTCCAGTCCAACATCAGAAGAGGTAAATATTAAGTCACTATTACATTAGACACATGGTCAGACGATGGTCAGACGGCGCTCTGATTGGTCAGAGCGTTTTCGCGCCACTTTTCATCCGTAAATTTGTTACTCCAGCCCGTCAATGGAGAAAGATCGTACGATAACAGACTTTTGACACTTTTTTGACAAATTTAATCTAACCTTAATAAAATATAATAGTACAAGAGCTAGCAACGTCGGAAAACGATAATTTTAAGAAAGCTGTTCTTTAATATATCTTTTGCTATGCTCTCTTAACCAAAGTGCGGGCCGTCTGGCTGCCGGTAGACTACTACGGTTCATTACTGCGCATCACATCTATACAAGGTATCCCATTTTCGTGTGTTGTGTGGGATTTCCTTATTATGACTAGAGATACAGTGATGCGATTTTCACATTACTTTGCTACTTTTTTATGAAACTAAATATGCTACACATATGTTTGTCCTAGCCTTATTAGTTCCTGAAATACAGGGCGAATTTATGATGCGCAGTAGTGAACAGATGTTGAATACAAATATGGTTGCTCAGTAGTGAACGCAACGTCTACCGGCAGTCAGACAGTCCGCATTCTGTTCAGGCGAGCATATCAAAAGATATATGATAACGTTGACGTTAATCTTGTTTAATAGTTATTAAGAGTATATTTTAATTACTTTTCAGCAAGTGGAGATTGTGAATCAACCCCCTGTAATGAGTATAGATTTCACGTCAGAGAAAACTCTAGAAATGACCGTCACAAAGACCTGCTTAGAAGTACTTAACAATCTGGGCAAAGCTTTTGCTTCAGCCATGAAATCCGAGGAAAAAATATCTTCTAGCGATGTTCTAGCACCGTACAGGTATAATAAGCATTATTTTACTTTTAAGTTACTTTAATACTCATCTAATTTCTGACCAATGAGATTATACATGACAGTGACAGTTCCAAAAAATCCTATATGGGTATTTCGCCACTGCACTGCAAGAAAATCTACAAAATAAAATAGTAAATAAAAACCCAAACGGAAACTACTTGTCAGAAGTTATGTTTACAGTTATACAAATTTGTCTAACAAAGAAAAAAAATGCTTAACGTTTCGGAAAGTTTATCTCTTTCCGTCGTCGGAAGCAAAAAAAATACAAAGAATAAAGAAAAAAACTATTTAAAATATTTAAGTTCAACTATTCGAGAACACTTTAGTTTTTTTTTTTTAAAACAGATACGTCTACAAGAAACCGTTGACGTTCTGTTAAAATGACATTTTGAATGACATTATATCAAGTTAAACTTCAAAATTAACATTTACTACCTGATAACAATTACTTAATAAGGTCAAACCAAAAAGCCCCAAACTTTCTGTATGATTATTTTTAAATTTTACGTATGTTGTGTTTATTTATGTTATGTTCTTTAAAATCAAAAAAGCGATTGCCATACATTACTAACATCTACAGATGCATTAGCAATACATTTATTTTTATTAGATTGTATTAAAAATGCCTCTTTTATTTTTCTTTTAGAGGCTATCGCTTCTTTCATTATAATTTTGGCGTTATTAAAATTTATTTTGTGCCCTGTGTCACATGAGTGCTGACAAATCTTAGATTTGTGAAAATCTCCCTTTCTTAAATAATCTTTATGTTCTTTAATTCTAACATTTACGGGTCTAGATGTTTCACCAATGTAAAATTTATCGCATTCACATGGTATATGGTATATTACATTTTCTGTTTGTTGTTCTGTTTTCATTGGTTTAGTATGTGATAGAATGGATCTAGTGTGTTGTACCAGTTGATTAACTGTTTATTTTGTCAAATTTTGGATGTCGAAGTAGTCTCTTTTTGGACAAGCTTAATATAATAATATAGATTATTCTACAGGGTGTTTCTCAAAATAATCGTAAAACACCGTGTGTTATACGTGTTATTTGTTTCTAGAGTTCTCAATGAGATTGGAGAAGATATAACTTTACTGCTACATGAAAGTTCCTTTAATGTAGCTGCAGGAGGATCATTAGAAGATATCAACAGATCTGCCGCAGTTCCGTTGGTGTTAAAAGATGCACCAACAGACGAAATTCAGCTCGGTATTGATTTTTCTTAATAATAATAAACACTTATTTTTTTAATAAAAATCTTTTTAGACAAAGAGCTGAATAGAAGCGCCCAAGAAAAAGAATATTTCTTGCAAGTTAAAGTGAACAAGACTGACTGTGAATTGACTTTGCCAGTGATGAGGGCGGATAAACGATTTTTCTCTTTAAATTATACCAAGGATAATAATAATTGGGGTGTTATTTCTGATGTTAAAGTAGATGCAGGTGTTACTTTAGTGACAATACGAAGCATTCTACAGGTATGATATAGTTTTTTTTTAAATATAAGGCCAAGACAAAGAATGTTGTCACGTTGTCAATCACTAAATGTCTATATAATATGGTAGTGATACACTAATTTTAATGTATTTTATTCTCTATAGCAAGAAACAGATACGGTAATCGCAAAACATTTTCCGATGCACGTCATCAATCATATCGAAATTGATTCTACAGCCTATAAACCTGACTAAATGAAGTTTCGATAAAAATGTTTAAATTTGTTATATAATTTACAATACCTAGCAGCTCTTCATTTTACTTTATAGAAAAAATTATTTTAACAAATATTTTATTTAGATTAAAGCTGCAAAAATTAGTTTAAAGCTTTGAATAAGAAGACTAAGGAAGGAGCATATCAAAAATCTTAGGTCCACCGCGATGGGCCTCAAATATGGCCGACTTAAATTCCGGTTTATCAGTGCCGTTCTAATTTTATTTAAAAAATGTAAAACTATGATGTAGGGTAGACGTGGGGTAGACTCAATAATATGTTGTTTTATTTGACGTTGTGAATAAATGTTGGTAGTTATTAAAATTGTTACAAAAATATATAATTCTAATAAAAATAGATAAGTTATAATAATTATTTATTAACACAAACATCCGATACGCTACTGAAGCATGTAAATCTGGTAAATCAAATTGACGTATCTAAATTCTTTGACATCTAATCTTTGACAAGTAGTAAATAAAAGCAAAAATGCAAGAAAACATATATAATTAGTTAATTTAAGTGAATTTCATAAATGATCGGTTTACTACACGTATGTATATTATATAGTCACTTACTAGCGAAAAGTTGTTCCATTATTTCACTCGATTTTTGCCGAGATCTACCGCAACGCAACACAACCAACTATTTTAGAGTCTTTTTCCATAAATCACGATAGTGTCACTGTTAATTTAAGTTCTGCCACAATTTCCATCTAGATTTACTACCTTTATACAACTATCAGTAGTAGCATAAATAAATAACATAAAATAAGCTCCGTAAAGACTGACAAATCCATAAAATTTCAAATCAAATTCAAATGTGTCAAATGAATCGTTAAACAGAACTGTCAAGGATCCCCACCCTAGAGTGCTTTTTCCGCCCACCATGCATGAATACATGGATAGCTTTATGCTCCTTCCTTAGTCTTCTTATTCAAAGGTTTAAAGCGATTTTTATTATCGCCATGTTGGTCACATTGCACCGGGATCAGCAACGTTGTCATTTATTATTATTTGACAATTATTATCATAATGTCAGTCATTATTTTGTATAATATCGTGTTGTGAGCCTATCTTTGAAAGTTATTCTCGTTTTTTTGCGGATTTTCGTAGCAATTGTACTCTTAAGCACAAATAGTTCTTTTAAGAACTAAGTTTTCGAGTTTTTGTATTGCCTTTCTTGAAATTGTGTGTTGAAAATATGTCGAAGCATTTAAAAAGTCGAGGCAAAGAGCTTGTAGCTTTCCTGATAAACTATTTTGAACGAGAAACGTAAAAATCGTTAAAAATGATATAATAAATCTATTGTTTCCCAATTTTACATTAAGATTCATCTCATAAATCCATCACAATCTGGCAGCGCTGTCGCCATCGCTTGTCACTCAAAGTTGATCACGTGCATCGAAAATTGTTTTGCTATTACTTTAGGTCTTTATCTAGGATCGATAAAAACCTAATATATTTTAGGTATACAATCATTTTTCTGTGCCAGTTGACGTCTATTATATGACAGAAAAGGGTAACGAACTAGAACTAGTAGGTTCAGTGGAACCGAACAGCGTTCTAGATCTTCCACTTAAAGCCGTTTACACGCCCACAAACGAACTGTTCTTCAGCGTGTCGGGATACTCGGTTACCACTGCTCCATACATATGGAAAGATCTCCAAACCAACTTGAACATCGTCAAGATACTGCATTGTCCCATTTTAAAAGACATGGAATATACCGGGAAGTATCCTTTTATCCTTAAGGCTATCGGTGAAATGGAACAGGTGATGTAGAATATAGAAATATCGCTGTGTTAACTATAATCCGCTCTTTCTTTTAGGTGTATTACGCAAATACAATGCGGCATACCATGGCAAGCACTTGTTTCAATATCCATTTGAGACCAGCGGCAATACTGAAGAATTTCTTGCCGTTGCCGATTATTGTTTGTATTGACGAGTTGGCTGACGAACTGGAGGTTAATTTGGTGGTATTTGTCGATTAATAGGTCTATGAATGTTTTATTTCTAGGTTAAAGCTGGAGATACTCTTCAATTGCCTAATGTAGATCCAGGAAAAAGCGTTATAGTAATAAGGGTAAGTTATTTTCAACAATTCCTATATCATTTATAATTATTACCACTTAATATCTACCTATAGATCATACCAAATAAAATTTTAGTCACGTGATTAAGCTTGACCGGTACAGCGTTGCCTACTTTTACATATTTTCTTTTAATCAAAACATTTTAGGAAACACAAATAAATTAATTATAAATACATATATATATATATATATATATATATATATATATATATATATATATATATATATATATATATATATATATATATATATATATATATATATAATATAAACAGTTATTTACGTAAACAAAACTCACCTCTTTAACAGTTATGTTATATGTATTTTCGTTATGCTCATATGCGTACATCATATGGCAATTCAATCCATCACTGTCAGCGCACTGTTATTTTCATAACTGTTATTTTTGGAACACCTATTGCACTTAGCTTGGTTAAATTTTTGTGGTGCCAATGTGCCGCTGTTATTTTCAAAACTGTTATTTTTGGAAGTAACATCGGCTACGAACTGCTATTCATAAATAACAGTTTTAAACTGTTATTTGGAGTGGTCAGAATTAAAATGGATCAAGTCAAATTTCCTACTATTTTAAGATAATAGTCGTTATACGTTTTAAAATATTGTTTTTTTCCAGTAGAGAAATGAGAATCAAGTCATACTTCAGGCATTAAGCAGCTATAGTCTGTTTCTGTTTGGTTTCTGAATATTCTGTTGAACCAATTTATATCTAAAATTTTAAATATTTTCAGAGATAAAATGGTTCAAGTCCAAAAAAATATAAACAAACATTCTTAAAAATGACCACAGTTGTATTTTGAGTTACTTTAGTTTGCAATTATACAATTTAAAATATAATATAGCATTGTGTCAAGTTTTCTTCTCCAGCTTCTTTTATTTTAATTAATTAACATTAAAAAGCTTCTTATTTTCTTATTGATCCAATTCTGAACCCCCCATTTTAACAGTTAAATTATAACCCGTTCTACTGTGATTTTTGATTTGGTTATATGCCTACTGTATCAAATATTTTCTTTTAAAATGTTTTAGTTGCCTGAATATCTGGAAAAAGAGTGGTCTTGTCGCAAGGAAACCGAAACCAACCCACAAGAGTTCAACGTATGGACTTTCGACAGTTACGACAGCCCAACGAAAATGTCTCTGGACCTCGGTATGCACACCATCAACAAAAACGGCTCCTTAATATATTCGTTGTACTGTCCGTTCTGGATGTTAAACAAAACTGGACTGATGCTCGGATACAGGGTGAGCAAATTATTTCTGATTCCTAATTGAGTCTTTTTTTTTCAAAAAAAGGCCGATTTTACTTTTAAATGTTTACGAAATATTTTAGAAATCAAAGAAAACTGAGAGGAACGATGCATTTGGAAGTCCCGTCAAGGTATCTTTTACCGACCATCTGAGCTACTGGGGGCGAATTTTTGTATTTTTTTTGTGCTCTATATTTTGTTTGTCCTGACCCCACTGCATGCCATGTATTTTCTTCACACTTCTTTTACCGTGAATAATAATCTTTTAGCTGGGGGTTCAGCATCTGTAAAGTAATAAAATATATACAGATGTCATTTTTTTTAATAATTTTGAGGTTGTATAATTAATAAGTGCATTTCGTGAAAATATCAAGGTTCTGTCTTTGCTGAGAAGTCAGATACAGAGATAACCACACTACTTGCAACTAAAATGGCCCGCTCTATACAATATCATGAAAAAGTTTTATGATCAAAATTTCTTTATATCATGACAGGAAAACAATAATTCTTTTTTGAATATATCAGTGACATTTGTATATACTTTGTTACTCGGGGGCATAGATAAATGAAACAAATTTAGATTGGAAAGTACCCATAAGGACAACAAAAATTGTCTTTAGCGCTGTTCTTGCAGCGGATGCGATACAAACCTTTTGATGATTTCGGAGAGGTTTGGCTTTTTTCGGAATTATGTCGCCTAATATTGTTTATTCAAATTTATTATTACATTTTTTATATTCTTAAATAATATTCAGCGTCTTTTATACAGGGTGAGTCTGGTAGATATCTGACTCCGTTGGCTAGATCTTGACACGCCCTCTCGGTATCCCCTGAGCGAGTATATAAACGCTCAAATTGTACTTTTTAGATTAGTTTTAATCATCTGCTGATGATGCTAACATGGTTAGCGGAACGCACGTCCAGTGTAATGTTAAAAAATCATAACTCCAAAATTACAGTAGCTAGCGAAACGCGGTTTTCATTTTAAGATTGGGAATAATATTGGCAACAAAATTTGTAATAACATCAAAATCTGTCAAAGTCGCAGTTTTTGGGATAAAAAAAATTGGAAAAATTCCTTTACTTTGAAACTAAAAGAACTGCCTACCAACATTTATTAACATATTTTAGTATGGGCGGCTATACGTGCCTCCCGGCGCCAATTTTTTTAACTAAAAACTAAAAAAAATTCCAAAAAAATTTTCAGAAAATTTCAAATTTTAAAAATTGGTTTTTCGCAAAAAAACTCCTAGAGATTATTTCTGGGGTCGAAATATATTACCCCTAAAAATATTTGCACTTATTTAAAATTCACTCTGTATAAGGGAACAATATTTTATATAAGAACATGTATCAAATATTAAAAAAAAAACATAAAAACAGCAGTGTGAAGAAAAACAGATAATACGTTTATTAAGGAAACTATGTTTTTGTTTCATGGGATTTTTGGATCACTTTTTGGAAACAGATGCTTACGTAAATAAAATTTAAATTAAAACTCACAAGATCAATAACTTTAAAAAATATCGCTTTAACATTTTTCAGTATTTTTCCAACAATCTTTGACGATTTTTAATTATTGAGTCCTATTTTGACAAAGGAGAACGCTAGCTGTTTTAGTTTACGGTTGTCTTTAGCAACCGCTAACAGCGCCCTACAACGGACGAGATCTAAAACTTATATTAAGTTTTGGCGGAAAGCCGAGTGTCCCAATCTAAATCTATTTCCTTTATCTATGTTTGGACGCTAGCGAATATTTTTGTTACAAAGCTGGCGCAGTAGGTTATTGATTCTATCAACTATACGTTATTCAGCAAAGAAAGCTGTAAAAATATTTATTTTTTATATTTATTCTAGAGCTCTGACGAGAATCTCAACGTTTTACACCATCCTGCCGACTTCAAGGGGCCCATTCTGTTCTCTTTCAACGCCCGAAACTTTTTCGGTAAGAAAAAATCGTCGATCCGTGTGGAGTCCGGTGATTGGTCAGATAAATTCTCTTTGGACGTTGCCGGATCGTCTGGTGTGGTACACTGCAAGTCAAACGATAAAATATACCAGGTAGGTTTAGTGATGAGAATATCAGACTCTGATCACAGTAAATTTACTTAACTTGACAATTATGAATTGAAGCTCGATTCATACTAGTTGCACTGCTTTCTACTTAAATTTAATATTGAATAAAATGACTAAGGAAAGGCTATATCAACTACCTGGACCAGAACCGTTCTGTTTCCCAAGTTGGAATCGAACCTTAATCTGGAATGAGAATCCTCCAACGGTCTAAGACACTCGAAGAAATTTCTGTTTTATAATTAACTCCTTAAAAATAACTTTAAATTTATATTTGTACACATATATACAAGTCAGATAGTGATCGAATAGTTTGTAGATTGTTATATATTCTAGCAATACAGCTTTATTTTTTAGATCGGTGTCCATAATCAACTGACTTACAATAACTTTACCAAACAAGTCACATTTACTCCGTATTATGTAATTATCAACGAAGCACCGTTTGCTATAGAATGCCAAGAAAGTAATAGACCAGCAGATAGTTGGGTTAAAGTTGAGCCAAAATCGTGTTCAGGTGAGTCCTTTTGTGATTGAATCGAGTGATCTTTTTATTATAGTCTGTCCAAGGACAAAATCCTTGACCAAAAAACAATAATTTGAAAAAAAAAATGGTTAAAAACAACAAGAGACGACGCATGACGGTTTTATATACAAACTTGTCCATAGTTAACTTAAAAAAATATTAGTATACTGCTTTTTTCTGTCATCGTCTGTCGAAAAATAACCTGTGTTGAGTGATAAAACAGAGTATGGTAATTAAGGATTGTTGAATTTTAGCTCTGTGGCCTAAAAGCGACGTAGAAGATAAATTATTGAAATTAAGAATAGTGGGTACAAAGGAAACCAGTGCTCCCTTCTTGTACACTGAAAGCCATACTACATTATTAAAGTTGAATAACAAGGTAATTGTATATTAATGAGCTGTTAGTGAATTTATAATGCTGTATTTATTTTGTTTGCAGCACGGGGGCGTAAACGTTGACATACAACTTAACGAAGGGGCGGTATATATAAACTTTGCCCCGTACACAGCTGGCTCTGCACCGGCATTGATTATAAATCACTGTGGTTCGGACATGAACTTCTGGGAAAAGCAATCAGTTCAAATTAGGTAAAATTATTTGTGTTTTCCTCTCATCCCTAATCAAAAAAGGAGAATTTAGTGTCTAACATATTGGTTATACATACTTATATGTTATAGTCTATAAAATGAATAACTTTGAATTTTGACCGTTATTTTTTACCAACATGACAAATATAAAATCCCTCTATCAAAAAAGTTACTGATATTCTTTAAATTGATTTATTTACTAACATTCGTAGGTAACTCTTTTACTTTCGTGAAATAGAAAAGGAAAATAATAAAACAAGTGACAGTTCTTCCTCTTGTTGCAAAAATCAACACGAAATGTCATAATTGACAAAAGTAAAATGTCATCAGCTTTTGACATTTCTAAATATTAGACCAATGCCGTCTCTAATAGAACAGCCACGGAGCGAGATTTATGACGTCACGCTAGTTAGATACTACGGACTAATAAATATGTTGTAGAATACACGGAAAACATAATTATTCCTCGTATTTTTGGTTTGTATTTTAAAAGTGATATAGTTTACATGAAATATACATAATACACAGTTAATAAATACAATATAATATATACCTATTTATTGTAATAAATACTTTGGCAAATAAACTATGAACCATACAAATGCAGCAAATGTTTTACAATATACAAATAATGAATAGGTAGTACATAAGATAATGGGTAAAATGTAAAGTATATTTTAAATTTTGGGGTTTGAAAATTGATCTAATTTAACAAAAAACATTCAATATCTACTAATAGTGATGTATTATTATTTGCATTCACAAAATTTATTTATATAGTATAATGTTTACTGCAATTAATAAACTAATATAAACTTGTCAAAAGATGACCACATATTTTTTTAAATTATTATTCTTAACACAAAAACTATCTACATTGACTATGGAGTACGATTTCAGCCATATTGTAAAATATTTGCTGCATTTGTATTGTTCATAGCCAAAGTATTTATTACTATAAATAGGTATATATATATATTGCATTTGTTAACTGTATATTATGTATATTTCATGTAAACTATATCAAGGAATAATTATGTTTTCCATGTATTCTACAACATATTTATTAATCCGTAGTATTTAACTAGCGTGACGTCATAAATCTCGCTCTGAGGCTGTTCTATTAGAGACGGCATTGCGTCAGCATTGCCGCAAGTTGCTAACCTAATAAAATTAGCACTAGAAAAGCCCGCGGGAACTGTCAAATTCAAAGTTATTCGTTTTACAGACTATAATATAAGTATAAAAATAAACAATATTGAGCCATGTTGAAAATTTAAAAAAATCAGATTATTCTAAAGACATCTATCTAAAGGGGAGATACACAAAACTCCATTTATTTACTAACATTCGTACTTTTTTAACACTTTTACGTAGGTTAAAAAGAGATGGTTGCATAAATATGAACAGTTTTGTGTGCGTTTCTGTCTTTTCGGTTTACCAGTGGCGTGCTATTTTTTTTATCAATAACGTTAAAAAGTAATTAATTGTAATTTTTGATTTGTGCGTTTTTTGATTGTTTTTGGGATGCATCTGAAAAGTGGCTCACCCTTATAACTTTTTTATTTTTTCAGATAAAAAAAACGAGATTTGGTATGTTAGTATATGACATAAATTAGGATTGATTGTATTCAATTGTTTTTGGTCACTTCCTGTTTTACCGGAAATGATTACAACTTTTGATTTTTAAATAGCATCCTCGGTATATTTTTACTTTATTCGATAGAAAATGACACTCTGAGTAGAATGACATATTTCAACTTTTGTCATTTTCGCTTAAAAAAATATCGTATTTTAAATTTTAATCTAGAGTGCTATGGATGTGTTAAAAACACTACTTTTAATAAAGGAGCCTTGGAAGAATAGATGTGATCGTCTAATGTTTTTCGTGTCTTATCCTGGCTGGTTAAAAAATGCCCAAGACGTATTTTTAATTATATCTCAATATTTTCAAATGGAACGAGAGTACGAATAATTTGGTACTACACAGTTGGTATTTCGAGTCAAATTGTCGTTATGAACCGCATGTTACAATTTAAAATAAACCATATGCGAAAATGTCAAAAGTTGACATATGATATGTGATTCTATTCAAAGTGTCATTTTCTATCGAATAAAGTACAAAATATACCGAGGGTGCCATTTAAAAATCAAAATTTGTAGATATTTGATTTAAAAAAAAATTGAATACGTCAATCAATCCTAATTTATGTCACATACTAACATACCAAATCTCGTTTTTTATCTGAAAAAATAAAAAAGTTATAGGTCTGAGCCACTTTTGAGACGCACCCGGTATATAATTTAATGTAATTTAATAATTATTTCTCTGTTATAGTACATTATAAATAGTACATCAGAATTCGAGATAATTAAGTCTTATAGGTATAATTTTATTTTCAGTAATGCTTTTTTGTAATAACCTTTGTTGTGTAGTAAGCTTTTGTAATAATTTAAATTAGATACACTACTGTGTTAAATCTGAAAAAATACGTAACGTCATTTACCGCCGAAATATCAATTTTTGGACTAGAATAGTTCACCTTTTTGCAAACTAAGCTCTGAAGAACCATCTTCGATTTTTAAAAGTACTTTAAACAGTTATTTTTAGATATAAATCAGATAGTTCAGATACAAATCTGAATCTGAGGTTAATGAAAATATTTTCACATCTGAAGATAACAAATTTATTTTGGTTTTGTAAATCTGTTATATTAATATATTCTAATCAATTCTATTTAGAACCCTGAAACCCAAAACGTCTTTGTTGTATACATGGGAGAATCCTTCAGGATCCAGGACGATTTTATGGGAAAAAGCTCATAAAATCGAAATCGAAAACGATCTAAGAAAAGATGGCTGCGGAAGCTTTCAAATTAGCGAATCTCACCAAGTTTATTGGTAAGTAATCTTTTTCCCTCTATAGACATATAAGGGCGGAGCTAAGCAACCTTGCCAAACAACGCGATATATACATTTCATACAATTTTACGGTGTTTTATCTTCTAATTTCTATGAGCAAAAAAGGCTCTGGTATTTATTTGAATGTAGCGTGAACAGTTGAAGAGGTTTTTCTATAATTTGATAACAGTAAGTCATATAAATGTACGACTTTTGTTGTTTGGAAATGTTTTTGAAAAACTCCGCTCACTGACATGATGTCAGACTTGCGCAGTCTATTATGCCAATATTTACTGCTTTATAGGACTTCATTTTTGGATGGAATGCAAAGAATCCTACTTTTCACCGATAATAGCAGTCTAGCCCAAAGCGCCACCAATATCTTGGAAATTATCCAGCAAGAAATAACGCTCACTTTACACGGTGTAGGTTTGTCTTTAGTTAACAACGAAACTAGACAGGAAATTATGTATATCGGAATTGCCAGTAGCGGGGTAATATGGGAAACCTGCAAACCCAATAAAAAGAGATATAAACCTTTAGGTAGGTATTTTTCCCAAAAACTTAAAGTTTATAGTCAATTTTCGTTTGTTCTACGTTGAGACAGTTCAGAGTACTACTTAGTATTGTATAATCGAAAAAAAAAACGGCGTCTAGTTGGCTTGGAATTGACGATAGATGGCATTCACCACATAATTTTACATATAAAATGACAGCGATCTTCATTTCATAGCCATCGCTGACGCCATTTTTTTTTTCGATCATGTTGTATTATTTACACAGGATGATGCTGCCTCCCTTTAGCATTAGTGAATGGTAGATAGCATTTATCTTCTTTTTTTAAGTGTTTCAGATGTGTATATTTAAAAGATAATTTTTGTAGGCATTGCAGAATCCACTCACATAGAAAACGCATATCAGCATTACTTAATACAACAGTTAGACTCAGATTCTAGTATTTCAGGAACAGTGTTGATAGATAACAAGATCGAGGTCGATTTTGAGTCTAAACAAATGTTTAAACCCCGTAGACGAACTCTCAGGTATGAACATTATTTAAAACAACTAAGGAAGGAGTATGACCTTACATATCTATTATATGTTCCCTTTTCTTGAGTTTTAACGAGTTATAACTTATCATACAGTCTCAGGGCTTTGACATAAGTCAGAGGTGTTCTTTGAGGAGGCAGTGTCCTGTTAAAAACCTCGTGACAATCCGAAGATTGTTCTTATTTAAATCAAGGAAAATCTTTGACTTTTATTGGTCCTAAGTCCTGTGTAATTTCTTAAGTGTACTACTACTGTGACTGTCTTAGACCGTTGGAGGATTCCTATTCCATGTTACGGATGGAGTCTTCCAAGTTCATGAGTTCTGCTTTAAGTTGCTTTCCACTTAGGAAGCAGAACAGTTCTGGTCTATTTAATAGAGTGTTCGTTCCTTTTCTAGCTAGATCGTTTGCTTTTTCATTACCTTCTATCCCTTAGTAAGTTGGCATCTAGAGTAGGACTTTATTTTCTTTGTCTATTTTGTTCAGCTTCCCTAGGCATTCTTGGCCAACTTCGAATTGATGATTACTAAGTTAAAAAAATGTTTATAATAATTAAAATTGATTGAAATAAATAGCATTTGAGGGACTCCTTCCTTAGTCTTTTTTAATAAATTCCTATAACTATAGTTGCAATAATTTCTTCTTAAATTTAGCTACTTATTGATTTTTTTCAATCTCATAGACGTACCTTCCAAACTGGAGTATGGCTACAAATGAAAACTAGTCCAAGTCAAACGCAATTACATGCTAAAATCAATAGACTACAAATTGATAATCAAATGTATGATTGCATATTTCCTGTAGTATTGGCACCAGTGCCGCCACCTAAAAGTGTAGCTGCTGACAGTGGTATGTACTTTTATATTTTTTAAGACTAATTTAATTTTAATTTTCTATATTTTTCTAGGTATTAAACCTTTCCTTGAACTAAGTATTGTTCAGATGATACTGAAAAACAGTCAGATTAAACAATTTAAGTATTTCAAAGTGTTAATTCAAGAGTTCCATATCAAAGTCGATTTGGGTTTTGTCAATGCTATTGTGGCATTGTTAGGAGAACAAGCCGCGAAGTCTGACGAGGAAGATGTAAGTTTAGGAGTTTTTTATTATATAGTTTCGCCGATCTAAATAATATTTTTTTTTTCAAACGTCACAAAAATATTAATTTTTGCGACTTGATTGACAATATAAAAAAGTCATTTTAATGCCTAGGCATAAAAGTAAAGCCTTTGAGTAAAGCACTTTTACGCATAAGCGTAAAAGTAAGAAAATATGTTATTAAATCTGTCTGATTAAACTGACATAAAGTGTCAAATTCAACGAGCGTAACCATAGTTTCTCGATATATAATTATTTACAGGGTATAACTATTAAATATTTTTATATTATTTGAAACGTTTGAATTTGTTTAAAAACTTATTTGTGGCGTTTGAAAAAAAAATAGCATGTTCTTTTCGAAGTAAAAATGACTTTTTGTGTCTCGGCTGTATGTCGGCTGCAGCCAAACCTACAGCACAGTTTAAAGAATATATACACATACAGTTGGCTCACTCTAAGGAATTCTATTGTTATTTTGACTTCAAAGGCGGCCCGTGACCCTTCGAGGTGACAAAAAATTTGTACGTTTACCGGGTGCAGCGGAAGTGCTATTTTATCAGTCAGAACGCTGGCCGTATACGAGGGATCAACTAAAAATACTAAGGAATTTTAATATAGCAAGTAGAAAAATAAAAATACAGTACTAGTTTTATTGATTAACAGTTTTAGGCGTCTTTAATAATTGATTAATATTTATTTACTTTCTTCTTATTGTTATTTAATAACATATCTCATTGTTTACAAATATAAATACGATATGAGTATGATACTCGATAAATACGATTAAAAAGTATCCGTATTATTAGCAAAATTAACACATACATCGCAAGAGTGACGTGTTATACATTTTTTTAAGAAATACCCTGTTACGTAGACTAAGGCATTTCCTTCAGGACGAAGTGAAGACCCTAAGCGGTGTGTATGTAGGAACAGCACAAACGTTATTACAGGATAACTACCTTCTTTAACACAATTCGAACAAAACAACTAAAACACTATTTTTGGTTCACCCTATGCGTCGGACCGAAAACAAAACTAAAATAAACTTGGAACGCTGTGTACACGTCGAGCAACGGATGTAGACTGACCCAAGTCTACAAGACAGGCGGGGAGCGGCGGGAGGAATTTTGATACGGGCGAAGAGTGAGCCAACTGACATATTTATATTCTTTAAACTGTGCCTACAGCCTCGTCATGGAAAGTGTCATTTTTACTTCTAATAAAACGATTTACTATTTTGGCATGTAATAAAAAGCTTATTTTGGCATATTATGACAATATCTAACGAAAAACACTAAAGCAGTGGATAACTTTTAGAGGGAGCTGTTTGAAACTGACATGAAACTAGTGGACCAGGCCTTATATTCTCACGCATCCAGTCAAGTCTTGCAAGGTCAGAAGAGTTTCTACGACTTGCTCCACTTCTCTCCTTTAAAGATACACGTGTCGTTCTCATTGGCTGAGGGTAGTTCCGGTGGCCAAAACGCCTCAACACCGAATTTCCTCAACGTCTTGCTGCAAGGCGTCGGTGTTACCCTCACAGATCTACAAGACGTTGTTTTCAAGTACAATTTTTACGATACTTATACAGGGTGTACCGAAAAGTTCCCAACAAATCGGAGTTCTTGAGTTTTTAATTTTTTTATCCATTTGTTGTTGACTTTTTAGCGCGCCCTGTAATACCGATCATTTAAAATTATCATTTTCTTCTTTTAGATTGGCGTTTTTCGAACGCGACTATATATTTTTGACTCAAAGTCAGCTGACTGCTGAGGCAACAAATCATTATATTGGTCAGCTTATCAAGCAGCTGTATGTACTGGTTTTGGGTCTGGATGTTTTAGGAAATCCATACGGTTTGGTCGTTGGTCTCACTAAAGGTGTGGAAGATCTGTTTTACGAGCCGTTCCAAGGTGCCATACAAGGACCCAGCGAGTTTGCCGAAGGTCTTGCTCTAGGTATGAATTTTTTTGTTTTTATATACTAGTATACCCAAGTAGCATTTTTAGACACATTTTAGGTAATGTTTCTAATAATCGTGTCTGTTTCTTGACACAAAATGGAAACGGTATGCCACAAATAGGAAACATTTTCGAAACCTATATATTTTATATGGCTTTAGTGCATGTGTTTTCAATGTGGTGACACAACTTTTAGAGGAAATGTTTCGAAACATTTTCTGCAATTTGTGTCCAAAATGGTCCCGCCTTCAGCAGCCACTGTTTCTAAAGGTGAAGAAACAAAATATCAAACTAAAATAGTCTATGTCTTTGTGTGGTTTTCAAAATGAAAACAACCATCAACAATGTCAACCTCCGCCATAATTTTTTTGTTTTAAGATCTTTGTTTTTAACAAAAGAATCAAAACTTGTGGTCAAAATAATTAAAACATTTTTATTTACTTATTATAACAGAACTAAAACATAAAAACATGTATTCCATTGTGGAAAAAAAAAGAAAAAACGTTTGCTGGTAACATTTTTCTTCAGTCTCCTGTTGGGTATGAGTAGTGGCTGTTATTACATTTATTCCTAAAACAAATCATCTCTGTAATGCGTATAACAAATAATTAGAAAATCGCATAACAAACATATCTGTATTTGTACTCACCATACTCTTGTTTTTGTCCTTCTGGTTTTTAATTATAGTACTATAAAAATTTGAAGAATGCTTAAATGAAAAACTGCAGAACAAAATCAAAACAATAAAAAGTAAGATTATGTTCTCATATATGACAGAATATCAAATAAATTATGGAAACTTCTCAGGCACAAAACGTGTACGAAATCTGTAAATGTGAGCCACATCTGTTTCTTAAAAGTTTCGAAAAATTTGTGACACTAAGATCTTTATTGTTATAGCTTATGTAGCGAAACCATATTTTAGTAAAATGTTTCAAAACAAAAAGCGATTTATGTTACGCAACATATGTATAAAAAATGTGACGAAACTGTTTCACAGTGTTTCTCAGCAGAGATTTTGTTTCGATCTTGTGTCTAAAAATGCTACTTGGGTTATGATGAGATAACTCGAGCAACAAATTGCTCGAGTACCCGATTATTGAATTAATTTGTCATTCCGAAAAAGGCTGTTACCAAAAGTTATGTTAGGTGATTTTTACATCAGTGATTAAATCACAGTTTCTGATATATCGCTCATCTCGACCTAAAAATGACTGAAATTTGACATGATTTCAAGGTGTCAAGAGCCTATTGGGACACACTGTGGGCGGAGTTATGGGCGCGGCAACAAGAATAACAGGCGCCATGGGCAAAGGTATAGCAGCGTTGACGTTCGACGACGAATTTCAAAGAAAACGAAGAGAGCAGATCAACAAAAAGCCGGCAACAGCGCAGGAAGGTATCGCGCGAAGCGGTAAAGGATTGGTCATGGTAAAACTGTCTTAACTAATGGATTTTATTTTGAAACTACTATATCTCCTCGATTGTAGGGTGTGTTTGACGGTGTGACAGGGGTGTTCACAAAACCTGTCGCCGGTGCCAAAGAGCAGGGCGTCGAAGGGTTCTTCAAAGGTTTGGGAAAAGGTGCGGTCGGGCTTGTCGCTCGACCAGCTGCAGGAATTGTCGATTTTGCTAGCGGTTCTTTGGATGTCGTCAAAAGGTACTGTATAATCAAAATATTTTATGGTCAAGCACACTGGCCGTTCTAATACATAGGTTGCACTATGGGCTGGCAAAGGTTAGTCTTGGGTCGAGATTTCCGTATGTAAGAAGAGAGTACAATGCGTTTATAATGTACTGAACAAAGAGAGAACAGTAAAAACGTTGCCAAACGTGTGAAATAAACCGAGAAACTGTGCACATTGCTAAGAGACGTGGAAGGGGATAAACAGATTCGTCGCGGTCGACCCAATCAGTACCATATCAGTACTTAAAATTCTAGGGAAGAGAATGTACATCATGCTTTTAGCTTCACGCTTTAATTACGTCTCGTGATACTTTATTTATTTATTTATTAACGAGTCGTAATTTTCCCTATAGCCTGTAAATTTTTAAGTGCAAGTTAGAAACACTTGTACTTATGGTAAAAATAAGTGGGATTAAGTTGGTGTTCGACAGTGGTCGCGCTATTAGAACTCTGAATTCAAAAATCGATATCTCGAAATCCATTAGAAATAATTGATTGTAGTTTTTTTCAAAAACTGTCTTAATATTTCTGCTATATTTTCTTTGCAGACAGTATTTGAAAATCTTTATAAATAAAAAAGTTACACGATTGCTGAAAATTGCAATGCACTATAAGTAAATGGATGTTTTTTTTTAAATTTTGAATGAAAAAAGACAAGCCTATCGAATTTTTCTTATTTAAATGTCTTATAAAAGATTCGAACTTCAAAATAAAAAAAAAGTTTCAATATCTAAAGTAGTTCTTAAATTATCATGTGTTATGTGTTAAAAAGTTTTGAGTTTTTAAATTATCGCAATTACTGACGTTTTCTATAAAAGTCTTTTAAAAATAAGCGGTTTGCGATCGTTATTTTACTTTACTTGATAGAGAAAGGCGTACCGGAGAAATGTGGCAACGCCGCAACAGCACACCGTCGCATTTCTCTCACTCCGACTTAATAAGATCCTTATGCGATTTACTTCCACACATATAAATACCGACCCAAAAGTAAGAGTTGCCAGCATGGTATAACAAAAAATGTTGTTTTTCTCGAACTAATGATTTTGGCACGTATTTATTTCAAGTCTTCAATTAACCATACATTTAAAATTGAAATAATATTAACAATTAAATTTTAGGTATGCTGACGTAAGCGAGGACACGTTGAGGTTAAGACCGCCAAGGTTTATTCCGTCTGACGGCTTAGTGAGGTCGTACAACTCTTTTGAGGCCGAAGGCCACAAGTTACTCATGGAACTGAGTAAAGGAAAGTACGCCAAAACTGACATTTACGTCTTTCACGCTGTGGTCATCGAAAAGAAAGAAATACTGTTGCTGACAGATAAACGAATGGCTTATATCACACATAACGATTTGTTTGGCGGATGGCAGGTATGGCATTAAAAAAAATCGTTTTTTATTGAATATAAAGGGTAAGGATAAATTAACTGGTCTTTAAAAGTGTTTTTCGGCAAATTTCCGAGTGTTTCTTGATGACGAAATTTTGATTGTACTTTGTGATAAAAAAACTCCGTATCAGATACCTTTGAAATGGTGATCTATGACAATTAATGTCACTGATGGTTATTTCTTGTTTTCATTATCATCTTTGAATAAGAAGACTAAGGAAGGAGCATAATGCTATTCATGTATTCATGAATGGTGGGCGGAAAAAGGACTCTAGGGTGGGGATCCTTGACAGTTCTGTTTGACGATTCATTTGACACATTTGAATTTGATTTGAAATTTTGTGGATTTGTCAGTCTTTACGGAGCTGATTTTATGTTATTTATTATTTATTCTACTACTGATAGTTGTATAAAGGTAGTAAATCTAGATGGAAATTGTGGCAGAACTTAAATTCACAGTGACACTATCGCGATTTATCGAAAAAGACTCTAAAATAGTTGGCTGTGTAGCGTGCGGTAGATCTCGGTAAAAATCGAGTGAAATAATGGAACAACTTTTCGCTAGTAAGTGACTATATAATATACATACGTGTAGTAAACCGATCTCATTTATGATTTTATCTTAAATTAACTAATTATTTATTTTTTCTTGCATTTTTGCTTTTATTTACTACTTGTCAAAGATTAGATGTCAAAGAATTTAGATACGTCAATTTCAAGCGTCAATTTGACTTACCTGCTTCAGTAGCGTATCGGATGTTTGTGTTAATAAATAATTATTAAAACTTATCTATTTTTATTATAATAATATGTTTTTATAACAATTTTAAAAACTACCAACATTTATTCACAACGTAAAATAAAAAAAAAATATTGAGTCTACCCCACGTCTACCCTACATCATAGTTTTACATTTTTTAAATAAAATTAGAACAGCACTGATAAACAGGAATTTAAGTCGGCCATATTTGAGTCCCATCGCGGTGGACCTAAGATTTTTGATATGCTCCTTCCTTAGTCTTCTTATTCAAAGGTTATCATTAATATGTTTTGTAAGGTAACTTTACTTGACTTTATTCCCATGATTCTTGAATAATTTCCTTCAAAATAAAAAAAAAATAAACACGCTCGAGAATCTCCAGGTGATTTTTTTTTGCAATTTTGTGACTCTCGTTTTCTTATATAACGCTTAAAACGCCCCAGATTATCATTTAAATGCATACTTTTCTGAATGTAATTAACTGACCTTAGGGCTCAAGTTTTTTACTAGCTACGTCCCACTAGTCAACTCGCATACCCAACAATGTTGCCGTTTTTTGTCCTTTAATTTCATGATTTTCAATTGTCAGCTAAACTGGAGACGTTTATTTTTACGGTTTATTTCAAAGTTTGATTGTTATTTGGTTTATTTTCTTAGAACGTTCTTAATAGTAATCAGAAAACTAGATAAAGTAAGAATAAGTGAAATTAATACCAAGTTTTGTGCGTTTTAATATAGGTTGTTTATTCTGTTATAATCACAAATATTTACTAGAGATTTAAAATTTGTTTAAAAATTAAATTCAAATATTTATGAAAATATATGACACTTTCTTGCGGAAGATCTTCCGGAATTATTTTTTTTAAATCTGACTATTTTATCGTTAAAAAGTCGCGATTTATCTAAATGACGTCATAATGTCAGTGCTATTTACATAGATAAATGAAACAAGTTTAGATTGGAAAGTGCCCATAAGGACAATGTAAACACTATTTGGCGCTATTCTTGCAACGGTGGCGACCCAAAGCTTTTGAAAACTTCGGAGCGGTTCGGCTTTTTCCGGAATTATATCGCCAAATATTATTTATTCAAATTTATTATTATTTTCTTTTAATTTTATAAATAAAATACAGTGTGTTGCATACAAGAAACTTTATTTTATATAAGGACATGTATGAAATACCTACGAAACATTGGAAACCGGCGTTATGCCACGATCCACGATGGTTTTTGCAGTTCGCAGTTCACAGCACAGCTTTTAAAGTTTTTAATGCCACTTTTTCACAATTATCCCGGGTTGGAGTAAACAAAACTTAAATTAAACTCACAAGATAGCAATAATTACTTTGAAAATGGACGCTATAAACAATTTTCGGAATTTGTTCAATGAGAGCGGTTTTGATTTTGAAAGATTTTTTAGACACTCTAAACTTGTTTCATTTATCTATGGCTATTTATTATTTACAAAAAAAACAAAACTCACATCTATATTGCATAGTAACATAAACGCACCCTGATAATTTATTAATTCGCAACAATGAAAGCCGAACTGGTAGATCCTTTTAAATCAATTATTCTATAGAGATTGGACATGAAACAGTTCTGCTGTTGGATAAAATTTTGTATGGCACTCGCGAATTATAACATGTAAGTCACTTGAGAAAATTAGCCTTAACTTATTTTAATTTAACATTCCGTAACGAGAGGCGCTAGTTTCGTACAAATTGGCGGGAAATAGAGTCTCACTCATACTTATTCTAAGATATTTGTTAAATATAGATATTTTTTAGGTCGATTGGTCATATACCTGGCAAGAACTGAAACAACCAGCTAGAGTAGTACCCAAAGGCGTATCTATTTCTACCGCAGACACGAAAAGAAGAAACTGTTTGGTTCAAACGATACTATAAAAACTATACTTATATCAAATCCAGCAACAAAAGAAGAGCTTTGCGCCAAAATTGAAGGATTACGTAGTGCCTAGTAGATTTTTAAAAAGTCTTGAATACATATATACATATATACATTTGCTTTCCAGTGCCTGTGGATAATTTTATAGAAAAAAAGTTATATATTATCAAAAGAAAAAATATATAACAAAAATAAACATTACTTTAATAGCTATATTTTTAAATATAGAAAATATCACATTTAAATTTGTTTTTCAACGTAGGATTGTTCATATTTGAATTTTATAATATATATTATACTAAAACCAACTTATTGACTACTATTTATATAAAAATATTTGTTTTTTCTTCTACTAAGTTTATGTTGATTAAGTATGTTCACTAGTCATTCTACTTGTACTGAGAATTTTATATACTACCGACTTATTTTTCTACAATTTGTTTATGCACAGTTGTATTTGGTACTTATAGGAAATATATTGTTTTCATATTTTTTGTCGTTTGTTTTACTATAATTTTACAGTTAAGAGAAAAAGTGGACCACCTTGAAGTGAAAAATATTACATGTATATGTGGTTGCCTGAACACAGTTCATTTGAATTCATGAATTGACAAACAGCTGATAAAGCGCTTGCGTGACAGATAATGAAGTTTCTTCTAACAAAACGTCAATAATTTTATTTTCCTTCGATGTTTCCCGAAGATTTAAAGAAAAACTAAAATTCTGTTCTTAATCCACGATTTTCCAATGACGTGTTCGCCCTGTCAACAACTCGAAATGTATATTTAACTTCGCTGAACTATTGTTTTTCAGGTAAATATTTCTGGAGTTTTAAGGCCATGTTGGCTTGGTTTGTTTTTCCATAATTATTATTTGAAAAGAACCTTCTTGTGTTTAAAAAAAGACAGACAAAGAGATTCGTGGGTTCCTGTTGGTTTTATAATGTTTATTTTATTGTGTTTATTTACCTAGCTTCAAAAAGGCTAGGGGTACTATTTAAGTTGTTTATATGAACATGACTGCATACTTAATGCATTAATTAGAAATTGAATAAACAATATCTCACGTATATCTACAACAAGGGGTATAAAGTGAACTTTTAATATTTGAGTTTAGAATTTAATTTATGTATTAATTTTTATGCCTATAGGTTTTTTTTACAAATACAACCATGTCAGATTTAAGACAGAAAGAAAAACAACTTGGGTCTCCAAGTACAGGAAGTGATGATGGCAACGAACCAAACGAACCAGTTGGGGCCCAAGCGAAAGAAACAGAAGATCCAGACTTGGGTGACTCTGCACATTATGCCCCAGCAGAGACACTCTGGTATCATGGTCGGCTTGACAGGTATATAAAGTAACTAAAATTAATTTTGGAGCATTTTTTTTAATGAACCATTTATAGGTATCAAGCTGAGGAGAGACTATGGAACTGCAACAAATTGGGATCTTATTTAGTGAGAGAGAAAGTGATCGTAAACCTGGATCTTATGTCTTGTCTTATTTGGGACGTTACAGAGATGAATCATTTCAGGTAGAGTATATTCTTTTATGATAAAAATATAATGTGCAATTCCAAAAATCATCTAATTCACTGTCTACCAATTAGCTTTGCATGTTTACATAAACATTTTTTAACAAAATTACATGTTTTTCTTTTTTCGACTGCACTAAGCACAATACAAGTGATAAAACTTTCACGGGTAAAACTTTTATTGTCTACTTTAGTTTTTAATCCGTTTTATCCAAGTTGTGTGACGTGTAAGGGGCTTTAATCTATTTATTGTCAATATCGCATAACAGTATGACTAATAACAATTAATTAATTAAAGGATTAAAAGGTGACAGAGGTAACAATAGGCAATGATTCATGGGATTCAAATAAAACATCCATAAAATTAAACAATTTATCTATGTTTTTATTACAAAGACAAATATTAACCAAGTTATTGAAATGTAATACCATATGTTCGAAAAAAAAAGTGTCAGAGATGGCTTGGAAATAAAGATTTAATGGGGAATATCGTAATTTTCAAGTCAACTGAACGCCGTTTTTTTTTTCGATTCTACAGTATTATAGTTAGCAAATCATATAAATTTGCACTTATTAAATGATGTAATTATATTGTATTTTATAAGAATGATTTTATTCTTAAATAAATATATTTGAGATAAATATTTATTTTTAGAATAACTGCTGTGTGTGGCGACTTTTATATTGGTGGTAGACAGTTTGTTTCCTTGAATGATTTAGTAGGATACTATACAGAATGTAGCGACTTATTAAAAAGAGAAAGATTAGTTCACCCTGTAGCTCCCCCCGAGCCTGTAAATGACAAAAAGGTAATTGTATTAATTTAAATATTTTTTTATCTTTTATAAATATACCAATTTTTAAAAAGACCCAAGCCTAGACTTCTTCTTAGATGCCTTGATTCAAATTGGTATTTATTTTATGTAATATTTTAAAAGGTAATAAAATAAAACTTAATTAATTAATTATCAACTAATTAATTAATTAATCGTCAACTACATAATTACCAATTAATTAATTAATTATCAACTTATTAATTAATTGTCAACTAATTAATTAATTATAAACTGTTTAATTATTTATCAACTGTTTAATTAATTATCAACCGATTAATTAATTATCAACTATTTAATTAATTAATTGGTAATTAAATAATTATTTAATAGAGAGTTGTTGCCATATTACCCTATACTAAAATGCCTGATACGGACGAATTGACATTTAAAAAAGGCGACATATTTTTTGTACACAACGACATGGATAACGGATGGTTGTGGGTGACAGCTCATCGTACTGGGGAGCAAGGTATCTGACTTTTAAGTTTTACAATGAACCTATTCTAATGAAATTTATTTAGGAATGATATTTAGAGAGCTGGTTGAAGATCTTGATGATAGCATCGATCCAAATACTGTTTTTCCCTGGTTCCATCCAAACTGTACAAAAAATGAAGCAGTTGATTTACTAGTAAAAGGTACTTATTGCTATAGATTTTTGTTACATACACTTTTTTTTTCGATCCTTGGCTGTTTCATCACAGATTGTCACACTTTCTCTTGTAGATGTTTATCATATGAAACGGATTTTCTTCGTCGTAAACAAAAGTCCATTTTATTTTTTAGATTGTACGATTATTTTGTCTTTTTATATACTGATCACTGATTACTATCCTTGCGGAAAAAAGAACTGGTTTCCTTGTCTAACGTGCACGAATAGAAAAAGACGAACATCGTCTTAGTTAGGGTCTTAGTATTAAAAGCTGAAAACTTATTGACCAATTCAGGAAATACGTGAAAACCAACATGGCGTCAAAAATGATGACGTAACTTGTCAAGGATCGAAAAACAAGTGGCGTAAAATCAAAATTAGTGTAGTAAAATGCTCGAGAATTTATCTTGGAGAACGTTCCTTGAGAAACGAGCAACCGTCGAGAATTAGCGTAATGAAAATAGGTTAGAAAAAAAATCAGTATCATTTTTAAATTTAAAACTCAATTTTCTCGTCTTTTTCTTATTATTCTCGAGAAAAATGAGAATTTTGAGAACATTTAGAACAAAAAGAAAAAAATTGGCGCCGGGCGGCACGTATAGCCGCCCATACTAAAATATTATGTTAATAAAAAGTTGGTAGACAGTTCTTTTAGTTTCAAAGTAAAGGAATTTTTCCAATTTTTTTTATCTCAAAAGCTGCGACTTTGACTGATTTTGATGTTATTACAAATTTTGTTGCAAATATTATTCCTAATCTTAAATTGAATATCGCGTTTCGCTAGCTACTGTAATTTTGGAGTTACGATTTTTTAAAATTTTTAACCCCCTCCCATACCCCCTCCTCAAACCCCACCCCCACCAAAAACTAATGGTCAGATTCTCGGGTGCCACAGTATTTTTGTGCCAAATTTGGTTAAAATAAGTTTAGCGGTTTTTGAGTTATCGTGTTACAGACAAACAGACAGACACCATGAAAATATTTTGTATTTAAGTCATTTATGTCATATATTACCCATACCTATTGGTATGGGCGGCTAAAAAAGAACAAATAAGTATTCAAAACACGTTATCTGTTCTGAGCATATTTATATTCTATCATACTGTATTCTGGAAAATTCGGCAGCATATTCTGCAGATAAAAGTAAGTAAAAAAGTTCGTATATATGTTTTACTCGATTATAAGTTATTACTGTTCACAACAGTTAAAACGTTAAAACACATGTAGGTGGCGCCCCCTACAGATAGGAGTAACCAAATCAAAATCAAATTTCTCATGTCAAAAAACTCCCAGACACCAGTTTTCATCCAAATGTTGACGTTACTTCAGAAATTATTTGGAAAATATCGAAATAAAATTGAAACTTCTACACCCTGTATCTCTGAAATTAAGTATTTTAGTACATACATTTATACGAACTTTTTTATTTATTTTTATATGCAGAATATGCTGCCGAAATTTCCGGCATACAATTCGGATCACCCTGTATAATAAAGGTTTAATAATATCCAAATCTCCGTACTCCTAATTTCGGCGACAAAGAAGGGACTGTAATTTTACCGGTGTTATCACGTTGTCTTTTGCTAAATATCTATACAATATGGTAATACAATATTACCATATACAATAATAATTATAAAGGATTATAAGTACTATAGAGAAAGTACTATTTTTGTAAAAAGCTTATGCTACTTAGACTCAAAGATAAAGACTAACGTTAAAAAATGTTTATAGGGAACATTTTAGTTTGTACTCATACGTGCTCTTATAAGGGAACGTTCCCTCGTTACGTTTGGGAACGTTCCCATATCTCTCTATTACAACCCTGAACATAGTTAATTAGATGTGTATTAAATATTTCTAGCCGGTCCAGGAAGTTTTTTGGTGAGGCCTAGCGATAATTCTCCCGGTGATTATTCGTTATTCTTCCATATCAACAACCAAATTCAGAGGTTTAGAATCGAGAAGAAAGGAGTCAGATATCTCATGGGCGGTAGAATATTTGAATGTCTAGATGCGGTGATAAATAGATATAGAAAAGAACAAATTGTAGAAGGCTATACTTTACAACACCCTGTAAGTAGTTTCTCTGCAAAAAAATTGCTTTATATTCATCTAATTATGTTATTTAGCTGGTAGTTGACGGTAGCAAACAACTTGATTGGGTTCCTGAAAACCAAAAAGCCAAATCAGAGGCTGAGAAAATTTATGCTACTCTAAGAGAATGCAGGGATCAGGCTGGTTTGAAGAAAATGAGGGGAATCAAGGTAAAAGTTTTATTTTTTCGATGCTAAATGTTTTATTAATGTAATATTGTATCCTAGCATCAAGGTTACTTGCTTAGGAAGTCGGACAAAGGTGCCAAAAAATGGAAATTGCTTTATTTTGTGTTGCTAGTCGATGGAACAGATACCCATCTGTGTTTCTACGAAAATCCAAAGAGAACTAAACCCAAAGGGCTTATAGACTTGTCCTGTGCATATTTGTATCAGGTTAGTAGTTTCTCTTAATATACAGGTGTGCCAAAAAGTTTGCAAAAAACGCATACCCGATAACAAAAAAATAATGTTAACATGTCATATGCCAACTGATGCCAAAAATGAGGTTATGTGAGAAAATATTGAATTTTCATGTTCTTTTCTCTTGTTTTTTTGTTTGCTTTTTTTATTTAAGTTGTATTTTTTTTAAGGTTCATGACAGTCTTTGGGAAAAGCCTAATTGTCTTCAAATTGTCGAACGCGCCCTGCCATGTCTAGCTACTGCCACCCATTTGTCAGGTCGTTCTCCAGAAGAGTGCCAAGAATGGACCAACGCTCTAAAGCCTTTGTGTGTACCACAGTTAAGCAGAGCTACTGCCAAGGTATTGTGTAATAGGAGTAGTTCAAATGTATCAGAAAATTTTGTGGTGTCATAGCTCGTCAAATATAGGATCATATGATGATATGCGAATTTCTCAAAGCAAAGCTTCTCAATGGATACACAGTAAACATTAAGGGATCGACAGAGAGGTTTACTTCGTATCTATTTCTACAGGGTGATCTAATAACAAAAAAAAATAGAAAATGTCAATTTTTTCATAAATTTCCCTTATTGAGGTGTGTTCAAAATATTAATACACTGTATTAATCAACCAATTACGCACATTTTTACTCCAGATCATTTTTCATTATTTTCAAAAAGAAAGTAATGGGGGAAGGTTAAACATTTTTACATTCAAATGATTATATCTCCGTATTTGATTAACCGATTTTAATGGAGTTAGTTTTGAAAAAAAAATTGTCTTTTGCTCTAGTCCAAGACTGTTACCATAATGATCTTATAAGTACCTTGATATATCATCCTATATTTGAGGAGTTATAAAATGGCAATTTTATATACTTTTTTTCTGATATTTTATATTGGAAAATTTGTGAAACTAAACTTGTATATTATATGTTGCAGGCGCATAGAATAATCCGGCTTTTTGCAAAAAGACTAGACATGTTAAAAAAAAGCCTATCTTTTTTCGGTCACTTTGCAAAAAGCCTAATCAGAATTAGACATATTAAACAATGGCAATATTTTCTGTACACTTCTGCAAATAGAGTGCCTGTTTTCAGTCGTTTTGCCAAATTGTGGCCAGGCAGATTAAAAAATGATCAAAGTTTAGTCAGTTCTGAGCATAGGCATATTGAATAATTTAGGCTTTAATAAAAATACGCCATATTTTCCTATACAAAAACAATAATTTATGTCAAAATTTTATTTTGTTTAGACGAAAACAACTTGAACCCTATTTCATAAATTATAATTATAAGTAACATAATTTTAAATACAAAATATATTAAAACCTTAATATTAATATCGCTCCTACAAAAACTGCTAAACAGATTTTTTTCGCTGTGTAATTTTTGGAATACTTTTATTTGCTGATAAGCTGTTCATTTATATTCCTGAGAGTTTAAGCATAGCAATATTTTCTGTGATATTTTAAAAAGTAAAAAGTTTCCATACTTTTGGCCACCACTGTATACTTAATACCATTGCTCCAGGTCCCTAGATTGAGGGAATTGAGATGTCTCACCCTTCACATCTTGGACGCCCATAGGTTACCATACAAACTGGTGCCTTTACCATACGTTACAATACAGTTTAATGGCCAAGTACGTATCGCCAGAACAAGAGCAAAGAGTACACCAGATCCAGTTTGGGACGAGGAGTTTGCTTTTGAGCAAGTTTTATCAAAATTTCTAAGTTCTTAGTATTAATTTATGTTTGTTTTGTAGTGATGTACCCTGTGATGTGGTCTCATTTTCACTCACAGTTTATAACAAAGGGAAGAGAGGTAAAGATACTGAAGTTGCCGAGCTACAAGTGGAGTTATCTGCTTTAGGTATTGTGTTTATTTTTTCTTGTTTATTTTTTAAATTGACAATTTTATTTTGTTTTAGGTAATGGAGAAGAAAGAGAAGAATGGTATTCGCTTTCCGGCCTTACCCCAATGGGAGAATGGGGTTCACTAAGACTGAGAACACGGTAAATATGTTTTTTTTATTGAAAATTATTATACCATATCGGGCAAGAGAAGTCTTGGGTCGGTATTTACATGGCTTATAATCGATACCAAATAAACTTTAAGTTACGTCATCGAGGGCGCGATTATTAAATTCATTGTTGCCAATCATTGACATATTCGGCGCCGGGCTGACTAACTGGAATTTAAATTTCTCGCTTGCTATTCAGTTGGTAGCTGTGCTGTAAAAAATGTCACGTTGCCATATTTATTTATTTACTTCCTGACATTTTGATTCGTTTTGACCAGGGTTGGGTAGGTAGAAAATTCTTTATATTCTACCATATTTTCTACACGTAGAAAATTAATTTTCTACATTTTTTACATGTCCAGATGTAGAAAAATCGTTTTGTATATTGTAAGCCTTTTTTTGAGTTTGTATTTATTTCAAATACTTTAATCACAACGATTAGTACAGGAAATAAACTAATAATGATATCTCTAATTGTTACTTATTATTTACAAATGGATATAATATAGTATGTCAAAAAAAAGCTTAACTATTAACTTTCATATTATTCTAAATTGAAATGTACAACGGGAGGATGTGTGACAGTGACTGTTGTGTCGTTATAATTCACAGGCATATCGTATTTTCTGTCATTTTCTGGATGTCGTCTGTCGAAATTTTCCTTGATTTGTTACACACTATAGTCTAAGTTTACAGATATCTTAAAAGGTTTTTGATAGTAAGATCAAAGTTTACAGAATAATTATATGTAATTCTGTAAACTTTGGTAAGACTCAAACAGAACAACAAAAAAATAACATCAAACATAATGAAAGTAAGAACTACAAACTACAATAATAATTATTATATGTATATAGTTTATGAAACCACAGGCTGTCTATGGTAAAATTAAAAAAAAGAACAACGAAAACTTTCAAAGAAAAAAAAATCAGACTTTTCTGTACGGGCTTCAGATTAAACAGAAAAAAAATATTCTAATAGTCTTCAAATCAATTACTGTCTCTTATCTAGGGGAGTTAGTACCGTCACAGAATAGAGAGATAGCGCGCCCGCACATATATTACAGTTTTAACACTTATAGAATTTAAAGAAAATAGAAAGGAAAAAACCTGTAAAGTAAAAAAAACGACATTAAATTAACAAAATTAATTTTGTACCTGTTCTCAGATTTTTGTACATTTTCCACTTCATATTCTACGTTTTCTACGCATTTTTCTACATACAGGTAAAAAATTAATTTTCTACGCGTCGCCGTCGTTACCCAATCCTGGTTTTGACACTTTAATTTTGTATTACGAGTTTTCGGTTTAAGTGAATTTGTAATATTTTAAGCTTAAACTCTTTTACCAGAGACCTTGCATATTCATAATTAATTCATTTTTAATTCCTAAAATATTTTGATCAAAAGAAAATATGTAAAAGTCGGCAACGCTGTGCCGGTCAATCTTAATCACGTGACTAAATGTTTATTTGATATGATCTATAGGAGTGAATCGCTATGGCGATCTTTAAGCAAGTGTTACTGCATAAAAAATCCAAAATTTTTTCTAATTAATTTTAATTTTTTTCGTAGCTACTTACACGACCTAGTTATGCCTGCCGAGGAATACAGCCCTTTGCAGCAACTTTTATTAGAGTCAGGCCTAATATCCGTTAAAACCCTTGCGGAATTGTGTCATGCAGATAGAGCTCCTCTAGCCACAGCTCTTTTGAGAGTATTTAGGTATTTTATAACAAAAAAACCGTTTTACAGCTCTATTTACTCAAATATTCTACTTTATAGAGCGGAGGGTCGTGAGACCGAACTTTTGAGAGAGCTAAATTCCGCCGAAATAGCCAGGGAAACTGAGACAAGTACTTTATTCAGGGCCGCGTCTCTGTCTACCACTCTTATGGATTTGTATATGAGGGCAGAATGCGGAGGATTTCTACAAGTAAGTTTTTATAGTAGGAATGGGAAGAATTTTTCACGTTTCATAAAATAAAAAAAACGGTGTCAGAGTAGCCTTCAAAACGACATTCTATGATAATTCCTTTTTGTCGCGTGGTCTTAATATCTCAGTAAAGAAGTATATTACTTATAAATATATAAAGAATAATAAACAATACCTTTTTGTCCATATTTGTATGTTGTCTGTGCTATAAAATTTAAATTTATTTCTTCAAAATGTCATATACACCCAAGAAAGTTAGTGTCAAAGACAGAGGCGATCAGATAATCGAATGTCTGATGTTTTCAATAATAATGAAGCGAATTTACTTATCGACATTGAGTATACTGGTTGATTCGTACTTTGAGTATTAGCCCTAATCTTTCCCTTAACATTTTCTCTAGAAAATTAAGCTTAATAACTTAAGGAAATGCCATTCATACTTCTCCTACTTGTCTTAAGAATATTCTAGTGTGTGCTTGTGATCATAAGAAACATTTTAGAGTTTTAAGCTAACCTAACTTTACAGATATTTTTAGAATTTCTAAAACTATAGGGACTAATTTTCACAATACTATCATTCACTTGTTTGTGAATAAAAATCAATCATTTCTAGACCAAAAAGTAGATAATTTATTAACATTTATAAACCGTTAAATTGAACATGTCAAATATTATTTCGAAAATTCCTAAAATATCTAGTTTTGAGCACGCGCAATTTAGTGTTTTGTATTAGCATTAACCCTAAGAATATAAAATATTCCATATTTCCTAGAACCGCTTAGGACTAAGGCTGATGTTAATATTCGTTAACGTTGATTCATATTCTTGAGATATGAATCAACGTTAGAGAGTATTGGGAACCAAGTAATTTCTATTTCTGTGTTATAGGCGGCTGTCCTGGAAATTGTTTTGAGACTCTTAGAAAGTAAACAGTCGGCTGAACTTAACCCTGCAAAAATGGACTCTTTAGATGACGCCTGTAATAATGCTGAATTCTTACTTCAGGTAAAATTTTCCACAGACAATTTTTGAAAAATATATATTTTATCATTTGGAAAATTGTTAGGTTTTGGATCAGGTGACTCTGAGTATATTCACGTCTCCAGACGCATGCCCAAGGCCTGTGAGATACATTTGCGGCTGTCTTCAGAAAGCTGCGGTGGCAAAATGGCCCGATGAGAGGCACGTGCGGACCAGGGTTGTATCCGGTTTTGTTTTTCTACGGTAAGAATGTAGTTTTTTGTTTCTTAAATTCTTATTGTTAAATATCTCTAGGAATCTGTCATTGTTATATAAATATAACAATTCAGTAACATTCTATTTGTCATTAACAAATATTAGTTCAAATGTACCAACGTCACTTTTTACTAACTAAATACTATTTTTAGATTACTGTGTCCAGCATTACTTAACCCAAGACAGTTTGGACTGGTTAGCGAACAACCCAGCCCATCAGCAACAAGAAGCCTAGTTATGGTAGCGAAATGTCTACAAAATCTGGCTAATTTAGTCGAGTTCGGCGGCAAGGTTTGCATTAAATAAACATGTATAATTCTTATTTTTAATTTCGAAATATCTAGGAACCTTATATGGAGGTTGTGAATCCCTTTATTCTGAAAAATAAGGAACGGATGGTGGTATTTTTGGACCAACTGTCCGCGATAGGCGATCCGGGGGAACCCAGGATCATATCCAAGCCTGATACAGCCAAAGAACTGGCAACGCTGCACCACATATGCGTAGCTCACTTGACCGAGTTACAAGCAGTTGCCAAAGTAAGTAAATATATTTTTATCTATTTAGTGCATTATTTATTGTAGACTCAATAGAGATATTTTAAAAATATCTTTATGGGTTTTTCATATTAATTTTTTTAAAAATCACCTTATATTATTCGGCATATTACTACCAGAACTATGGCTCGATAGAAAGCCCTAAGCTTGATTTTTATGCGTCCGTTACCCGTTGATCCGACGGCACTCTGATTGGTCATAGCGTTTTCGCGCCACTTACTTTTCATCTGTAATTTTTTTACTCCAGCCTGTCAACGGAGAAAGATTGTACGGTAACGGACGTTTTGACACTTTCTTGACAAATGTAACCTAACCTTAATAAAAATATAACAGTAAACAAGGGGAAAACATTCGGGAAAACAAGAATTTTAAGAAAACTATAATATATCTTTTGCTATGCTCTCGAAGTGCGGGAAATCTGGCTGCCGCGCCGGTAGACCGCGTTTTACTACTGCGCATCACATCTGTACAGTTTATATTCTGATAGTAAAGTATTAAACAATTGTGGTGATTCACAAAAAAAAATACTTTACGATAGCTTTACTATCAGAATATAAACGAAAATAAAATAAAAAGTCTGCCCTGACCCGGATTCGAACTCTGAATCCTCGGTTCGTGGTCAGAAACTCTACGCACTGCGCTATGGAGACATGTTCGAATTATATTCAATACTAGAATTTAAAGGACTAATAAAAATATAGGATGTTCTTTCCTCATGCTATTCTAGAGAGCATAGTAAAAGATATATCAAAGAGCCAGACGTCTTAAAATACTTGTTTTTCCGACGTTGCTGGCTCTGGTATTATGAACAGAGGCATGAAAATGCAATGTCTTTAAATTCAACCTATAAAATTAATATCGTATCGTCGGACAACGGATGCATGTAAATCAAGCTTTAGGCAGGGTGTATCATATTAATAAAAAATACTTTGTTTTTAAGGTTAATCAGTCAATTAAAACGTTAGTGACGGTCACAGAAATGCTGGCCAAACACAAACAGAAGTACCTGGAAATGATCAGGTAGTTAATAATGGGTCAGAAGAAGTTGGAAGTTGCCAAGCGGCAATTCGAGGCCGATGCTTAAATCAAGTTCCACATCTAGACAGTTACTTTCCCAGAAAAAAATCTCAGGTAGTAGCATAGGCTGATAGGTTAAGTAAATTCTAAATTTCGCATAAAATAAGCAAAAGGAAAAAATGAGGAATACTAAAAAGGAACCTACTCTTAAAGTATAAGAAAATGCGCGCACAGAAATCTCAGTGTAAAATTACAGATTAGTTAGTTTAGTTTAGAGTACTGGAACTTCAATCTCTTGTCTGGTTTATGCCTAGATCGTATATACTTACATGGATAAGTAAATCATTATGGAAACTGTCGCAAACATATCAACGACTTCCATTTATCTTCGTTTTTTGTTGCACACGCGGTGCTTCTACTCTATCTATGCTTGTCGAGGACCTATCGTCCGCGCGCCAAATTTGAACATTAATTTTAAAAATTTAATTTGTAAAATGCTTATATTGGAACAATAAATTGAATGTTTACTGTCACAAAAATTAAATTATATAAAAAAATACATTTAGCCACTCTGTACGAACATCAATATTCTTAGGACATCTAACCAGAAAGTATGCACGTGGCTTAATATAAATAAAAGAGCAACTGAATACTTTACTTGCCTATGAAAAGATAATTCGGGGACCTTTATATAGTCTATAAAATGAATAACTTTGAATTTTGACAGTTATTTTTTACCAATATGGCAAATATAAAATCCCTCTGTCAAAAAAGTTACTGATATTCTTTAAATTGACTGCCTGAACGAATCAGATAGGTAACTCTTTTTACTTTCGTGAAATAGAAAAAGAAAATAATAAAACAAATGACAGTCTCTTCCTCTTCTTGCAAAAATCAACACAAAATGTCATAATTGACAAAAGTAAAATGTCATCAGCTTTTGACATTTCTAAATATTAGACCAATGCCGTCTCTAATAGAACAGCCACGGAGCGAGATTTATGACGTCACGCTGGTTAGATACTACGTATTAATAAATATGTTGTAGAATACATGGAAAACATAATTATTCCTCGTATTTTTGGTTTGTGTTTTAAAAATGATATAGTTTACATGAAATATACATAATATAAGTTAATAAATACAATATAATATATACCTATTTATAGTAATAAATCCTTTGGCAAATAAACTATGAACCATACAAATACAGCAAATGTTTTACAATATACAAATAATGAATAGGTGGTACATAAGATAATGGGTAAAATGTAAAATATATTTTAAATTTAGGGTTTGAAAATCGATCTAATTTAACAAAAAACATTCAATATCTACTAATAGTGATGTATTATTTTTTGCATTCACAAAATTTATTTATATATTATAATGTTTACTGCAATTAATAAACTAATATAAACTTGTCAAAAGATGACCACATATTTTTTAAAATTATTATTCTTATCACAACAACTATCTACATTGACTATGGAATACGATTTCAGCCATATTGTAAAACATTTGCTGCATTTGTATGGTTCATAGTTTATCTGCCAAAGTATTTATTACTATAAATAGGTATGTATATATATTGTATTTGTTAACTGTATATTATGTATATTTCATGTAAACTATATCATTTTTTAAATACAAACCAAACATACGAGGAATAATTATGTTTTCCATGTATTCTACAACATATTTATTAATCCGTAGGATCTAACTAGCATGACGTCATAAATCTCGCTCCGAGGCTGTTCTATTAGAGACGGCATTGCGTCAGCAGGGCCGCAAGTTGCTAACCTAATAAAATTAACACTAGAAAAGCCCGCGGGAACTGTCAAATTCAAAGTTATTCGTTTTACAGACTATATTAGAACTTTCACACACTAAACACTTTCTAGTCATTTTTACGAGTATTTAGAAAGTCCAACGAAAAAAATAAAAATATAATTGCACAAATTTAAAATAAACTTCTCACTGAACACATTCTTGTATCCTTGGCTATATAAAAGTGGTCGATAAAAGAGTAATTAATACAATTTTTAAATTAAAAAACGCAAAAAACAAGCGTCGTCACACAATGGAAATAGCTTTGTTCGGGTTCTTGTTATTACCGATTCTGAACCGTCCTAGAACTGTGATGCTTCTGCGCAGAAGGAAATATGAAGACATTATTTCATTTGCGCATGCGTTGCAGAGTTCTAGGACGGTTCAGAATCGGTAATAACAAGAACCCGAACAAAGCTAATAAGATTATGACATGATTATGACAATATAATGACAATGAAAAGTTGGTTTCCATAACAATGTATAATTTGTACTTTCTACCGTATAAAATTGTGATTATTTTGGAAATACGTACAACTTTTAATTCGCATGCGCAAAGTAAGGTCCTCGAGAAAGACATACCTATTGAACGTTTCATAAGTGCAATAAAGAAGGTTTGAAGATGGCATGTCGTGATGTTGGAGACATATTTTTTAATACTAAACTTATGGCGTTGATTTATCCACGTAAGGTATATATGATCTAGGGGTTTATGGGCTATGCAACTGGGCAATTGGCAGAAAATATTAATTAGTTTTCGGTAGTTTTCCTGAAGGATATCTCAGTAACTTAACATACAAAATATACTCATAAATATACTCATTTTGACAGATATAGAGTCAATATCGGTTTGTCAAAATAATCTGTATCTATACCGTGGAGGGCAGAAAATCATCAATCAAAATAATTTAAATATACTCAAATCAAAACATAGTTATCAGCTAATAGTTAATAAAAACTTACTTTAAGAGTATGTTTCCAACATTTTTGTGATTTTAGGCTAGTTCTATAAAGTAAAACGCAATAAAATTAGGATAAAACATTTAGGCTACATTTCTGTGTTGCTCTTTGGACTCTCGCAAATCAATCCTGTCTAGATGTGTGAATTTTTTCTCTTCAAAAAAAAACAAGGAATACGAACTTCAAAAAAAAACATTTCGTTTAAGTGAAAATGAGATGTTTCACCATTTAACAAATATAAGACTGTATATTCCCATTCTAAGTCAGTTATATTTAAATAATTAACCCTTTTTACTAAAAAACAAATATGGTTTATTCATTTATTATATAATATTATATAAAATTACTCATAAATACCCCCTTAGCATGAGCCGCATTTATGATATATTATCTGTTTTAAAAGAAAATTTTATTGCTCATTGGATGGTTTTGTAGATGTATATTCTGCGAACGGTTTTTGCGTTGATATATAGCTTTAAACTATAAGTTTATGCGAGGTTGGTATTTAGCAAGGATATTAGAAATATGAAAGGAACTAGTTGAAAAAAAAAACGGCGTCATAGTGACTTTCAAAATGACAGTCGATTATAATTTAACCGCTATTAAAAATTGACGTAAAAAATTGCCTAAAATTCATTTATTATATAATAATTTAGAAAATTTTCTTTTCAATTTAAATATTAATTTTTGAAAAGTCTATATGCTATAAGGGCAGGCCCAATAGAACATTGTTATTTAAAGGGCACTATGACACGTTTTTTTTCGAGCCTATGATGTAATGTTATATAAGTTTACCTGCATTTCTTTTTTTGTTTTTGTTTTTTTCATGGACTTTTCTGTCTGATTGAAAAATAATTAAAATTTATTACTTATTAGATATAATTTTATAAAAAAAGTTCAGAAGCATTGAAAATATGTGCTTCATTACTAACCATATAATTTTCTCTGCAGGATTGTTTAAATTTATACGTAAAAATTATTATCAAAAATAACTTACTAACCAAAATTAGTTTAATTAATGACATTCCATTTGTCTAATTCTGGATTATCACTTTGATATTTGTTTATATAGATATACTTAAACACTTTTTATTTCTTTGATTTTTTAATTTGACAATTAGAAATTAATATATCGAAAAAATATTCTATTTTTTTATTTATTGTAATAAAAAATAGAAGACTAAGAGATTATTGTGATATTATTAAACATAAATTTAAACAATCCTGTGTCTCTTTTGTAGGCTTTTATGCGTATTTCGAATCTCAAAGAAATATACACTATATATCCATAACCTATTTATTTGTTATAGCGTGTCATATTATTATTAGGATGTAAAATCTGTACTTGTACTCCCGCATTTAAAATAATGTAAGATTATTTCGACAATTTTCTACGACTCATGTGTTTCTTTTTATTTTTTTGTAACGATATAAAAAGATGTTCATTTTATACATATTTAGATCTTATTAGAGAGGAATAAAATAAATATGTTACTTACATTTTTGACGACTTATATTTTTATTTAATCTAAAAATCACAATAATTGGAATGCTACACATGTTACATACCTTACTGACTGGTGCGATAGCCCAATCTATGTCATCAAATTATATATTTGAGCCTATGATACTTCATTATTAACTACAGGCCTTGTAACTATCTATCTCATTTATGGGGATAAAGTTTTATTTAAATAAAAATCACAGAGGAAGATAATAAAGATTTAAGTATATACTTCTCACGTAACTACTCCTTGTATACCGTGCTGGCAACTGTTACTTTTGGGTCGGTATTTACATGTGTGGAAGTAAATCGCATAGGGATCTTATTAAGTCGGAGTGAGAGAAATGTGACGGTGTGCTGTTGCCGCGTTGCCGGTACGCCTTTCCATATCAAGTAAAGTAAAATCAAGATCGCAAACTGCTTATTTTTAAAAGACTTTTTTCGAAAAGGTAACTAGATAAAATCTTTAGATATGTTTCTGAGCAAGTGAAATGGAATTATTAGGGATATCGTTAGGGTGTCCATTTTTTTATAACAAAAAAACATCAGTAATCGCGATAATTTAAAAACTCAACTTTTTAACACATAACACGTCATAACTTAAGAATAACTCTAGATATTGAAACTTTTTTTTACTTTGAAGATCGGATCTTTTACAATATGTTTAAATAAGAAAAATTCGATAAGGTTTTGTTTTTTTTTCCATTCAAAAATTTTAAACAGCACATCCATTTATTTTTAGTTCACATCGGGGTGCATAACAATTTTCAGCAATCATGTAACTTTTTTATTTATAAAGATTTTCACATATCTACTGTCTGCGAAGAAAATATAGCAGAAATATTAAGAAAGTTTTTGAAAAAACTACAATCAATTATTTCTAAAAAATTTCGAGATATCGAATTTTGAATTCAGTTCTAATCTTAGATTAAGAATAAAAAGTTCTAATAGCGCGATCACTGTCGAACACCAACTCAATTCCAATTGTTTTTACCAAAAATGCAAGTGTTCCTAACTTAAACTTAAAAATTTTTGAGCTCTAGGGCAAATTAGGACTCGTTAATAAATAAACAAAGTATCAAGGAGACGTAATTAAATCGTGAAGCTGAACGCATGGTGTACACCTTTCCCTAGAACTTTAAGTACTGACAGAGGTACTGATTGGGTCGACCAGTTGACTGCGCCAAATCTGCTATATCTATCCCCTTCCACGTCTCTTAGCAATGTGCACAGTTTTCCGGTTTATTTCATGCGTTTAGCAACGTGTTTACTGTTCTCTCTTTGTTCTGTACATTATAAACGCATTGTACTCTTCTTACATACGGAAATATCGACCCAAGACTAACCTTTGCCAGCCTTTAGTATACTAGCCCTGGCCACTGTTTCCGTGGTCTGTACTTTAATGCATATGACAGAGATAAATATATACCACCAGTTAGCAGACAGAGACAAAATAAAAAGCGGCATACAGTGTTGCCGGTTCGTACGAGAAATAAAATAATAAACGAAGATAGTGTATCTAAGCTATTCTAGACAGTTCTTTAATAATCTATTACCAGCTGTAGTAAAATGAATAACTAATTGTGAAAAATAAAGTTCCAACCCTAGATGCAACATTTTCGTAATCACCTACATGTACGGTTTGAAATTTTGATGCAAAATGTATCCATCTAACTTTTATCTCTTTTTAATACATTTGATTTTTCATTTAAGCTGACTACATCACTGTCTTACACATTAAAATCCAGACCAGCAGTTTTAATGACCAGATCGGTATAGTATAGTACTCTGTCATATTTTGAAAAGTTACATGATAAGAACCATACTTATAGAAAATCTATAGCATGAGTAGGAAACCCTTTCAATTCCCATACTGTTCCCGCTAGTCTTCTAGCCTGCTCCAGCATACCAGAGGGCGTTGTCAGTCCTAAATGCACACAAAATAATTCGTAGCATTTAATTTTCGAAGGCGACTGCTTTGGAAAGTACGTTTTTTTCAGTCTCCTAGAAAAAAAATCTAATTTTAACAAAAAAAATAAAATTTATCAAGGTACGTATTACAGAAAATAATCATCTTCTAATATACCAGGATTGTGGTTCATTGGACCTAAATTTGTGGGTGTTTTTATTGGTCCGCCGCTGTGGTTCTCGAACCATAAAAAATAGCCGTAGGTAAAGGTTGTATCTTTCCAAATGATACTGGTATATCCTTGTTGCAAATGGCGTTGACCAAAAGAGATCATCAACCAGATCTAGTAAAAAAAATTGTATAGAATGTTCAGCCATCGTTCAACGTCACGTCATATATTGTCGAACTCTTTCAATCGCTTGCTAACCAGATGAAAGAGATTGGTGACGTCATTACGGCATTTCGTAAATTACTGCATATTGTTTTTAGTAATTGTCATTGTCATTTGACTTGGGGTTATAATTTTATTGACGGACCTCGATCAATATTAAAATTAAAATTTGATTGTTGCTGTAAAACAAAATTCAATTTTTTTACTGCAAAAATGCCTCAAAGATTTAACCAAAATGAACAAGAGCTCTTTGCTAAGCTTTTATATTATTTTTCTCGAGAAAGAGACGCTGATAAATACAATGCAAAGGTGTAATCTTCCTATGTAAAATACAAATTGATAGCGTTTTAAAATAACATAGCGAGTTGCTGATGCTTTAGAAATAGGAATTTAAACAGTCCAAAGGATCGGAATTAAAGGGATCGTAACTGATGAAGAGTTCAAGATAAAATGAACAAATGCCGAAAAAAAACGGAACTCGCTGACACTTCAAAGAACCAATGAGAGTTCTCTAAATTTAAAATTGACAGCTGTTTGAATTTTGTACAAATCTCATCAATGGGTTCATTTGACGTGTCGCTGGCGACACTCATATTTGGCAAATAGGCGAATAGAGGGTTTAAAACTTATATTTGACAAATAATGATGACGTAACGCTGAACGATGGCTAAACAGTCTTTATAAAAATATTTCATTTTATTCATCAATGATATATTTGAATCACGAAATGATTATAGTCTGCCCCAATGACTAGAGAATCCAAGGACAAATAACACCCGAGAGCAAATTGTGACGATGTCACCAAACAGTGCCGTAGCACATATTTTTCTTAACCTAGCTGTTTGAAGCAATATTTATATTTCTTGATAATTGTTTTGACTACGCCTATGGTGTATCATCCTAATTAATTACGAAAAAATGTATTAAAATGTTAACAAAAGGTACAAAACTAGTATCGACATATAGCACATATCAAGTACATATAGATGTTAATTGAAATTGAAGAATAATTATCGAATTCAATAAGAAAACGCTAAAAAGTTGGAGTGGACTGTTTATTTACCTATGAAACGTAACTCCTGACTCTTTCTTATGGCTGCTGCTTTTACACTTGAAAGCTGAACAACTAATCACCATTGTAATAAAGTTTATACAAAGTTTACTACACACAAACTATTAAAAATCGCTAAAATTGTCGCTGGTGACCAAATGATGACTCATTGTTTGCCACCAAAAAGAAGGTCTCTAAGGTCACAAATTCTGCTGCAGCCCGTATAGGGGCGTTACATGTCCTTATATTCTTTAGTCATTGGTCTGCCCAAAGAGAGGATTCTTGACAGTAACAGTTGTGTGTGTGTCATTCTAATTCACAGGCAAACGATATTTTCTGTCATTTTTCGAATGTTGTATGTCGAAATACTTCCCTGACTCTTTGGATAGACTTTATAAAATATAGTTTAAATATTATACAGTGCTTTTATTTTAACTGTGAACATAGGCGTCAATCATTGTAATTTGTAAATTATTCGCCTGTTATCAGTCCATAACCAACCTTTATCATCCATTGATGAAATACCGACAGGCAATACTGTTTTTTTGCCGAAAAGTTAATAGACATGAAATAAAATTCAAAATATTTCTTTTCATCGAAATTTAGGATTTTTTGGTAATTTTTTGAACTAGAACTAAAAGATGTTCATTTTATACATATTTTTGGCTAAACAAAAAAAAATATTTTAAAACAAAAAATATTATTTGTTGTGTGAATATTGGTTGCATACTCACTCAAATGCAATTCATTGGGTCTTACGAATAAAAGTTAAGCAAATGCTTTTACTTAAATTTCTTGAAATAGACTTATACAATTTGTAAACAACCAACAAAGATAGTTCTATAGAAAAAGCAATTGCTTCTCTTTATTCATCAGGCCCATTGACTGTTCCGCTTGAAAAATGAACATACTTAGCAAAATAGCGTTGCACTGTGTTCAAAATAGCGTTGCACCCTATGTTCATAGTTAAAATAAAAGCACGGTATAGTTAAAATGTCAAAAAGTAACAATCGTCCATATAAAAATTAATCAGAATAGGTGTCCAGCAAAAGAATATCACAGTGATAATTGCTGTTTGTTATTTTAATTCAAAATAAGTTATTTCTTTAGTAATCTTTTGGATGTTATCTGTCGAAATTATAAAAATTTCGCTAGAAAGACTATACTTACCTTCTTTTTCATAAAGTCAGCTTTGTCGGTGGTTAGGTCCAGAGTAGGCGTAGTGACCCTGTGAGTATTCCTGTCCACGTAGAGAAAATGAACAAGTCCTGGGAAGTCTTCCATATACTTATTAATGGTTAGGGAATTTCTAGTACAAATTTATTAAGGGAACAACACTTTTAATGTTAGTATACTATCTTTAACCAAATATTTAGTTTGGCGTGAATTGTGCATGATCTTATGTATGGAAAAATATATTTTATAGGTCAAAAAGGATATGATCCTAGGGTGAAGTTCTTCGTCCCTTTAACTTTGAAGAAGTCAGTGAAAACTTCCAAGTCCGATTTAACTCTCGGCAGTACCTGACTAACCTTCCTAAAGCTGCTGTCTAATATGGTACTGTCTTTCGATATTAGACGAAATAAATCGTACAATTCGTCAAGCATTCCTGGTAGTAATGTTTCGGCTCTTAGTATTGCTTCATTTAAACCGCTTTTAAGATATTCCTAAAAATATATTGTTCAGGAAATTCATAACGAAATCACTAACGACATTTCTCGATAATATACGAAACGACCAAACGTTAAAGAAGACTTTTATAAGAGATGATAGGGAAGAAGATAAGTCGATGATGAAATAGATCGAGAGAGTGCTTATGACCCAGTAAATTCCCGTATAGAAAGAAACAACTTCCACAGCAAACCAGAAGTGGCATCTGTGGGTATATAGTCGAAATAAATCGATAAAAATTAATAATACTTAGTAGTATCAAAATTGGTCGCTATTGCACTTACTATAGAGTGTAGAGATGAGAGGAGAAATATCTCATATGGGACTTTATTTCAAAAAGTGGTCACAAAAATGGGAAGAATAAGGGTTCGCCAAATAACCACAGTGGCGCTAATGACGCTTAAATCTAAAAAATGAAAAGTAACCATAGATAAGAGAATAAAAGTAACACAACCAAACATTACCCAAAAAAGCTTTGTTTTATTTTTTTTGGAATATAAAACAATTATTTCTATTTATTAGAGACCCAGTATTACTATTGACTATTGCTGCTGAATAAAAATCGATAATTTATTTCATGTAACATGAAAATAAAATTTGTATTTTTTTGAAACCCTCATTTTGAATCATTTTCTGTTCTAAAAATTTTCGGCGCATATTTTAAATTTTAGGTTTTTGTTACTGCAGCGCCATCTTAAGTCTTCCCTTTTGTAAGGGCATTTTTTAATGCACGAAGATATTTCTCCTTACCTCTACACTCCATAGCACTTACTTTATATTTGGTCTTGATAATTTCCCATTGTTTAGTGATTTGTTTATGAACAGACTCAATAGATCCATCTTTAACTTTCTTTATACTATCATTCAATCTTTTCACGGCCAATTCCACATTTTCAAATCCAAACTGAATTTTTTCTTTATCCCGTTGTACTTGGATGTTTTGCAGCGCGTGCAGGTGGCAAAAGTTTTCATATAAAGTAGCTAAAAAGAGTACAAAAAAACAGTGAAAAATGAGTAAATGAAATCTTTGATCTCTTTAAAGCTTATATGTGAGGCGTCAAGTTGCAAAACCCCTCTTATCCCAAACACGTTGTTTCAAGATAATATGCAAAAACTGTTTTAGCAAATATTTGAAGCGTTATTTTACAAAAAAACGTGTCCATTGAGTTGATTCATTGTTTTGTATCTCGTTTTTCCAGAAATAAAAATTAATATTTAATTTTTAAAGAGAAAAAAGACAAAAATAATTAATAGTATCTGAAAAAATGTGTTTATTTTTTTTAAAGTTCGATGCCCTCTAGCGGACAAACGAAGCACTTTTGTATAGAGGTAAATGAAGCCCAATGAACTTATTTTGATTCCAAAAATACGTAGTAGTTCTATGTACCGGGTGGCCATTTAAGAATGGACGCCGGCTGTATCTCAGAAACTACTTATCGTATAACTTTGGGAAAAAAATTCTAATAAGTAAATCGACCAAGAGAAAGCACTGGAAATTATTTTCAAGTTCGAAAAATGTCCGTTAGGGGGCGTTTCGTTTTTTCTCAAAAATATACAGGGGAACAGGTATTTTAAATATTTCTATTGTAATCATCGAGAAATTTGTAATCTTTTTGATATAGAGTGTTTTGCTCTATCTCATAAAATAAAGTGGTGGGGAAGGTTAAACTTGCTTTTATTAAAATAAGGATAACTCTGATTTAGGTTAACCGATTTAAACAGACTAGGGCTCGTTTAAAAGAGCTTTTCTTCCTTAATGATCTACAGTTTAAATGTTGTTTCCTTCATTTTTTTTCGTGGTAGCTAGAGGGCGCTGTTTGACATCATAACAGATATTGCGCTTTTGCTTAAAAAAATTAAATAAGAGGCTATGTTTCTCTTTATACAGTTAAATAGAGCACAAAATTTCCAAAATATCAGCGTAAACCGCAATTTTCTATCTTGTCTCTAACCGGTTTTCTGTTAAAAGCAATATGGCGGCACAAAATTCCTAGAAATTTGAATAAAATTATTGATTGTCCGACTTTCGGACATTTTAATCTGAGAACTACCTACGTATAATTAACCAAGAAATTCGTAAAAATTATGTGGATGGACGATAATGTTACATAAACACGTTTAAAAATGTATGACGTCATCTTTTTTAAGAAAACGCCCGAAATTCGGATGCATGAAATTTAACTTAAACGTTTTGATATTTTGACGTAACTAATTTACCTCTTTTTGTTTCCTTGCCTACTACTATAATTTTTAGACCATATAATCCTAAGCGGCAGCCTAACATAATTTGTTCTCTTAATATCTCTGGTTAGAGACAAGAAAATTGCGGTTTGCCCTGATATTTTGAAAATTTTGTGCTCTATTTAACTGTGTAGAGAGAAATATAGCCTCCTATTTAATTTTTTTATGCAAAAGCGCAATATCTGTTATGATGTCAAACAGCGCCCTCTAGCTACCACGAAAAAAATAATGGAAACAAAATTTACACTGGAGATCATTAAGGAAGAAAAGCTCTTTTAAACGAGTCCTAGTTTGTTTAAATCGGTTAACCTAAACCAGAGTTATCCTTATTTTAATAAAAGCAAGTTTAACCTTCCCCCACCACTTTATTTTATGAGATAGAGCAAAACACTCTATATCAAAACAATTACAAATTTCTCGATAATTACAATAGTAATATTTAAAATATCTGTTCACCTGCATATTTTTGAGAAAAACCCTGTTTTCTGATTGGCTATCAGCGAAACGCCCCCTAGCGGACATTTTTCGAACTTGAAAATAATTTCTAGCGACTTCTTTTGGTCGATTTACTTATTAGAATTTTTTTCCCATAGTTATACGATAAGTAGTTTCTGAGATACAGCCGGCATCCATTCTTAATTGGCCACCCGGTACACGGAATATTGGGACACCCTGTATAAAAAATAAGTCAAAATAGAATGAGTATCGCTCAAAATAGAAATTTCCAAAGTGAAACAAAAGTCAGGAAATGTTACAAGCATTATATACTTACCAGAAACTGCAGCATGTCCTATTTCAATAACGTATATTAAATAGACGCGTTCAAAAAGCGGGACTGTATGTATAACGTGCGGCAAACACTTTGGTTCTTCCTCATTCCCCGTCAGTAATACTTGCTGACTATTTAGGCTATTAGAATTGATCTGACAATGCGTTAAAATTACTATGAACAGTAGATCTGTTGGAGATAGCTGGTGAGCATTCACACTAAAATATTTTCCAGATACATTACAGTGTTATTGTATAATTGGTTTCCATAAATGAAAACAGATTTAGTAATAAAACTCGTCAAATATAGAATAATATGCGAATTTCTCGAATTACAACTAATAATTACCTTGAGTACAAAGATAAAATTTTATCTTCTACCATTAGAATGGCGTGAACCTTAGAATATTCACTGTGATCAACTAGATCGTTAGCTGAGTTTTTCAGTGTTTCAAGACAGGTTGCTGTGATGTCGCTGTTTACCACAAGCTGTTCAATCGCCTCGACGTAGACAGTTTGACTGTTACTTCGTAAAAGTAACCACTGGTCGATCAAATTGCACAATAAATCCGATTTTGATTCGTCAGACTGTAATCTATGAATAAAAGATAATTATTTTATGTCTAAAATACGTGTTTTAGGAATATTTACTGAGATATGTCGGGGCCACAAATATATCTGGCAAATACAACACATTTCTGTACGAATCCTGTAATATTTTCATTGCTTATTGAAAGAAAGAGATACCCCATAAACTAAAATTAATTTCTAATTAATATACAACGTTTTTCTCGCCCTGTATAGTAATAAAAAAAATTCAAAATTGTGGGCCACCCTGTATATGTCTAGTCGATCCACCCTGTATATATCCTTACTTCTGCAAACGTTATCTTTAAATCATCCTGAAACTGTACGGATGTATAGGAATTTCCAAATTGGCAATGCATTATCCGATGTGATGTGACAACAGGAGAAAAAATTTGTATAAAAACATTATTGCTAATATCTGTTTCTGGTCCACCCTGTAATAAAAAAAATATTTCAAGCCACAGATAATCATTATTCAACTACAAAGATTCTGATCATATATAAATCTATTTAGGTTTATATATGATCATGTATGTAGGAGGTTTAAAAATTAAAAAGAAGAAGAAAAAATTGGGTTATGTTTAGAGCGGTCAAAAAAAATCTTTCAAAATATTGCAAAATTTTTTTATAATTGGAAATTTACTAATTTAAACAAACTGATAAAATGAATAACTTAATGAAACATAAAGTTCAAGGCTTGATAACTTGTGTCCTTAAAAATGCTAAAGTGTCATCTACTATTTCGCGAAATTTTAACATCGAAAATAGATTCCAAATTAAAGATGAATTCGAGGGAAGACCGTTATATTTAGATGCACAGGCGACTACACCTTTAGATCCACGAGTGTTGGACGAAATGATGCCTTATTTAACATCGTATTATGGAAATCCACACTCCAGAACACATGCTTACGGATGGGAATCAGAAGCTGCTGTAGAAAAAGCCAGAGCCCAGGTAAATTTCTTTTAGAGTAAGTAGAGTCTTCATTGTAATTGGAATTTTATTTCAGGTGGCTAGTATCATAGGTGCTGATCCAAAAGAAATCATATTCACATCTGGAGCAACAGAAAGTAACAATATTGCAATCAAAGGTGTAGCTCGGTTCTATGCTTCGAAAAAGAAACACGTAATTACAACACAGACTGAACACAAATGCGTACTGGACTCTTGCCGAGCACTGGAGGCTGAAGGATTTACTGTTACATACTTGCCAGTCAATACAAATGGTATTATTTCATTGGAGGAATTAGAAAAATCAATAACGCCACAAACATCTATAGTTTCTGTAATGACTGTAAATAATGAGATAGGTGTTAAGCAACCAGTTGCTGAAATAGGAAGGCTATGTAAAGCAAAAAAAGTGTTCTTCCACACTGATGCTGCTCAAGCAGTTGGAAAAATTCCTTTGAATGTGGAAGCAATGAATATCGATCTAATGTCTATAAGTGGTCATAAAGTCTATGGTCCTAAAGGTAACTAAGATACTAATAATATAAATTAAAAACTAACCTTACTGTATTTATCTATGCAGGTATAGGAGCTATTTATGTAAGAAGACGACCAAGGGTACGAATTGAAGCAATTCAAAGTGGTGGGGGACAGGAACGTGGTATACGTAGTGGTACAGTACCAACACCATTAGCCGTTGGTCTTGGAAGAGCCTGTGAGATATCTGAGCAAGAGTTGGAATATGACCATGCCCGAATTGATTGGTTGAGCAAAAGACTAATGGACCGAATTTTTAGTGAACTAACACATGTTATACGGAACGGAGATCCTATTCATATGTATCCAGGTTGTATCAATTTGTCTTTTGCCTATGTGGAAGGTGAATCTCTCTTAATGGCATTGAAAGATGTTGCCTTGTCCAGTGGGTCAGCATGTACTTCAGCTTCTTTAGAACCATCGTATGTTTTGAGGGCTATCGGTGCAGATGAAGATTTAGCACATAGTTCTATAAGGTTTGGAATAGGTAGATTTACAACTAAAGAAGAAGTCGATTATACTGCAAAGAAGTGCATTGATCATGTTACTAGACTCAGAGAGATGAGTCCTTTGTGGGAAATGATTCAAGAAGGGATTGATTTGAAAACAATTAAATGGTCTCAGCATTAACTTGTAACCGTTCTGCACTAAATTGCAAATTTTTTATTCTGTAAAATAGTTATAATCAATTCTATTTTAAATTTTAATTTTATATAAATATGTTCATAAGTTAGACTTATGATAGAGATTTGTATGTTTTTTTTTAGTTTAGATATAAGAACTGAATATTAGATTGATACGGAAAATGTTTAGATATAATAAATACTTTTATCTATAGCAATATGAAATTAAATAAAATATATCTATTTTTTCATAATTTTGACTTACCTCTGAAATCAAATCTTGACTGATAGCATACTTTCTTATGTATTCTTCAAAATCATCATTGTATTTTCTAAATACTAGGTCATTTAACTTATTAAAAATCAGTAAACTATCCATTTAAAAAGCCTAATATATTTCGTTTTCCTAAAAAAAATATTGTTTACATTTGACAGAATTTAACAACCTAAAAAATATTTATAGAAGTAATAAGTAATCTGCAATAATAATTTTTTGCTATTATCAGATAGATGGTAGCTTCGTCGTTTCTAGTTTAGTGCTGCTCTCTATTGAGGTTGATATAAAGTAAAATATAACCTATTTTCTATCTCTCTCTTTTAAACAATTTATTTATAGTCCAAGCGATTTAAACACAAAATGCGTAATGTTTTGGAACGGATTTTTATATTGTTGATTATATTTTTTAATTTACCAAATAAATTAATAAAAATGTTTGTATTTTGTTTTAATATCTTATCTTTTTCCACTTTTTTAAATTTCATTATAATTTGTGTTTATAATTTAAATATAGTGATGCCGTCATTTGAGAATCATTTTTGTCTTAAAGTTGGCTTGGAAATGTAGGTTGCTGTCATTTTATATGTAGAATTCATTATATTATTAATTATTATAAATACTATTAAACTTGACTGCAGAATCAAACACTGGTTCACCACCAGTCTTTCTAAAGGGAGGATCCCTGACAGTGATATATATGTCTGTCATTTTAATTCTAGTCTGTCCAAATCTTTCTTAACTCATTGGACAGGCCTTACATCAAAACGCTTTACTGTGAATTCTTTCTGAATGCGCGTTTCACTAACAATTTTAGCATTATCAGCAAATGGTTAAACCAGATGTTTTAATTATAACATATTATGTTATATATTTTATACAGGGTGAGTCTTAAATAAGTGCAAATATTTTAGGGAATATTTTATTGCGATTTTTTTTTGGAAAATTCGGAATTTTTTGAAAAAATGTTGCTATTTCCTTTACAATTTAGATACATTAAAAGTTTTCTTATAATTTTGTTCCAAATTGTATATTTTAATCGGATTTTTTCGAGGTATGTATAGCAGTGGACTTAAATAAGGTTTAAAATATATTAAAATAACTGATGGCCTGCCTCACTTCGCTATGTATATCAATTTGAAATGATATACAATATGATCGAAAAAAATGGCGTCAACGAAGGCTATGAAATGAAAGTCGGTCTCATTTTATATGTAAAATTAAATGGGAAATGTCATCGATCGTCATTTCCAAGCCAACTGGACGCCGTTTTTTTTCGATCATACGGTATAATTGTACCATACGATCGAAAAAAAGGCGCCAAAAGGCGTCACATTTTTTTTAGTAAATTACGTCTAGAGATTGACCTCGCCGAAATTATCATCGATTGTCATTCCCCAGCCGTCTATGACGCCGTTTTTTTTTCGATCATGCGGTATCTCGTACAATGTTTGTATTATGTTTTGCAATTTAATATAACTGGCTAGACAGCAATTCAAAAAGACAACATTTACTTTTAGTAATTGTCATTGTCCTCTGATTGGGGGTTATAATTTTATTGACGGACAATATTGGGGTTATAATTTTATTGTCGATTATTGCTGTCAAACAAAATTCAATTTTTTTACTGCAAAAATACCTCAAAGATTTAATCCAAATGAACAAGAGCTCATTCTTAAGTTTATAAATTATTTTTCTCGAGAAAGGGACGCTGGTAGAATATTCTTACCCGTGAATGCCGTATATGAAGTAAGTACAGTATGATCGAAAAAAAACGGCGTCCAGTTGGCTGGGAAATGACGATCGACGACATTTCCTATATCAATATACATATAAAATGAAAGCGATCTTCATTTCGCCATCGCTGACGCCGGTTTTTTTCGATCGTACGGTACAATGCAAAGGTGTAATATTCCTATAGAAAAATACAAATTGATAGCGTTTTTAAATTATATGGCGATTTGCTGATGCTTCAGAAATAGGAATTTCAGCTGTCTAAAGGTAACTAAAAGGATCATAACTGATGAAGAGTTCAAGAAAAAATTAATAAATGCCGAAAAAAACGGAACACACTCAATCAATAATATAGGAACGTACTTAAAATTTTCTAAATAATATGAAGCGATCTTAGACACACCCTAAAACTCATATTTAACAGATAATGATGACGTAAACGTAACGTTTAACGATGGTTGAACAGTCTTTCTTTAGATGCATTTTGTTGTACCTTACGTGAAAAATCAAATAATGCAGAAATAATGAAAATTTTGAAAACTAAAACTAAAAACCGACCGGACTAAAAATAGGCGTGTTCACCGTGGAGCGCGGCGAGACCCGACGAACGGCACCGAAACGCGCGCCGAACGGCGAAACGTGCAAACTTCACATCGTTTTTGAACGTAGAATGGAAAATCTTTACGTCGTGAGGCGATCGTGTACTCCTTGCGCGACTTTTTCGTAAAAAAAGTTACGTGTTACGCTCATTAGTTTTTTTTTTCGATTCCTTTTCGCAGTTTGGTGTACCTTAGATCTTAAACAACCGCTCAAAACCGTGGTGCCGTTACGCGCGATACAGTTCTGTGTTTTGTGATATTATGATGAAATTAAGGCTAAAGTTGTTCGAGCAAATAAGTGGTGCGGTGAAGATAGTTTGCGAATTCTAGTTGGAAAATCCACCGGAACCTCCGGAATGGCCTACAAATGCAGGGAGGAGATCGTGGGCAAAAGGTTCCTATCAGTTTCCAGCGACAGGTTCACTAAAATCAAGGGTAAAGTGCGAGACTGGAGTTGGAGGGCTGGCGTTATCAGAGCAGCAACTCACAGGGACATTACCAACTCAGATCTTCAGGTAAAATCAGATTTTTTCACGCAAAATTCCAGCCGTTAAGCTGCGAAGAATTTCAAATATTTGACGTTCTGACGTCACGACTTTCCTCGCCGAGCTAGCCTACTCTGCGAGATCCCGTTCGCGTTCAATGAAATAAAACAAAAACGGTTTTTTCAATAAATAACGTTTTAATGGATTAGAAATAAACGAAGAAATTTCTGTTGTTTTTTCGTAGTGTCATTAAACAAATTTGACGTTAAAAATAAATTTTAGACGGCCAAAAACAGAAGTAAATAAAGGGGGTGTGTCTCTTTTTCAAGGGCTTCTTAATTTATTTTTAACTCTGGTAGGTAATTTAGTTATTTTTATTCCAGTTTTACAATTATTGAATAATAATAACCAAAATAAGAAATAGATAAACTAACCTGAATATCATTCTTCCAATATTTGAATACTTATCTAATAACAATAGGTACCTACATTTGTTTATTTTTGGATAATAACCAATGGAACTAGATCTTTTAGGTTGCTTAATTGATTTTAAAATAGTTTTGTGACCATACCTAAAAGAAGAAAGATATAGTACTATAAAATTGAAGTTGTTTATTACTATTTTATTATTAAAAATATGCTTGAGATGTTTCGTAAGTACCTACTACGCTTTAATATTGCTATCTAGTCGTATAGTTTCAATTTTAAATCTGATTTAAATTGATTATGTAACTCTATGCTAGGCGTGTCTCCCAAGGCTCCAACTATCCTCCAAAAATATTGTGAAATCATAGTTTTCATATCGGTTTTGATATTATCCTGATAAATTATATAAATCGGAATATTTTTTAGATTTCTTAAATTAAATTTTAATTTGTTAATTATTTTTTCTTGTCGTGGGCTACATATTTAAATACTTATAATTTAAATTATCTATACAAACGTCTCTTATAACATTAACATCTCTTATAACTTAAACACAAAACAACATTGTATATCTCTAAAGCCTAGCTATACGTGGATCAAAAGATACATTTGGACACTGCGCGCGTCTCACATGGACGCCACTTGGGTCGTATCAACCGATTTTAAATTATTTGGTACGATCCTCGGTACGATCCAAACAGCGCCTAGTGTGTGCTGAGTTTTTGCCATGCTAACTTAATTCTTCTGACTTCTGATGATTCCTGGTACCTAGTAGAGATCCCGAGCTGTGTATTAGTTGTCCCAAATATATACAGGATTGTCCGAACTGCATTCCGCAAACTTTAGCAGCATATTCTGCAGATAAAAATAAGTAAAAAAACTTGCAGGGTGTAGAAGTTTCTTTTTTATTTCAATTTTTTACAAATCATTTCTGAAGTGATGTCAATATTTGGATGAAAAGTGGTGACTGGGAGTTTTTTTACTTGTAAAATTTAATTTTGATGTCAATATGACTCCTATTTGTATAGGGCGCCACCTACACGTCTTTTAACTGTTTTGAAGAGTAATAACTTTTCCTCCGTACCTGTATAAAGCCACTGAGTGAAAAAATATACATTTCCGTGATTATTTACTGAAAAAATGTCTCTTGGTAAAAATCGCTACTTGCAACCGTTCTCAAGATATTTAGAATTGAAATTACGTCTAGTGTGTTTAATGTCTGTATAACGAAGGTAATCACTGTAATCAGATTGTTTTTATATAAATATTACGTAATTTTATGTAGAGGTTGCATTTTGCAATTCAAATTATTAGTTATTAGACGAATTGGCCTCATTAATCGTCTTGCATCCATTGGTATATTACCACACAAAATTATACATTAAAATACAAACAATGGTCAAAATGATGTGACTAAATAATAATAATATTTTAAATATTTATTGTAACCCAAAATGAAGATATAAAAATAATTTTTTTAGCTGCTTAAATGAGCATATTATAGTATTCTGAAAATGTTTGTATGATGTTCAATAGGTCGATAGGCCTCCATTCCATTCCAGTAATGACTATTCTGTGTAACCATGAACTTATTTGACCTTTTATTTTACCTGATGCCATATTGTATAAACGATTAGGGTTTGTCAGTAACACAAAACCTTTCATGTTACTTTTTATCATCAGAAATCGGAACACAAACGTTATAATTTATTGTATGTCAATTAAAAAAAAAGTATCTTTAACGTCTATTAACGGTCCTGTAGAATTGTGCATCTATTACCTTATAGTCGAAGGTTTCTTTAACAATAGGATGATTTAATCTGAGTCAAACCACAAAAACTGCGTAACGTAAGAATACGAAGAATATTCATTATTCGATAAGAAACTGTTGTAGAGATCATTTGTTGCTATTAAATACAATACGATCGAAAAAAAACGGCGTCAGCGATGGCTATGAAATGAAGGTCGCTGTCATTTTATATGTAAAATCATATAGGAAATGTTATCGATCGTCATTTCTAAGCAAACTGGACGCCGTTTTTTTTCGATCATAGAGTACTTATTTTCCTCTAAACAACATTTTGGGAGATGCCTTATATCAGAAGTGGGATAAAGAAAATGGGCGAAAAAAAATAAAAAGGCGAACGGCAATGATATTTTGGATATACACTACAAGACGCGAGGGAGACAACCTAGAAAAACTAATAGTACAGGGAAAAGTAGAAGGAAAACGATCGAAAGGCATGTCACCTGTTCGATGGATAGATCAGGTCATGAAAATTTCAAATACACCACTATAAACTCTACTAATTGAAGTAATGGATCAACATACACGAAAAACTAGAGTAAAAAGATTTACCTGATTCCATGAGATCACGATTTCTCAGACATGAGAATACAACTAAGAAGAAGAAATGCCAACCAAACCAGCAAAATCAGAATCCCCAATTAATTCAATCATTGTAGATGATATCAGTTAGATTTCATCCTTCTTTAAATATTGATCGTATTATTTCCAAAAATAAATCCAGCCACCCTTTCATTAACACCACAATACCCTAATAGACCCTTTAAAAATACCTGCGGACCTGTTGCACTCAAAAAGGTTAGGGTGATGAAGTCGCAACACCGCGAGGTGCTCACACATCTGCGTTCACAACGTAGCCACTCGTCGTATGGATATTTTCACTTGCCAGGTGCCTCTGCCCTTTGATTCTCGACACCCCTCCGGTATGCAGGGTGTACGTTTAAGGGTTTCCGTTGCTTCCGGGTTGCGACAAGTGTGTCGGGGTGTGTTATACAAGAGGGTGATATTCTCTTTAAATTTAACGAACAAAGGGTGGCGATGGGCCATGAAATTAATATGAAACATTCTATTACAGGAGTTAGTCGTTTTACACGGCAATTTTTTTAAATAGTATAGATTAAAAAAACTCAAAGAGCATCCTTTATCCAATGTATTGTTAAAATAATGTTTTAGGCAATTTCTTCAAGGTTTGATAGATTTTTTATGATCAATGTAGAAGAGTTAATGGGCACCCACTCCAGCATCCTTCAGGCAGGAATCTACGCCATCGAAAGATGCGTACAACTTATCTTTTTTCGCTAACCATCTTCGCGTTTCGCTAACCATGTTAGCATCATCAGCAGATGATTAAAACTAGTTGAGTAATAAACAGTTTGTTTCAATATACGCTGTTTCGATTTACGCTGCACTTTCAAGCAATGTAACACCCGTGTAAAACGAGGGACTCCTTAGAGTATTACTAACGTTCTGTTAGAAGAATTTCTGACAATTCCAGAGGTGTGAATGAAATTTACAGTGCTGTATTAAATAAAAATAAACTGCATTTGGTCGCAATCCAACTGTTGTTTAGTTTCAGCAGATATTATTTCGCACATATTCGTTTAAATAATATATTTTTTAGTCGCAAATATCGCTAAAAAGATTACAATGGCAATGAACTCGATATCACAATGCTTTAATGAAACAATAAACAACACTTATGGATAAAAGATATTTTCGACACTTCAATAAATAATTTCATTGAACTTCAGTTAACAAATAGGTATTTCTATTATACCCAGTACCCAGGTTTAAAATGCAGTAATGCGTAATAATGAATTGCTGTTACTCATAGATAATAATATACTTTTTGTTCTTTATCATCAATCCATCATACATATACATACATAGATATACAGAATGTCCCCGGATTGTCTTTACAAGAGGAAAAACTTTTTTATTACCTATTGACATTTTGAGAAAAATGTATTTTCCATTAAAATTTTTGCTCTATAATGGTTAATTCCGTTTATACTTTTCGAAATTTCCATACCGTTTTAGAGAAAACTTGAAATAACATCAAAATATTGTTGAATTTTTTCAAAAAGTCCTAAAAATCAAAAAGCGTTGCTATAGTCTATAAAATGAATCACTTTGAATTTTGACCGTTATTTTTTACCAACACGGCAAACATAAAAAAAATCCCTCTGTCAAAAAAGTTACTGATATTCTTTAAATCCTTTAAATTGAGTGCCTGAACGAATCAGATAGGTAATTCTTTTTACTTTCGTGAAATGTGAAATAGAAAAGGAAAATAATAAAACAAGTGACAGTTCTTCCTCTTCTTGCAAAAATCAACACGAAATGTCATAAATGTCAAAAGTAAAATGTCATCAGATTTCTAAATATCAGACCAATATGCCGTCTCTAATAGAACAGCCTCGGAGCGAGACTTATGACGTCACGCTAGTTGTAGAATACATGGAAAAAATAATTATTCCTCGTATTTTTGGTTTGTATTTTAAAAATGATATAGTTTACATAAAATGTACATAATATACAGTTAATAAATACAATATATATACCTATTTATAGTAATAAATACTTTGGCAAATAAACTATGAACCATACTAATTCAGCAAATGTTTTACAATATACTAATAATGAATAGGTACATAAGAAAATGGGTAAAATGTAAAATATATTTTAAATTTTGGGGTTTGAAAATCGATCTAATTTAACAAAAAACATTCAATATCTACTAATAGTGATGTATTATTATTTGCATTCACAAAATTTATATGTATATTTTGCAAGT